CGAACGTCAACTGGGGTGTCTAACTGACAATTAACGGATTATTCATCTCAATGGCCTCATCTTCCTCGCAGATGGGCTATATCATCTGGCGGGGAACGTCCAGTCCGCTGCGGTCCTGATGATATCATCCGCCGATACGATGATCAATCCCCGCTGCATTTCTAAGCTTCGGGGATAGTACAGCCCCGGATACAGAACGTCAACTGGGGTGTCTAACTGACAATTAACGGATTATTCATCTCAATGGCCTCATCTTCCTCGCAGATGGGCTATATCATCTGGCGGGGAACGTCCAGTCCGCTGCGGTCCTGATGATATCATCCGCCGATACGATGATCAATCCCCGCTGCATTTCTAAGCTTCGGGGATAGTACAGCCCCGGATACAGTATTTAGATCCTTTCCATTCCCCGGCTGAATTCCATATCCTTCATCATCACATACAGTACAATGGCATCCAAGGCACTCGCAATCATCGCAGGAGTTGGTCCTGGCACGGTATGATCTAATCTGGCGCTGATGTAGTCTGTAGTCTGTACACGATGCAAGCTGACGCGATCATAGGGCGCATCAATTGCGCGGAAATTCGCAAAGTCCTACTCGGTTGTAGTTCTGGCTCGAAACCCGGACAACTATAACCCAGTCGTCCAGGAAATTAATGCCAGCGGTGGCCAGGCCATCGGCATCAGCACCGATGTCTCCAACTCACAGAGTGTCAACGCCGCTTTTGACAAGATTGTCGAGCAATACCCATCTCAAAAGGTGGCGGCTGCGATATTTAACCCCGGTGGTGGCTTTGTTCGCAAACCATTCCTTGAGTTGACAGAAGCGGACTATTCAACTGCGCTCGCCTCACAAGGGTAAGATTCTACTACCACACCTTATGCACATCCACTAACATGAAATGGCTCAAAAGACAAGGCGCTTTCAATTTCGCGCAAAGGTCCATTCCGTTGCTTCTTGAAGCCCGTGGGGCGTCCGAGTACCCGCCTACCCTCATCTTCACTGGAGCTACTGCCAGTCTCAAGGGCTCAGCCAACTTTGCGGCCTTTGCTTCTGGCAAATTTGCGTTGCGCGCACTCGCGCAGTCCCTTGCTCGTGAGTTCGGTCCGCAGGGTGTTCACGTCTCGCACACCATCATCGATGGTATTATCGATATTCCTCGAACCAAGGCCTGGGTTTTGGAACACGAGGATGCCAAGTTGAACCCGGATGCAGTAAGTCATTCCTCACCACGTATTGATCCTTTAACTAAATATTTCAGATTGCGGACTCGTATTGGCACTTGCATACCCAGCCACGGACAACGTTCGCTTTTGAGTTGGATCTGAGACCCTATATTGAGAAGTGGTAGGGCTCTTTAGGCTTTGGCTAGTAGCATGTTACGGCATGGGATTTATTCGAGTCTATTATAGCTGCATGAATTGCCCACTTAAGGGTTTCTTTTGCTCAAGAGCTTAACACGAATGTCGAGTATTTCCGAGATCGATGAATTGCAGTTCACCCTGCACCTTCACATAGCTTTACTCCGACCAGGCCTAGACTTCCGCATTGGGCTGGGTTGGGCCTGAGGTCCCGACCGGGCCCAACCCAGTCCGGGCTCTGGGCTCAGAGCCTAGGATCCAGCCCAGCCCAGCCCAGCCCAGCCCAGCCCAAAGCCCAAAGCCCAAAGCCCATTATTGGGCCCAAGGACCGGCCCAAAACCCAGCCCATTACTACCTGGTCGGGCCCGGCCCCGGGGGCTTTCTGGGCTGGTGCGGATGTCTAAGGCCAACTTAGGGTCAAGCATCAAAGCACAAGACCTATAGTTACCTAGGTACATCCATGGATTCCTAAAGCATGAAATGGCACCTGTAGTATTTATAGTTGACATCGCCTCAAAAAACTCCGTTTTTAACCATTAAACCAAAAAGGTGCACACCTAGTGGAACGTGTATTTTTGGGCATTTCTTAACCGTCACAGTCGACTAGTTACGCCTTGCCTTAATCCTGATTTCCAAGGCATCGATGTTAGTCATCAACGACGTCAGCGGGCCGAGGTGGAGTGATGAGCTTCGAACGGAAATCGCGAGCCATTTTGTTTAACAACCCAACGTCGCCATGAGTTCCGACAATGCCTCACCGCAGGCAAGCCAATACAGCAACAACGAAAATCCCGCGGACCAAACCCGCACTCTTCCTGGTCATAACCCCGCGCTCGCGAGATACAACTCACTACAGCTCCGACAGGAGGCAGTCGTAAGACCAGACCTCTTCACACTGTACTTCGGATTCCTCGGCACAGCAAACTGGAAGCGCAAAGTTGCCAGTGCGCTGACAGACCGAGTCGAGAACCACTATGTGTTGACCGCCCGATCGCCAACCCAGGATGAGCTAGACGCCATTGTCGAGCACGGCACACGATCGCTCTACCGCAACCGTGTTGGACTGCCCGTTGGCGCACTCATTGGAGGAGCATGGACATACGCCAAGTTAAGGTCCTCACCGAACTTCCCGCGCACAAACCCGACACCGCAAGCGATTCTCCAAGCCATGCGTCTTTCGTCCACGAATATCTCTTTGAAATCGTTCGCTGCCACAGCTGCGTGGAGAATGCTCTTCGCCACATGTTTCTTCAGCGCTCTCTCGAATATCTATGCCGTATACAACGATGCTACTTCCATGTTGACGGACCCGCGTCTCAAGGGCTTCGTCGAGGAGATGCGCAGTCAGAAACCGGAAGATGTGCGCAAGCGTAAGCTTCAGGCGGCCTCTGAGCGGATTCGCTCCATGCGCACCGGTGAACAAACTATCGGCCTTCAATTCAAACAGGCACTCGGCCAGCCCGGTGAATACTCCGGTAGCTATGAACAGGATCCCAACGACTACTCCACCCCGCCAAACTCTTACTCGGAGTATGAAAGCTCCAATTCAACCGAGTCTACATACAGCTCTTCCAACCAGCCAAGCACACCGGCTTCAACTGGCCCGGTCTGGGCTCGTGGCAGGGGAACTCAACCAGCCAGCGAACAAACATCCGGAAGTGATTTCTTCGACGACGACGATGCAAGCCCCACGGCAGCTGAATACAGAAATACCAACATTGATGGCTCTTCTAGTGGTAGTGCCTGGGATCGGATTCGACGCCAAAATGCCGCGGCTGGCTCTCGGTCTCCCCAGCAACATGCCATGCCTCAGTCATCACTTCATGCATACGGTTCTTACGAAAACACACAATCTGACCAGGACCGCTACAGATCTGAGCAATTGAGTGAGAAGGATAAAGCACAGGCCGAGTTCGACAGAATGATAGAGGCGGAGCGGAACGCTGGCAGTGACAAGTCGCCCCGTAATCGTGGCTGGGGATCTTGAACGCCTAGTGGTTCATCTTCTTAAAGTTTATCCTCGGATGCATTTCAGCCCTCAAATAACATACTCGATGTGTATCATAGTTCCATGGATTTCTAGCATTTTAAGGTTGAACAATTTCTCTCATGGATTCATTCAGAAAAACTCGACACTTCTTATTAACCTTTGCAGGGATATATGTTTAGATATTGATAGCAAGCATTAATCTCAGGAGAACCCGCTGGAGACGTTGGAGAGCCAATGTGAACGAAAAGTGACCATCTGCGATTTCGAGCAGAGGAGTGGAGAAAGATATTATGGGAAGCAGAAACTAGCACATCGTGTGTCCAAATCCAGTGACAAGCGTGAAAAGCATGGGGGCATAATAGGATAGGATATACGGTAATTGAAATAACTTGCATAGACCAAAAACATAACGGTGAATGCAAAGCGAGAGGGTATGTGCTCCCGAAAAAAACGAGAGAGTGAACAGAACAAACATGAGACGTGGGACATAGAAGTCCAGACATTGCAATTTCATGAAAAAAACACCAGAATGACCGAACAGAACTCAGTAGAAAAGAAGAAAAGAACCAAAATGACAACCAAAAAAGGGGAGCTCATCCGACCTAAACGAAGTTTTGACTCGGCGAGACATAGCTCTGACTCGGCAGAATGTAGTTGGAGTTCGATCCAACGACATGCGGCTGCAGGCTTTCATACGGAGCCATCTCGGCATCGTGAGCCTGTGTCCAAGGCTCAACACTGCGACTGTTGTTCCGCATCCGAGTCAAGTTGCGCAACTTGTTCGTGAAGCTTTCGTTGGAACTGCGGTTTCGCCGATGGTCGAAGGACATGCGTCGACTTCCTGATTGGCGGGAATCATTACCATAGGTATTGACGTTCAGCGCTGGGGCAGCAGTCATTGCGCGAGGGAGCAGACGTCCGAAGTCTTCATTGTCGATGGCGATGTCGATAGTTGCAGAGGATTCACGGGGCGAGACTGGCATTGCGGATGTGGGGAATGGGGGCGGCGGAGGAGGTGTGTTGAGATGCTGGAGTTCTGGGAGGAATGGTGGAGGGGGAGGTGGGATTGTCTCGTACTCCCCTGAATCTCTTTGCATGGAGTTCTCCATCGTCTCTTCGATGCTCACTTGGACATTCGGTGAGGTGCCGGATACATAGCCGCCCGAGCTGGTTCGACGATGGCCCATTTTGCGACTGCGGCTGCTGGATCGGCTGCGTGGGAGGGAGGGGTTGAATCGTGGATGCATGGGGACGTCGTTGGGTATCATAGGTGGGTTGGGATGATGCGTTTCTGGGACAGGGACGGACATTGAACGCCCAATTCTGTCCGCGTCACTTTGATAGCGGGCATTGCTGAGAAAGAGATTGGTGTCTGGCATGCTTGGGATGGAAGGTTGCTCTTCATCCTGTCCTGTGCCTCCGTACTTGGGATGGCGCATGGCCCGGGGAGTTGCTGGCAGCCCGATGGGCATTCCGGAGCGCGAAGAGTTCGAATCAGAACTACTCGGGTAATCAGGCGATGCTTTGCTCTGGGAGCCTTTGTTGCGTGACGGAGCCCTTGGGAAGTAGGAGCTTCCACTGGAGAATGGCGGAGGGCTTTCAATAGGGCTTCTCATGCCTTGAGCTTCGCCAGGGAAAGGAATATTCGGTGCTGAGGGGTTACGGGCGAGAGACAACCTTCTCGCCTCTAATTCTGCAGCGGCAATGTCTCTTCGGCGCTTCTCTGCAAGAGTGATGAATGGGGTTGTGGGAGAGACGATATCTTGGAAGTCATTGGTAGTCGAGCTGGGCGGACCATTGGTAAACGAATCAAAGCTGGCTTCTTGGCCAAAGACCTTGCTAGTCAATTGTTCCGGCTCAGATTGCTCTGCCCAAGAGTTGGCCGAAGGGCCAGGCTGAATCACCGAAAGGCTTTGTGATGTTTTGTGTCTGGATTCTGGAGAGGCCTCTCTCTTTGCACTTGTGCCCCTCTCTGCCCGACGTCGGCTGGCGCTTCGGTGACGGGATCGCAGCCTCTTCTGGTTACCCTCCACCAGTCTCAAGGGATTGTTTGCATCCTGGGATGGCTCCTCTGTAGGGAACGACATAGGAAGAGGCGACGAAGGTGACCGAGTACTCGATGCCTGTCTGTCATTGCTGCGGCCTCGAAGCGAGGCCTCCTTCTTGTCCATGGCGACACGGCTCGCTGTGTGTCGACTAGAAGAGCGCTGACGACTCCGCGAGGCTGGCCTTCTCATCTTGCTGGAACTTCGAGTCCGAGACTTGGATTTACGCGGCTCGATTGACGCCTGCAGCTCTGCCGTACCATATCGGGCCAACTCTTCGGGGGACATGGGGACTGGCGAGGAAGGCGAACGCTTCGCAGGCTGAATGTAACGACGATCATTCCTACCTCGAGTATCTCTGGAGGCATCTCTCGTCTGTTGTATGCGTGAACTCTGGCTAGCTGTGTCGTCGGGGTTGCGTCGTCCACGCCCAGGCGTGTGAGGCCGGAACTTGCGTGCATGGTAGTTCGCTTCGTCTAAGCTGCTGATATACTGATCAATGCTACGCCCACTAACACTTGGACTTCTTGCAGAGGCGTAGCTGTTGATAGTCGAAGTGGTACTTTTGGCGCTGGGAATCAGATCTGAGCGGTCTTGGTGGCTTCTTTCACTTTCCAACAATTCGATCTGAAGCCCATCTGGCTTTCGATCGCGGGATCCGTTTCGGTGATCGTCATTCGTGAGAGCCTCGAAGACGCCTGCAGCCGGCGATGGAAGACCTTTGATGGATGCAAATTTGTCTGTTCCCTGTAACGCTGTTTGAGGACTGGGTCTGAGTGAGTCTATGCTGGGTGTGTATTTCGCCGACGGCAAAGTCAAAAGACCGCTGTCGCTTTCTTTCTCATCTTGACTCTGATCTTGTCCACTCATCTCATTCTCTGAGGTGGAGCTATATTCGTGTTGGCTGTATGATCCATTCGATCGCAAGAATGTGGGAGGTTGCGAGTCCACTGGTGTTTCTCCTATTGAGGGCAGACGACGGCGATTGAAAGACGGGGTATTAGTCCTGGACATCGCCTGGTTCAAACTCTGGATGTTATTCAATTTATAGGACCCAAAGCCACCTGGAGACATCGCCGAGTCGGGAACTGCAGATTCCGCAATTGGTGTGATTCCCGGTGCGTTCGTAGGTGTGCGGTCGTCAGATTTCAATCCCGGGAAGCGGAAACGCCCATTAGATTGGGCGTCGAAAGAAGTGATCAGCTTCAGAGCTGGCGTCTTGGCTGTGGCCTTTTGGTTAGACGACCTCGGTCGAATGGGTGGAGGCATCAGACTTGAGCCATTTGTCTGGGAAATCTCAGGGGAGACAGGAGGGAACTTCTCTCCAAGCATTTCGGCAAAGGACGCAGATGCAGCTTGCTGAGCGGATGGCGAAGCCCATGGCTCCGAGGGCTCTGCGCCAGTACACATGAAACAGCGAATTGCAAGCTGCTGCTGTTGAGAATGGGTGACGACATGCTCTCCCCATCGTCGAACAAGATACGACTGTCGTTGCCAGTCGGAAGGGAATAACAGACACGTCATTAGGATAGCTTCCATATAGTGGTGTCGAGAAACGTAAACCTCAACCGCATCGTTGCTGTCCCCAAGACCGAGCAGAATAGCAGCAGCGGTGTGTATGTCTCCAATCTCCAATAACTTCTGTACGAATGCCTGGCCGACTTTGTTCGCCTGTGCCTGGCCACTCATTTGACTCAACGCAAGAAGCATCCAGTCAGAAGTAGTTATTTGCCCGGGGCCGATCATGGAGGCCATTTCGTTTGAATCGGTCTCGCCGAGCCACTGAGCCAGTAGGATTGCGCTTTGACTGCCCACTGCATGGCGGCTCACTATTGATGGTTAATAGATATGAAATTGGGGGGTTGCGAGATACTCACATTCATCTATGATCAGATCCTGAATATCTCCGTCCCAGCCAAACACCACACTCATCATCTGCTGCCGTAGATCGTCGGAGGTCAGATGTGACTCGTCCATGGGGGGCTGCTGCTTATATGGAACGTCGTTCAAGCGCGCACGAGTAAAAGGGAAGAGATCTACAATATTCTTTTCGGCTGGACTGACATGAACCTCGTTTCGCAGCCTCGATGCAGCTCTCGAGCTCCTGACCGATGACATTGAAACAGAAGAAGGGTATGCAAAGGAAGCAGAGGCCTGGGGTGTATCATGGCCCCCTGATGTCAAAGAGAACGTAGTTGCGCTTTGGCCTGAGCGACTCGGCGGCGAGAAAGGCCGAGTGTTATACTTGCCCGACGAAGCCTTCGAGCTGACCGACTCCGTTCGACTTCGCGATGAAGCAGGACTGGTCAGGTCTGCCCGTTGTCGGATATTCTCAATGGCATTGGAGTCGAATGGCGTGCGTTTGCCGTTGCTTGATTCTCGGATATCTGGTGGATCTTGCAGGCGTCGGAGAGACATTTGGGACCGGCTGCCCTCTGCGGTACTTGGTCGGGGCATGATTGGGTGATGCTGGACATTTGCGACGAGGGCTGGATTCTCCAAGTCATATTGCTGTACTGTGTTTTGAGGGCCGATTGTGAACAAAGTCGCCGTTGGGCCGTAGTTGGCGATACCTCGAACCCCATCTATTGTCGGGATTGGATCGTAGGTAACGTGTTTTGTTCGAACATCCCACGACCAGGTTTCCCTGTATTGGTCAGTATACAAAGTAATGCTTTCATAGAGCCGTTCCATACCCTTCCAGATATTGCACCAGTCTGCCATTCTTGGACCATCCCATCCACTTAGGGTCCGAAGAGCTCGAATCCGATCTTTTTAGCACTCTGATCACCCGTGGGGATTCCTTGCCAGGTGGTTTGGCGACACTCCATACCCGCAAGTCTCCATTCGAAGATTGTGTTGCCAACATATCCGATTTTTGCTTCGAGGAAGATGCATGCCATGCCAGAGAGATAATAGGCGAAGGTCCACGGGATGTCGTCAACGTGTGCAGAATGGTAAATTGCGGCAGCAGAGTTGCGATCAATATAGATCCATTCTGATACCTGAGGGCTTGTTAGCTTCAGGGCCACTCTCCTGTGTTCCTCGACATACCCAATCGCATAAGTTCGACAGTCGGCTGCGGGAGCCAGGGCTGTGATCGGATCAAAAATCGTGCGCCCAGAAATATGCTCCTGTGTTGACGGTTCAAATAGTATCACCTCGCCTTTGCCATTACCTAGATATCCCATTAGCCACTTCCCACCTTCAGGCTTTCAACCATACCAAATGCGACATTTCCATTGTGCATCCATGAAGCGACCCGCAGGTGCTCGAAGGAGGCAAATCGTGCAATCTCCGTTCCCGTAAATATATCCCAGACAATTGCGGTCTGCCCGACATCGTAGCTCACGACCAATCTCCCGGCACCTCGCTCGCTGACATTGTCCACAGAAATGAATTCAACGTTCTCCTGGTGGCTTTGAAACCGCCGCTCAATTGCTAGTGTATCGTGATGTAGACATAGAATTGTCGATCCCTGAGCGCATAGAAATAACGAGGCCGTCGAGGCGCAAGGCTCGAAGCGCGGTTGCGCAACTGGCGGCGGTGCCATTCCTTCTTTAGGGCGCAAGGTACTAGACTGCCGACGTCAGCTCTGGAATTCTCGTTCCTGGACGATCAGAAGCAGGAAAATATTCCCAATATTGCTGCCGTTGGGCACGATTGCGTCGAACCTCGGATATTCCGCAATTATACTCCCCGGCAGATTTGGGATAATTGATGACTTACCGCCAATCAGAGCATAAATCGAGTGAATCGGCTCTGAGCCTGAGTCCAATGTGAAGAAAGACGATCTTTAGGGCGGGTGCAGGCACATTGGGACCAAATGGTGAGATTCAAACGACCAGTATGAACCCTTTTTAATGAACCGAGTGAGATTGAAAACCAATGCCCAGAAACATGCACGGGAACCAAAACGGTGTAGCCGTTGCAGGAGGTAAAAATCAAAATCCGTCAGAGTATCGACTTCATCACATCGGAGTATAGCGTGACCGAATGTGACGGAGAGAAATCAGAGTTGCAGGGCTATCGATCCGCGCTATACATATAATGCCCGTGGATCCAGCATGCTCCGGTAGGACAGACATTCCATCTCAGACTCCGTATACTCCGTCGATCCAAGTGGTTGGCGCTCGGGAGACGCAGCAGGGCGCTTCATTTCCTGACGGACCATACAGTTCGGTTTCGAGGACCAGAAGGACATTACCCAGGCACGAGTCGCTGCGATTTCACATATTATTAGCGGAGACGGTGAGATCGAGCCTTGTCGGTGGCTGGGCTATCCCGTGGGACTGCACCAACGAGCATGCAGAACCGAGACAGCAAAAAGTGGCCAGTTTAGATCGCTGCAGGCGGCTCCCGAATCACAGGCTCTCAGAGAGTTGCAGACTCGCCGCTAATTTGGCTCTGCATGTCGATCCTGATTCGATATATCAAGACTCTACTACAGTACATACAGGATAGTATCCAGCGAGGTCATTCAAACCAGTCACTGCATGGCCTATCTCCAACACGACAGTCTGGAATAACCATATTTTCCAACTGCAAGGAACCGTTCAAATTGCAAGGTCCAATGTGACAGCAAATGTGACGGGGATCCGTGCAGTTGTCTGCAGCTTCATCACTTCGGCCCGCCAATCACCAGTCACTGCTGATCCCTCGGCGCCTACGGCCCCCACCACTGTCTCGAGTCTTCGATTTGATCTTGGGATATGCGACGGCCAACTTGGTGTTTAGGGTTTGCAGGATCATACTGCGACATATAACAGTCTTCTCTGTGTTCCGTACTCCGAATACTGTTAGTACTCATAGTATGCCCAGGTGGGTACTATAATATCCATGGATGTCTCTACATCACTATGTGATGTGACCAATGCATGCAGTCATGCACACCGTCGAACGTTTCGGAGCTTGGGCCTCGGTGATACTGACGGTTTTCAATCGAGCTTGGGAGAAGTTTGACGTGGAGGTCCGATACGAGTCGGCATTGCATATAGTTACGGAGTACGGAGTACGAAGTACGTACATTTGAAGCATAGCGTCCAGAGAGATTGAATATCCATATGATACCAGTATGAGTATTGAGACAGAGTCAAATGCAACAATGATTAATGATTGCATACAGAGTACATTGTGAGTCAATAACTAATTAGTGAGTCAAGCACAGCCCGCAGCAAGGGCATATCATCTGATCGCGGGGCTTATCTTACCCCGGACTCACCCTTCACCTCGCGATAGCTGACATATATCTATACTATGGACACTATTGTAGTAGTTGGGTAAGTCCCAACTCCTCCAAATCAATCCAGCTGACCTGGAACCCCGGCAGCGCCGGCGTTATCGGCCTCACCACCGCTCTATGCATCCAACAACAGAACCCCGCCCAACCCATCCTCCTCGTCGCCCGTGACTTCCCAACCGACACCTCCGTCAATTACGCCTCCCCCTGGGCCGGCGCGCACTACAGACCCGTCCCTGGTGCCTCTCCCCAAGCACTCCGCGAAGCGAACCAAGCGCAGCGCACCTACGAGTATCTCAAGCGATCGGAGCCAGGCGCCGGGGTCGAATTCATCCAGGGAATCGAGCACCTCGAGGCCCCGCCGGCGGAGTATCTGGATACGCAAAGCGTACGGAATGTGTACTCGCATCTAGATGGCTTCCGGATCCTCGCGAGGGAGGAGGTGCCGGATGGTGTGGTGTGGGGAGCGCAGTACGGGACCTATGTGGTCAATTCGCCTGTGTACTGTGCGCATCTGCTGCGCAAGTTTGTGCTCAAGGGCGGCGAGACGAGAAGGTATACCTTGGCAAATTTGAAGGAGGCGTTTGCTTTCGGGAATGTGAAGACTGTGGTCAATTGTTCTGGAGTGGGGATTGAAGATCCCAAGGCCTTCATCATTAGAGGTGGGTCTGGTTGGTTGGCGCTGTGCTTATGATAGCTAATGATCTTCAGGGCAAACTTGTCTCGTGCGAAACCCGGTGTCGCAGACGATTACGCGGCAGAATCAGGATGGATCATGGTCGTTCTGTATCCCGCGACCTCTGGATGGTGGGACGATCATCGGGGGCACGAAAGAACCCCATAATTGGGATCCGAACCCGTCGCTGGAGACAAGGCAGCGGTTGCTTGCGAATGCGGCCAAATGGTTCCCTTTCTCGCCGGAAAGCGGAGGGAAGTTCGATGTGATTCGAGATATTGTTGGTCGCAGGCCTGCCCGGGAGGGTGGCATGCGCATTGAGGTCGAGAAGCTTGCTGATGAGCGACACATTGTTCATGGATATGGTGCCGGGGGCCGTGGGTTTGAAATTTCGCGTGGTGTCGCGGAAGATGTCACGGCATTGATGCTCGAGAATAATTTATTACCGGCGAAGGCATCGCTGTAGATATTTGCGATAACCGATCGTCTTCAGAGCATTGAGCGTGATGCCAGTGTATTTTATAGATCTACCGCCATAGGTTTAGAGATAGCAAGCCCAGAGGAAATAAATGCATCAGGTTCATTTGAATGAACGAACTTTTGCTACCGACAAAAAAAAAAGGTGCTATCAAAAGGTATCTCGGCCGTTGATTCTTCCGTCACATGGAACACAAGGCTTGTGCCTTGGCGCCCCCGTGGCCGGCCAGCCTTGGTATCTCTCTCTACGCATGCTTTTGGTGGTGCAGACGTATAGAGCGGGAGAAACCAAAGCGGCCAGCCGAGCCCTCGACAAGCGAGGCTGCATACAGAACGAGCAGTTTGAGCAAGCCATGGCAGCGATCACTCGGCATCGCGATCCGACCGGGCAACGTGGACACTGTCGGAGTCCCACGTTGCCGTGGATGTCAAGGGCCCACGAATCTGATATCATGAAGGTGTGCGGGTACTCAACCCACAGCTTCGGGAATGGTGGGAGGAAGCTCCCCTCCGTTGAGCTTGAGAAGACGCTCCTCTTCCTTCTGCTCACGCAGCTTCTCGGTTTCCCTGCGCATGACGGACAAGTTCCATGTGCCCGTCTCGTCCTCTCCATCTTCGGGCTCGCTGTCCTCCTCAGCCCAGTTACCGCTCTCGAACAATGTACGACCGGTCGCATCCTTGGCCTGCTGTGCTTGGTACTCGGCGGCCTTCTTGTCCAGACGGCCCTTCTTCCACGCGGCGAATGTCTCCGGGTTGACCGGTGTGAGGGTACCGGTCAGCTTGTGACGCTCTGAGTCGAGCCAGTCTTCCAAGGTCAGCGTGCTCAATGGCGATTTGTCCTTCAGGGCCTTCTCTGCCGCTCGCTGCTCCTTGGTCTTCAGAATGAATCTGTTCCGGGTGTTAGTTCGACGTAGATCTCGTAAAAGACGAAGTGCACATACCCTGGCGGCAAGCTGTGCTTGTACATGCACTTGTTTCCACCGTTCGGACAAGTCCAGAACCATCCGTATTTCTGGTTCTCGACGGCCTCGATAAAGAATTTGCAGACCTTCTCGGTGGTTGTGCGGGGGTTTCCGTGTTTGCTGAGCACGACACTGCGCAGCTTCTCCTCGTCCCAGTCGTCCATGGTATCCTTCTGTTTCTTTTCCTCCTCCTCGGCCTTCACATCACGCGAATCGGTGTACAGATCCTTCTTGGCAGCCTTGCGCTCGACATTGGGGTCGTGCGAGAACTTGCACTTGCGGCCCTTATCACAGTGGCCTTGCTTGAAGAAAATGCACAGCACGGTCTTCGGGTCGACACCAAAGGCGACCTTTTGGACTTGGACGGGTTTGAACAGTTCGAGTTGATCCTTCTTGGCCTGCTCTTGTGCTTTCTTCTCGGCCTCGCGCTTGAGCTTATCCGCTTCCTTCTTCTTTTCGCTATCATTCTTGTTGCTTGCTGCCTGTGCGTTCATCTGTTGGATCTGTTTTTTGGCCGCACCTCCCTTCTTATTTTTCAAACCGAACTAAAGACACCCGTCAGCGATGCACGCGACCCACGAGCACGGCGTTCAATTTCTTCTCCAGCGTGCGGCGTGCGGAGAAATTGATTGACACGATCCCGGTGCGTCGCATCGGTAAACACTCACAGTCTTATCCTCAACGGTGGCCTTCTTCTTCTTCGGCTCATTCTGCTGCTTCTTGGGAGGCATGGTGGCGGTTGGGACGTGAGGTTGCCGGGAGAAAGGTCAAAATGCGCCTGTGCAAGTTGCGCGGTGAGAAGAAAAGACGCTAATGCAATCCAAAAGACCAGATCGAAAGTGGCAGTAGGGGTGTTGTAGAAAGAAAGACCTCGAAAACGAGGGGTGTGTGACGGCAATAAAATTTTAGCCAATGACGGTGGGGGTCCACCTCAATTCACCGTGCCCCATTGACATCACTGTATACACCTGGGCAGTCACGTAGGTACTGCACAAGGGGTTATTTATATAAGTCGACGTGATGAGACACGAGGTAGTCACTGATGATCTTCATGATCGGACGATCTCCTACAAAGAGAACAAGACGAAGACAGCAATGTCAGATCGTGTTTCAGTGAAAAACGAATACAGATCGTTATACCGAAACAGATAGCCCTGTTATATTACGGTTCCATAATTCACATCGCCGTCAATATCGGCCCAGATGACGTAGTTAGTAACTATCGTGTGTAATATACTGTACTATACAGGCTCACGTGGTATGGTATTACAGATCTCAAGTGATATCTGTATTTAATTTCTACACTCCTGTTCGACTGACAAGTACAGACCAAATTGTTGACAAGAGATATCTATCCTACCTTGCACCAATCAAACATTGAATCTCTTCTAGCTCTACTGCACAATAGGTGTCCGCCAACATCTTCATGACATCAACCGTCGAGATCTCCGGGTCCCAAGAGTCCGCCGCAACAACAGCATCAACATCCGCACCACCTGCCATGAAAAGTTTTATAATATCTGCCCAACGGGCAATGCCATTTAGGTCCACATCAAAATATCCTATCATACGCCGCCGATGTGCGTTGCGTAGATGCCGCAAAAGACTCACCCATGAGGTCATTAGACGCTTGGTTTCGAAATCAATGTACTCGTGGTTGGGGCCGGGGTTCATAGGATGAGGTCGTTTGAGAAGAGCATGAATCATGTGTGGATTGGAGTGCGGATAGACTGTCTTCTCTCGTGAGCACAGGAACTCGGTTGCATATGTGAGAAGAGGAGTGGCCTTTTCGTCGACCTCCAACTGTACTTTCCCCTGAATGACATCGCTACCGTGCGAAATCATAGTGTCCAATTCCTCAGAGACGTAGGCTGTTAAGCCGAACTTCGTCGCTAAACATAAGAAGGGGTGACATATTGGTGGTGCTTTCTTCCGGACGTGGAAGAACCCAAAGGCTTTGGCGGCCCAGTGGTCGTAAGGATCGGCTTTAGCATCCCATAGCCACGAGAGAGTCTGATTGAGCTGGTTCAAAAAGCGTCGCTGCATCTTGCTCGAATCATCTATGATGTATCTCGCATGCGTCATAGCAATAACCACGTCCGGCCACCATGCATCGAATCGTCGGTGATGCTCAATTTCATCTCTTGGCCTCTTGAGCCGAAGTACATATGATCGTAAAAGCCGGAGATGAGGATCAAAGCCAGCTGCTTTTCTCTGTTCAAACTGTCTGTGAACATCGGCATCTCGCAGCCAGTCGCGTACTGTGCGATGGATGAAGGTAACTTTATTGTCCGCCAGTTGGCATATAGATGCAACGGTGTGGCTGTCATTCGAGAATTTGACATTCCGAGTGCGAGACTGTGCATGTCTTCCTTGAAGTTCTAAAAGCCCAGCAAACGTTTGCCGCATGCGTTGCACTGTATCGTTGGAGCGTTCGCTGATGAAATTGTCAGACACCTTGCGCACGCCCCCGTCTATTGCGCAGTCGTCGTCACCTTGTTCCAAGGCAAATGCCAACTCCCAGACTGTAAGAGAGCTGGCTGATGTATCATTGATGAACTCGGCCACTAGCTCTCTCGCTTCGATGAGGAGGAGAAAGCTTGTCGCTTTCGCAATTTGAGAGCTGGTTTGGTCTCGAAACAGGAACTTTTCGTACAGGCCTTCCAACTCTGCTGGAAGCTGAAACAACCTGTTCCTCAACCCAGAAATACCTTCCTCGGGGTCAAAGTCCTTGAGAATGTCGTTCAAAGCTAGCTGAATCCACAAGAAAACCCCGTTTGCTCGATAAACCACCGCCTGAAGCAATGCCTGCGTCTCTTGGGTCTCGCGCCTCACCAAACGACGAACAACAACATTCTCTCGAAGTTTGTCAAGTGCATATCGCTGCAAGTCACACTGAGTAATCTCCTGCAATGTGACACTAGGCCCTGATGTTTGAAACGCCTCTTCGAACACATCCCAGGGACGTGAAGAGAGACACATATTGATGTTGGGATTAAGACAAAATCTTCTGAAGAGGTCTACGAGCTCCTGGTGATCTTCATCGAACTCATCAAGGCCATCGATGAAAAGGCATATTTTCCTTTCCGAGAGCGCTTCATGCATGCATAGTTGGAACGCTTCCTGAAGCTCACCCTCGTCCCATTCTTTGTGAAGTGCGATTCTCTCCTTGGTGGTCATAGTGCGGATCTTGCTCCACAAACTGGGGAACGTGCGCGGGATGAGATGAGGATTGACCGAGAGCAACTGGTGTAGGAGAGCTCTGAAGAGTCCGCATTTGGACCGCTGGTCTCGACTCCCACTAGCCCAAGAGAAAAATCCGGCGGTTGATATGGGAACTGCACCTGCCCATCTCTGAAGTAATTTGGTGGTGGCTGGATGTTCGTAGAGATACTTCATGAGCGTTGATTTCCCAGATCCTGGCTTGCCCGTCATCCAGTATATGGGATCGTGGTCATTTGTCTCAAGCCATGCAGAGAACCCCTGCCGAAAGCTTTCACTCTTCTGGTTTGAATGGTTGTCTGCACTGAAAATCCACGCGAAGGTCTTTGCGTGCGCTTCAGATACGCTTTCTTCTCTGTCAAACATTTCATCAAATGCAAGATGGTCGAGAATAAATTCATTGAGGAGATCAACTGGGGCATTTCTGGGCTGCGAAGGCTTACTGGACTTGAGCACTCTCACGTCTATGATCAAGCTCTCTGGAACAGATTCGAAGGCATTCGTTGATGATTGCGATTCTGAGAGCTGTGGTAGTTGAATTTCACGTTCTTTATTGCAGAACGGTCGGTGTGTTTGAGGCGCGTTATATCTGAAGGATGAAAGCGCTCGTTCTTCTTGGGCAAAGACACTGTTGGGAACAAATGAGACCAAGAAGATTCATCAGGGTAGACGGGCTTACTTAGACTGCGAGTTCATAGCTCGGTATTGGCGCATCATACCAATAAGCCGTAATGCGAATGCTTCAAGGATTTCAGGTGTCCATATAGCACGGATCCGGGTCTCTGGAGCATTCAAGTCGCGAAAGGCTTTCTCGGCACGATCAAGACGAATTTCAAGATTCCGTCCCACCTTCAAACAAGCACGGGAAAGTGCTGCGATCCCATCTGTGGCGAAGGCCGCTGGGTCCGGCAGAGATGGAATGGTCTGACGGAGAGCAATGCACAGGTTGGCAAGGTTACATTTCCCTGCAGAGTGCCCTTCCTCATCCACGTCGTGAAGCGACCAAGCCGCCTGGCATACGGCAACAGAAGCTGTCAGAAATTGGCCGATAGCATCCATGATAGATTCAGCGATTTGCGAGGTACGAGACAACGAGCTTAGAGCATGCCTGTTCTACTTCATTCCAAGTTGAATAGCACACTTCAAATGGTCAGAGCTCTTCGTGGCATGTTTTTGTCTCCATCCGGTCATGTCGAAACGGTATACAGCCTCAACTCCGCCGGTGGCAATCTCAACTCCGAGCTCAGCTCCGGATGTTTCGCTCAATTTCCAGGGTGTTGATCTCGAACGCACCTGGCGGAGTTAACACTCTCACGCAAGGTCTACGATCTGGATCTGGAGAAGCAGTAGAATGAAGTTCCAAGTCCTCGTTTGTTCTTTTTTGTTCTTTACTTTTTTAGTCTAAACCCATGAATATAACAAAGGTCAACGGATTTTTCTATACCCCCCCGTGAACCGCAAATTGAGAAGATTAATCCGAATCATTCAAAGCCTGTATGGCCTGGGCGAGGGAGATGACACCAAGATTCATCTTTGGCAAAAGATCCTCGAGGAAGACCTTGGAGAAAGCCGTATGCTGGCTGGGTGGAAGCTCCAACACATTGTCCGAAATGACAAAGATGTTGTAGTCCAAGTCGAACAGACGATAGACAGTAGCCATCACAACACCCGAAAGGCTGAGACCAGACTGTATCATCACTTGTTAAATCGAACTTGTCATATTGAAATCTTGGAAACTTACGATAATCACAGTATCGATATTTTGGGCCTTCAATATCTGCTCTAGGTGGTTCCCAGTGGTAGCAGACCATCTGGTCTTCCGAAGAACAACATCTCTGTGGTCAATGTGAAATCTTTTGTCGATTTCAACTCCGGGGGTACCATCTTCAAAGGTCCCAAAGGGCTCGATCAGTCGAGCAAAGGGCTTGTTTGCCTCCAATTCAGGCTGGCCGGGGTGGAAAGCTAGGGTAGTGAAAACAGTCAAAGGTCGGTCACTCTTCGCATGAACGGCTTCGTTCCATTGGGAAAGATTTTCAATAAGCTGTTTGCCCTCGGGTGCTCCTTCGACGGCATTCAAAAGAAGGCTCATCCAGTCGAGGTTGAGGACGGCAAATCTTTTTCCGAAGCTCACGGGGTCATTTCTGGGGGCCATGGTGTCGAAATTGGGATATAATCGCACGATGATGTTCCAGCCTTAGAACTCGGTCAATTAGATGAATTGGATTAATGCTCAGCAATTTATAGGGCATTGGCCGGTCAACCTGCGGGCTCCGCTGCCCATACTATACAATATTCTGAACCCCGAGACCGCGGAAGACCGTCAACTCCGGAAGGCCTCGGCGACATCATGCCCATATGTATTCAAGTAGTTCATATCAAGCCGCGAAATATACCCATGGGCTCAACGATTAATGGTGCTGGGTCGGAGACTTGAGCCCTTGGGTTAATATTCCGCAATTTTACAGCATATGTTCGCGTACAAAAGCTCGGAATATTCTTGGCCCTGACAACCTTGGAATGCCGTCACCATTTCCATGATAAGATGTACACGACCCGTGAGGGCTGGTTATCTACCTAGGTAACACCTGTTGTATTGTTCGATACGTTGCTCGGAAAATATCAAGTCCCATGCGTGCAGGCCGTGACTGTGAAAAGCATAGTCCCAAACTCGTCGACATCCATAAGCCAGCGATCTACTCTCTTCTGGCGCCTAGAAATATCATGGCCATCGAATCCTATTGGAATGGGCCAAAGCTCATCGATAGTTAGGTATTCTTCAGCCCATTCCGCGAGATGTAGATTGAAGGCTCTCTCCCAGTCAGCTCGATCCTGGACATGCCATTGCGACCTACTCCCCGGCGCAGGAAGCCCTTGCAACTCACTCCCAAGGAAGACAGGAAGGCCCTCTTGAGCGCAGAGTATGCTGTCAAAGAGATACATGACATACAACGTCCTTCTCTTGGCTTCGGCCACGATCCACTCCTCCCATTTGGGACGTGTACGCGTTTGATCGGCAACACATACAATCCCCCGTCCACAAGCACGGTGTGCAAGTGCCTGCAAAGGAATGATAGTTTCTCGAAGAGGGCCGAGACCTTGTCCAAGCCCGAAAAATAGAACGAGGGCGTAGATCAAATAAGCCTGAAATGTCGCCAGTGACAGCAAATCGGTATCATCGGCACATTGCGTCTTCGCGATAGTTTCCATCTCGCGTTGAAGAACCGCCACCGCAACGCTTTCGCTGCCTGGTAGCGGATCTTGGCAGATCCGAACCAAACTCAGACATGTTGCCATCGGCGCGTTGGATCGCGCATCTTTCCTTTGTGATGCATGGACGAATGGCGGTTCTCGCCCTCGCATGGCCATGGATGCGTACGACTTTAGGATCCGCGAGATGAAGGCTATCACGTTTGGGGGATAGTTCTTGGCTGTTTTCTCTGGATCTGGTATGTAGGGATTCATCCATCGAGTGCTGATTTCATTGACATCAATCGGACAGAAAAGGCGGAGTCCCGAGAAGTCGAAGGCTTCGGCTGTGTCCCGTTCATCGTTGTCAGATGAGCGAATATCACTGAATGAGTTGATGGACGTGCTCGATCGTGAAGGTGCTATCTCAGGCGTGTATTGCATAGTTGATGTCCAGAAATTCACGTCGCCTTGGCTACGATTCGATTCCAAATTATTGGTCAAGCTGATCGGGCTGCGAGGCATTACGTCTCTGACAAAGCTACCGCCCTGCGGTGATGCAGAAGCCACCGGGCGCGCATCATGGTGATATGTGCATATTAAGCTGCGTTGTGAGCATCTTGTACAGCATCCGTCTTTGCGATCGCACTTTGCTTTTGCACTTGAACATTGCTGGCATGCCTTTTGCCGAGAGTTGGCATATCTTGCACTTCGCATTGCCAGTGTATGTCGGGGAATGCGGGTTAGGAGCAAGTTGTGACTTTTCAGACCAAGGATGCAATCGGAAGTGAGTATACAAGCGGAAGACGGAGTTCACGGGACTCCAAGTCTACGCTATTGGCTGTGACTTGGCAAACAGCACAAACATTCCAAGGTTGGTAATTAGGTGGATCCCGGCGGAGATCAAAAGATAAAGAGTCTCAGCTCCACCAATCACAGCACCCAAAACTAGGTTATGCATGATTCACCCCGGAGTTCACGCTTCAACTCCTATTTTCTAGGCTCAACTCCGGGCTCAACTCCGGGACGGTTATTCTCGATATCAAAGTGGTATTTAACATTGGATATGCCTCTTGAAGACCATTCTTATGCTAATTTCCCATAATCCATCTACTTTCCTGTCCAACTTCAAACAATCATTATACATCCTTTACTTTCATACTTGCGGACCCGATAGTCAACGAGACACATCATGCCTCCCGCATCTGTCGAGGGGGAGCAGTCGGTTACAGCAGAGCCACCATTTAGTATATTCGACAAACGACAAAAATGGCTCATCATCATCATTGTTTCCACCGCCGCAACATGTAAGCTTTCAGCGTAACATTTGAAATGATGAATATCGCTAATTCTCCGTAGTCTCCGGGTTTGCCTCAAACATCTACTTCCCAGCACTGCCTACAATTGCCAAAGACTTGAATGTCTCATTAGAGCTGGTCAACCTGACAGTGACCTCGTATCTCATCTTCCAGGGACTGGCACCAAGTTTGTGGGGCCCTATATCCGATGTGAAGGGGCGTCGAGTGGCATACACCTTCACTTTCTTGGTGTTTTTCGGCGCATGCATCGGTCTGGCTGAAACAAAGAACTATGCCACACTGATTGTTCTCCGATGCCTTCAAAGTACTGGGAGTGCCAGCACCATCGCCATCGGCTCGGGCGTGATTGGTGATATCACAACGCGGGACGAGCGCGGCGGCTTTATGGGTATCTTCCAAGCAGGGCTTCTTGTGCCTGTGGCAGTTGGCCCGATTATTGGTGGTGCCATGGCGGGAACTCTGGGTTGGAGGTCGATCTTCTGGCTTTTGACAGTCTACGGGGGAGTATTCTTGATCACGATGCTCCTGGTTTTGCCAGAGACGCTTCGGTCGCTGGTGGCGAACGGAAGCCAAGTGCCATCATCCAAGAATCCATTGGTGAAATATCCTCTGGTGGTTTATCAGAGGCTTACCCGTGTTCAATGGGACTCGGGAATAGCGATTCCCCCGGCTGCTAGAAAACACATCGACGTCGTGGGGCCGTTCCGCATTCTCTTCAGTAAACATTCGACACCAATTATTGTGTTTCTCGCAATATACTATGCTGTCTGGCAGATGGGCATCACCGCAATGTCTTCCCTTTTCACAGATCAGTATGGTCTTTCGGAGATCCAAAACGGCCTGACTTTCATTGCCAACGGCGTGGGCTCTATGGTCGGAACCCTGATCACGGGGAAGATCATGGATGCAGACTACCGAAAGGTGAAGGCCGAGTATGAGTCGTTGGATCGGTCGATCGCCGAAGGGGGCGATGCTTCTGGGGAAAGTGACTTTCCCCTCGAGAAGGCCCGTCTTCGCCTCATCCCTCTTTTCGCATGCCTACAGTGCCTTTCTTTGGTCCTTTTCGGCTGGACTATTCAATATCGAGTTCACATTGCAGTCCCCATTATCTCAACATTCATAACAGGCTGGACTGTCGTGTCGATGCAATCAATCATCATGACCTACCTCGTTGATATTTTCCACGAAAGAAGTGCTGCTGCCAGCGCCAGTATCAACCTTGCTCGATGCTTGTTCGCGGCTGGTGGCACCAGTTTTGTGATGCCGCTGATCACTGCTGTCGGGGCTGGTGTCACCTTTACTATATGCGCTGCTGTGCAATTCGTTGCACTTGTTGGTCCGTTTGTCCAATGGAAGTTTGCTGCTTCATGGAGAAGAGGAGAGGGTCAGCAGGAGGATAATAAGAGCTAAGTGAGATTCCGAGGTGGAGTCGAAAGCATTGGCATGATGCAGATGTAAATTGCTTGGAAGTCAGACATTGTAATAATAGAATCTTGAAATGGGGTGATTAGACAAGAAACTAGATCTCGAAAACAAGTTCTTCTATCAGCATTGACCAAAGAATTATGTGAATGCGTGCTCCCAACAAGCTGGCCAAAATTAAAAGGCCTGTATATGTACTCAATTCTGCTAGCCTCATGGGTTGCCATGTCATCTCGCTAACACACATCAAGATATTGCATTTGGGGCTCAATGTTTCTTATTTTGATTTTTGAGGGTGCACTTGGTAGAGTTTTCTTACTGGAGCGAAACAGCCATATAAGATACTGATGAATGTCTTCAAGCAACGTGGGCCATTCGATGGCCAGTAGACTAGATCAGTCGAACTGTTCTCTTCCAATGGTTCACGGTAGCCGTGACGAGAAGCGCGAACTGTATGTCCCAGTCTGCGTATATGCAGGGGAATAATGAAGGAGGCCATCTGTGCACCAGCTCCTAGCGTTTTGATTGAGGACTCCCCACAACCGAGGATTTTTCAGATCGACGTCTGAATTTCTAGTACGCTAGAAGCGAGGTGTAGCGGAAGATGATCCATTCTCCTAACTGAAGCTCGTCGCATGAAAGTTTCCCACTGTTCAGCAATGTCAGTGAAAGTCAACAGATATCTTTGGGCAGAATGTACTTACTCGGGGCAGCAGGTCAGGTGAAAATAATCATGAGAACGTGGTAGAGCTGTCGGTTGGAGCTGGTCTCGATACCTAGTAGCATACCGAGCGAGTGAGGCTCTGGCGGCCTCTGGTAGCCACTTGAGGAGTCAACTCAAACTGTTTCACGCCAGCGCATTGTAGCGAAAGGACTGGTTTTGAGTCAAAGCCTTGCATTCCGGCTCGATTTTCCATATCTAGGCTGGAAAGTGAGTCTTTTGTGAGCCCCAATCCAGGTGACTCAAGGCTGCTGTCCCCTAGATAGCTCGCGTGCTCTCCCGGGTCTCTCTTCGGTGTCTGCAGGGATGGCCGACGGTCTGCGGGGGACTGGACCTATCTTCCAAGGTTGCGGCCTGGCGAAAGTCCGTCTTGAAAGTCAGGCGCCTGTTGCAGTTGGTATCAGGTAGGACTCGCATCTTCAAATTTTGAGCAGGTAGATACCTAGGTAGCGGTCATCGACGTATAGCTAATCAAGACAGATCCCACCTCCCAAGGTTTCACAAGAGTTTTGTCGTCTTTATAGTCTGTTCGCCTTACCTGATATAATCTAGAGTGAAACCTATAGATATGATAGAACTTGAAGAGCGGCAAGAACTTCACTTGAGGTCCTAAAAGATATCAAATAACAATCAAAATCAAGCCATACTGTATATCTTTAGATAGACATAACAGAATGGCAGGATTTAGAAACCAGGAGATGGCTGATCCCATATAAGTCGAATGTTACCTACCTAGGTAGGTATATATTAGTTGAACCAGTTGTGCCTAAATTGATCGGTACTCAAAATTTTCATCGATCTCATCTATATTCAAGTGCTAGATAAGTCTGGGATTACACATTAATATACTATACCCAGGGATAGATTTTGGTATAAAAATCAATAAGGATAGAGTGAGGATAGAACTATATGCGAAGCAATGTGGATGCCTGAGACGTCAGTCAATTCCCAAATTGGAAACATGGAATATTTCTTATGTCAGCTCGGACTAATGATGTCCCCGCTCCAAGTCTCAAGGCTCAACACGGTTCCTAATGAGGACCAACCAGTGAATTATGCTTCGCCGGTCAATCTGCAAGGTAAGTTCGAAGCTCGTTTCAGTCGCGCGGATGTTGCTCACACCATGGATAGGTTCCGCGACGGGCTGAGTGGCCTAGTTCGGCCTGTCTGGTGCCCTCTTCAACAGCTCTTACTATACGACGAACGTTACGAACATCCGCGAGTCGATTGAATTCCGAATCGTCATCAGGAAACCAAGATGCCTCTCCATCTGATGCGGCACCCGCAAAACCTAAGTTTGGCAGCCGATGGGGCCCCAAAGCCACAACTCAGAAACCAGCTGGCCTAAGCGCCGCGGAACAAGCCGCACGAGATGCGATGGTCGCCGCGAGTCCAGCACCTCCCCCGAAACCCATAAGTATGTGGAAAAAAGCAGGTCCGCAGGCAGCGGCTCCAAAGCAAGCCGGGTTAAGTGCGGCGGAACAAGCAATGCGCGACAAAATTCTCGCCAGCAAGCCACCTGCTCCGCCCCAAAGCAGCCAGCCGGAACGATCCAATCAATATAGAGCACAACCTCGCGGACGCTTTGGAGACCAGCGGGAAAGGAAAGGCCACATGGACGCCTGGCCAAGGCCAGACCAAGATCAGAATCCCTTCCAGCAGCGTAATAATTATGGCGATAACTGGGGGCGCAGTCCGCGAGATCGAGGCTCTTTCCAGCAGCGCAATCCTTTCCACCAACACGAACTACCTGAAGAGAACCCTTTCATGGCACCGAAAGCTTCTAATCGAGATCAAACGCCGACGCAGAGATACAGCAACCCCGGAATGACACGCATGGATAATCGTCAATTAAATTCCGCTGAAGAGTGGAGCTGCCCCTCGTGCAGGGCACATGTTCTATCATACAAAGTCAAGTGTCCATTCTGCAAAACAGATAAGCCAGCAGAAGATCGCCAAGAATATCCCGCAAGTGAAAGCAAACTACAGCAATTGGGCAGGTCCATTCTGTCCGAGATGGACCATGACGCGGAGCTTGACACAAAATCCCACCGTGGAGAAACCAACAATATTAACGATGCACCTGAAATGGACGAGAATGCGCCCCAAAAGCAAACAGTGCCTTGGGATTTATCTGCATTGGACAACCTGGAAAGTCTAGAGCTTGGAACTTCGGAACAAGAGCAGCCTGGGAAGAAAGGGAAGCGCCGTGATGGGCGCAAGGGACGCGAGTCCGACTTTGAAAAGGGAGACTTTGACACGGAGGCGCGAGATCGCCTTCGCAACGAACGCAAGCAGCAGCAGAGAGCCAAGGCTGAACGCAAGGCTTTGAAGAAAGCAGAACCCGCCCCTCTTTACCTACCCGAATTCATCAGTGTCGGTAACTTGGCTGATGTGATTGGCGTCAAGCCGGCGCAGTTTGTGGCACGCATGGAGGAAATGGGCTTCGAGGATATCACCTACAAGGATATTCTTGATGCAGAGACCGCTGGACTGGTGGCAGCTGAGTACAATTATGAGGCCATCTTCGATGACGGCGCAAACGACATAGAGGCTGCCCCTGAGCCGGAGGATACCTCTCACCTGCCTTCGCGCCCTCCCGTGGTGACCATTATGGGCCATGTTGATCATGGAAAAACTACGATCCTGGATTGGCTGCGCAAGTCTTCCGTGGCGGCATCTGAGCACGGTGGTATCACCCAACATATTGGTGCATTCTCCGTGAACATGCCTGGTGGCAAGGCTATCACCTTCTTAGACACTCCCGGTCACTCTGCCTTTTTGGAAATGCGTCGCCGAGGCGCTGATGTCACCGATATCGTGGTCCTCGTTGTGGCTGCAGATGACAGTGTCAAGCCACAAACGATCGAGGCTATCAAGCATGCCAACTCAGCCAATGTTCCCGTTATTGTCGCCATCAGCAAAATCGACAAAGAGGGTAAGAATCCCGACAAGGTCAAGAGTGATCTGTCTGCCCATGGTGTTCATGTTGAAGACTTCGGCGGTGACGTGCAAGCTATCGGAGTCAGTGGTAAGACTGGAGTAGGAATGGTCGAGTTGGAAGATGCTATCATTGCACTTTCTGAGATGCTTGACCATCGCGCGGACACTGCCTGCAATGTGGAAGGTTGGGTCATCGAGGCTTCCACAAAGAGCTACGGCCGTGTTGCATCGGCTCTGATCCGACGCGGTACCCTTCGACCGGGTGATATCATCGTCGCTGGTACTGCATGGGCTCGTGTCCGCACACTGCGCAACGAAGCTGGTGTATCCATCGATGAAGCTACGCCCGGAATGCCTGTTGAGATCGATGGTTGGAGAGAACAGCCAGGTGCTGGCAATGAGATCCTCCAGGCACCAACCGAGCAGAAAGCCAAGGACGTCGTTGAGTACCGGTTGGAGAAGTCCGATACCCAGAAAATGGGAGTTGATATGGCCGCCATCAACGACGCCCGGCGTGAAACTGCCGAGAAGCGCAGACTCGAGAATGAAGATGAAGAGGACGAGACCAGACGCAAGAACGCTGAGCCCACCGGACCCAAGCCGGTCAACTTCATCTTGAAGGCCGACGTGGGTGGCTCGGCTGAGGCTGTTATGAACTCTGTTACTGCAGTTGGAAACAACGAGGTATATGCCAACGTTCTTCGCTCGGGCGTGGGGCCAATTAGTGAATTTGACGTCGAACATGCCGCCACCGCCAAGGGCAGGATCATCTCGTTCAACCAGCCTATTGATCCCCACATCATGCGGATGGCCGAGGCCGAAGGAGTCCAAATCATGGACCACAACATCATCTACAAGCTGACGGATGAAGTTAAGAGTATTCTCAGCGACCTCTTGCCCCCATCAGTCACTACTCGTGTGACCGGAGAAGCCGAGGTCCGCGAGATCTTCCAAATCACCGTTAAGGGACGCGAGAAGGTGACCATTGCTGGATCCCGTGTGCGCAACGGTATGATCAATAAGACTCGTAAAGTCAGAGTGCTTCGTGGGGAGGAAACGTTATACGATGGTAAGCTTAAGTACGTACAACTACTTTGGACATTATTAACACTCACGTCAGGCGCCATTACTTCCCTCAAGAACGTCAAGAAGGACGTCACTGAAATGCGTAAAGATACAGAGTGTGGTATCGGATTCGAAGACTGGGCCGACTTCGCTGTTGGCGATCGCATCCAGTGCTATGACGAGATTTTCGAGAAGCGATATCTCTGAGTTGGCTTGACTTCACACACCTGCGTGGTCACATTCGTGATCGCTTGTACTATTTGCCCGGGGGACATGGTCTGCCCTCGATCTTCCCTGTTCAAAATTTGTATCATATTATCCTCTCTTGCCGTGAGAGACTTGCATCCAGGGCATGGGCGTTATTGCATCCCTATCAGAGACATACGATCTATGTAATGGACGATGCTGCAGGAGCAGCACATGTACATGCTTCAATATTATGCCTAGAAGTTTTTTTGTCGAGTACTTGTTTCCGAGATGGCCATGCAAAGCAGCCATGTATGAAGGTCAAAGCAGAGTCCTGCCTTGAGGTAATCAAAGGGGATTGAGACCAATTCCAATAACCCAAACCCCTTGGTCAATTAGAAGATACAACAGCCCAGCTCCCATGGAAACAGACTACTTGGCCTTCCACCGCACCCTCCCAACCCACTTCGCCCAATCCATCACATCCTCCCTCTCACAGATCTTCTCAACGGTATACCACTCCCGCGCCAGCTCCTCATTGCTCGCCATGCGGTGCACAAAACTATGACACGCCCGGCAAAGCCAAGCAACGCTGTTCAACGTCCATTCGTCATGCCACCCCCTCTTCAGAACCTTTGCATGAACGCCCCTGGGAATCAGATGATGATACGACAGCGGAATCCAATCCCGCTCGCAGATCTCACACGCGTCCGCACGCGTGTTCGCCCACACCGGTGGTCCCGTCGTGACACTCGTCGTGTACTCCGTCAGCACGGGGGATAAAAAGTCCACCAGGTCCGCGGCATCGGGGATGATGCCGTAGACGACTAGTGAGTCGGTGACGCTGACGGGGACTGGGGAGCAGATGGTTTCGAGGGTCTGGCGGGGGAGGGGCGTGTCGGGTTCGGGGACGTAGATGGCGAGCGAGGGATTGTGTTGGAGAGCTGCGTAACTGAGGGTTTGGAGGGGTTCTGGGAAGGTGGTGAATGCCTCGGAGGCGAGGAACTGGGATGCGGGTTAGCTGGGAGCTGGGAGCTGGTGGTTGCGATGTACATCTACGAATTCGGCCAGCTCTTCTGGGTCGATTCTTTCGACTTCAATTCGTTTGCCCTTCTTTCGTTGGGGCTCTGAGCGCGCCACTAGGGCGTTGGACAGACATTCTCTGAAAGTGTCGTAGTTCATGTCGGAGGGTTGGTCTGACATCATGGCTCACCTTTCCCGCACTTCTCGTCTCCGGTCTTGTTCTCTCCAACAATGGCCGATGTAGTGGCTTTTGATTTATATGGCACTCTGTTGTCGACCGCATCAATCGCTAAGAGACTCGAGAAGCATTTTGATCCTGTCAAGGCGCAATCGATATCCGCACTCTGGAGACGGTATCAACTGGAGTATACATGGCGGTTGAACAGTATGGGTGAGCAATCTAACCCTCTACTACGCTCATCTCTCACAGTCAACAGGCAGGTATGAAGATTTCTCGGCCATCACACGGAACTCGCTGTTGCACACTCTGGCCGACCACCATACCAGTCTCAGTGAGGATGATATGGCCGAGGTGATGCACGCCTACGACAATCTATCAACATTTGCCGACGTAAAACCGGCCTTGGCCCGCATAGCCTCGGACCCAAACGTGCAAGCGGTGGTTTTCTCGAACGGCACCAAGACCATGGTATCAAACTCGGTGCTGCGGTCTGAAGACCTGTCGCCGCACGCCAGCACATTCCAAGATGTCATTACCGTGGATGAAGTCCGGCAGTACAAGCCCGCTCGAGCATGCTACCAGCATTTGGCACGAAAAACGGGCAAAAATCCAGCAGCGATGAACAATCTCTGGTTGGTGAGTGGGAACCCGTTCGATATTGTAGGCGCACGCAGCACGGGAATGCAGGCCATATGGATTGATCGCGACGGCGGCGGATGGAAGGATGCTGCGAGTCCCGACTTGCAGCCCACGGCTACGGTACACAGTTTGGAGCAGGTCGTCCAGGAAATTCAGAGTCGGAAGTGATTTCAAGTTCAAATTTGTTTTCATTGGGATATAGGAATGTACAGCTGAATATATTTCCAAACGCTCCACGCTTGAGTAGAAGAGTTTGGGGTAAGCCAGCAGAGTTGGTCTTTCCTCCCATTTCCCCTCCAGAACTTCCATTGAAAGAAAAGTTCAGAGTGAATAGGGAGGAGTTCAGTTTATGTGAAGAAGAAAAGAAAAAGCGCGCCCGGCGAAAAATTTCATGAACAAAATAGCACTCGACACGTGACATGTCACGTGTTAATCTTATCGATAAGCTCCAATCCGGTCATTTCTCCAGGTGCCAGCATTTCTAGGAGGCACTCCATTCACCATGTCTCGAGTGTGGGATCCTAGTCGGGCTGCTTGGCTGTATCCGCTACGGGTGGGTAATCCGTGGCACGGATGACAAACTCCTAACTGACGTTGAGCCAGGGCATCTTCTACTTTGCGTCCAACCGGTTCCTCTGGCCCCTCTTCAAGGCCCGCCTCCTTCCTATCGTCCTGTTGTCGACATTCATTTACTTCATCCTCTTCTTCTTCACCTATTTGCCCCAGGTTGCCTTCTTGGCGGTCTTCCAGGGATCTTCGGCATGGGTGAGTGGTGCATTTCTGGTCCTTGGTGAAGGCGCCGCAATTGTCGCCGCCCTCTTTGAAGCTTTCTTCGTGGATGAAACCCTGGTGGATATCTTCGATGCCGTGCTCGTCAACGAGGGGCAGGAAGAGCTCGTCACGACATCCCGAGTCATCTACCCGGAGCCTGGTGACCCGGCGAAGCGTCTCGGCACGCCGACCACCAGCGCCATTTATTCTCCCTTTTCGCTCCGACAGATCGCCGAGTTCATTATCCTGCTGCCGCTCATCTTTATCCCCGTAGCTGGTACACCCATGTTTCTGGTCTTGACCGGGTATCGAGCGGGACCGTTCCATCACTGGCGATACTTCCACCTGCTGGACATGTCCAAGCAACAGCGGAAGGAAAGCATCAGTCGCCGCCAGTTACAATATACCACGTGAGTTCCTCCCCCTCGATTCCTCCCCTTGCGGTTCTAGTATTAATATCCCCTGTAGGTTCGGCACGGTTGCTCTGATCCTCCAATTGATCCCGCCATTCTCCATGCTGTTTCTGATGACCACGGCAGCTGGATCAGCACTTTGGGTGACCGATCTCGAACGCAAGCGTCGTGCGGCGACTCAACAGTCCAACCGATTGGGCGACCAGTACCGGGACGATATAATGCCATGACCCATAGCGAGAATCCACTAGAAGGGCCGATCTTCAATGTAATGTTTCACATTCGAACCCCTTGGCAGAGGAACAAAGTCGTAGTTCAATTCGCAATATCGTATGGACGTAGATCATTAATGCGGCGACTCGACGGACCTCGGGTTTCCCCAGATTCTTGACCCGCCCGCTTAGCAAATCTCCCACCTGCGCCGGACCTGATCACTTCCAACCTTCGTGCCCGTCCTGGAGCTGGAGCTGGAGCTTAAGCTGAGCATATCGCGATCCCAGCCCTTTGGGTTTCGGCTTTCGGCCTTTCTTCGGGCCCTTGGCGTTGACCCTGAAAAGACGCGATGAGCTGACCGAGGTCCGCGCAAATCAATTCAATGGACCAGCGAACGAGGCTTCGCAAGGCCTGCGATGCCTGCAGTATTCGCAAAGTGAAGGTATTGGCCCCGAAGTGCTTCGCGATAACATCGCTGATCATGCAAGTGTGATACCGGTGGGCCGCCGTGTCGGTCATGCGCTAGCTTGGAGATTCCATGCACCTATGAAAGACCCAGTAGACGTCGCGGTCCTCCCAACCGCCACGCAGAGGCCTTTAAGAAACAAAAGCGTGAACCCGAGACTTCCTTGAGTCCAGCAGATTATCCCTTGGCGACCCCACAGCCAACGCCGGCGACCCCGGTACCTTTGGTCAACCAGTTGGCGTCGCCCTTGTCGGCGGAGTCGATCTGTTCGTTGCGCACAGTGCAACTACTGCTCGATGACTTTTTTACTTACATTCACCCGTTGGTTCCGATTCCCCATGAGCCCTCCTTCCGAGCGGCCTTCGAGCGTCGCGAGGATGTGACCAGCCACACCTTTTTGGCTCTGCTGGCCTCGATGATCGGTCTACTAGTGGCTTCCTTTCCGCGCAGGCCCAAGTTGCGGTTGAATACGGAAGCCGAGCGCACTGCATTTCCTAATTCCATCGCGTTGGTAAAGCGATGCTTGGACGTGGCCATCCAGGCTCGGGGTACGGGATATCTCGATCGTGACGCCACGGTCTACGATGCAGCGATCAGTTACTTTGTGGCAATCTGTACGGGCTATATCAACAACATGAGTCGGTGTCGCGTCTACCTGTCCGAATGTCGGGTCATGCTCCAGGTCTACGATCTGTGCAGACCCGCCCCGTCGACGCTGGGGCTTAACGTGGGATCGCCAGCGGCAAATTTCTCAGACTACCCACCACCTAATTTCATGGAAAGCCAAAGAAGTGATATCATTACTCAAGAACTAGGCCGGCGACTGTTTTATGTCACCCTCGTCGGGTACCAAACGCTGCATCAGATGGGAAACTCAGATTACAAAACTCATGTTCCCCCCGAGACTCCAACTCATCGCTATCCTCCAATGCCGTTGGAGATTGATGATGCGTTCTTATTCCCGTCACACGTCGAACCTCAGCCATCCGATCGTGTCTCACAGCTAGTCGGGTTCAACGCAAATGTCCGCGTCTGCAGCTCATATACCGCTCTCATATCCTGGGAGATTGCTTTTGGCAGTGGGCAAATCTTCGACTGGGACCACCAGCGCAATAGTCTCTGGGGCTGTCTTCAAACAGCCAAGTCCACTCTACTTGATGTTCCCATTGAACTCTCTCTTCGTCACCCGGAGATCACCTCTGCTGCAGGCCTGTCGGGCGTCGGTGAAGATGGTAGCGTATTTGGCTACTCCGATGACCACATCCACCAAGAAAGACGTGCCATCCAGTACGAGATCCAGAAAGCCAACATTTACGCCAGTCAGTTGTGCACTCGATCCTATATCGTCGAGAAGTACTGGAGCCTGTTTGAAATCTACTCGAAATACGGGAAGTCGTCCAAATTCACCGCACCCGGCAGCACCGCGCTTCAATTCAAGCAGGAAGGCAATCCAGACCAACTCTCAACATCCACTCCATTCCAAACAGCAACCTCAATCCCGCCTACTGCCACCAGCCCATCGACACCCAGCATCCAGATCCAAACCCAAACCCACCTCCAGGCAGACCCCATTGGCCATACAATGGCCGAAGAGCGCAAGCTAGTCATTAAAGACCTCTTCGTTCTACTACGCACCGTCAACGAAGTAAACATGGAGCCCAACGGCGCAAGCATCGTCCGTCACCCTAAAACCAGATGTACCTCTTAACTAACACTCTGCCAGACCGCAAAAATCCGCCAAGTAGCATCCACCCTTCTTAATCTCCCGCGCCCTAAACCCACCGAGATGCCTGTCCCACCATCCCCGTCGGGTCCGCATGTTCTCACATCCACGGAAGCAGAGTCTTACCTACACGCCTTCATCGAGACTCTTGTTAGGCTGGAGTGCCATTCTTCTATGGCTGATTCAGCGGCCGAAAGCGTGAGTCCGCAGATGAATGGCCGCGCCATGAGTTATCTCAGTGACTACGAGCGTGATCAGGAGGAATTGAGTCAGTGGGCGAGTCTGAAGGAGTATCAGCAGAAGTTCGCGGAGGCTGGGGGTATGATGTATCAATTGTAGTGCGTGTCGCCCGCAGAGAACCAAATACATGAGTTCAAGTCATTCACGATAGTTTCAATTGAGTATTTGTCTATTTCACAAAGGAAGCTAGAACCTTGGATGTCGAGAAATTGCCGAGGAAGAATACCTGTTTGAAAGGACATTAAGCTATTCATAAATAAAATCAAATTACATATACATTCTCATCTCAGATTCAAAATAAATCAAGATATCAAATAGACCAGGTCCCTCGGCTAGTCTCGAGTAACAGTAGCAGTGACAGTCTCCGTCACACGGTCAGTCACAGTCTTAGTCTCGGTCTCGGTCTGAGTGGTTGTTTCTGTGATTGTAATGAATCCAGATGGTGTAATGGGAATGATAGAGATTAGACCTTGACCCGGCGCAGAAGTTGTGGCCACCACTGTCGGTTCTGCCGTGGCTTCAATCGCTTGTGTTGTCTGCGGCGGTGCATTATTCTCCGTTGGCAGAGCCTGAATTACCTCTGTCGCCATCACTGTTGGCTCTGCAGTTGATTCAATAGCTTGCGTTGTCTGCGGTGGTACAGTTTCCTCTGTTGGCAGAGCCTGGATTATCTCCGTCGGCACAGCAGTAGACGTTGGGGGCGAATTGGGATAGACAGTGACCCGAACTACTGTCGTTGCTGTGACGTGCACTGTTTCTACCGGTTCTGACGCGGCATCATCACTGGAGACCGCCTCGGTTGGGGCTGTATCAATGACTGTGTCAATAGCTGTAGCCGTAGGAGCTGGGTAGACGGTTTCCGCAACGACGGTCTTCGATGTAACATGCACTGTCTCCTCGGGCGCTGTGTCTTCACTTTGAGCCGACTCGGTAGGGCCTGCTTCATTGGCTGATGATGATGTATAGACAGTCTCGGCGATGACAGTCTTCGATGTGATGTGTACGGTCTCTACGGGTGCGAGCGTTGTGTCGATGTCCGAAGATATCTCAGCTACTCCAGTATTGCTAGGCGCCGACGAAGAGGTCTGGTAGGCAGTTTCAAGAACAACGGTCGTCGAGGTAACATGCACGGTCTCCTCAGGCACTGCGTTTTCACTGAAGACTTCGCTGGTTGGGGTCGCTGACGGAGTCAGGTAGACAGTTTCAGGGACGACTGTTCTCGAAGTGACATGTACTGTCCCTTCTGGTACTGGATTTGCACTTTGGGTGTCCTCGCTGGTGGCTGTCTCACTAGATGCCACTGGTGAGGGCCCTGTTGGGTGAGCTGTAACACTGACAACGGTCGTTTTTGTAGCCTGCACTCTGATGCTAGAGAAAATAGTCGTTACTTCTTCTGGATCGTCCGAAGTGGAAAGTACCGCCGCTGGGACTGAGGAAGTATCTATAGGCTCAATGGAGCTACTGGTGGTCTGATGAGCGGTGCTTGTCGTGGGTGTCGGCGATGGCCTCGTCACATAGACGATGACAGGATCAGTTACTATCTCAACAGGCTCTGTGTCTGTAGCAGATGAAAATGCTGCTGCAGATTGGGCCTGCGGAGAGGCTGTCAACTGCTCGATCCCAGAGAGTGACGCCTCTGGTGTTGGCGTGAAAGACGGTGCTTTGCTGCTACTGGCTCCACCCAGAGGCGCGACAACTCCAAGAGTTGGACTAGCACTTTCGGATGTTGCAGATATCGCCGTAGATAGCCGTGAGGCACTGGGAGTTGATGTTGCTGATACAGTATCGTTGACACTGGATAGGTGTGTAGTAGCTTCAGCGGTCATCATGGAGCCAAGTGAGGAAGCGACTGTCTGTGACGCAGACCGAGAATATGGTATTGAGCTCATAGCACTAGGTGTCTGGTAAAGAGCACCACTGAGCTGCCGGCTTGATGGTGGGGTTGAGCTTGATCCGTAGATTGGATCTTTGAGAACAGCGCTTGAACTAGTAGATACAGGAATTTGCAGTGAGGATGAGGCTTGTATGCTGTTTGAGCTGCCTGTTTGGGTCTGAGTGGTAGCATTTTGCCCTTCAGTGGTCTCCGGAGGTGTTGTAGATATTGCGCTCGAGCTATCACTGGGGTATGTCAAGTACACTGGCCAGCCTGTCTTGGTGGGAGAAACTTTGGATGCCGTAGTCTGGGTGATCTGGTGGACAGAATGTGATGATTCCGTCATATTCTGGGTCAAAGAATGATTGGTAGATAGCGCGGGTGTAGATGATAGCTGAGTATCTTCAATCAAAGACGAACTTGGGATGATTGGCATAGAAGACGTCTGTGTGGTGGCCAAGGAAGGAGTGACAAACAGCGATGATAAGAATGCGTCAGAACTGTACTCAACTGAGGTCGAGCTTGGGATTATCGGCTGAGAAGACGTTGATTCAGCGGCCGCCATGGAGGAAGTGACCGGTGTAAATGAAGCTGCACCATCACTGGCTCCATTAAGTATGGAGCTAGGTATGGGGGACTGAGAAGATATCAGTTCCGTGGCAATCAAGGAAGTGGTGGCCGATGTCGATGAAGTCGTAACATCATTGACAATAGATGTAGGGCGAGGTATGATTGACTGAGGAGATGTCGACTCAGAAGTAGTCAGGGATGTAGTAACCGGTGTAGATGAAGTTGTATCATCATTGAGTCCAATGGATGCAGAGCTAGATATGGTCGACTGCGAAGATACCATTTCTGTAGTCATGGAAGTAGTGACTGGCGTGGATGAAGTCGTAGCACTGGTTTCAGCCAACGAAGGTGTTTGAGAAATTGTCTGAAAAGGTGTTTCTGTCTGAGAAGACGTTTCAAATGGTGATTCTAGCGGTGTGAAAGATGACACAGAAGGCGTTAGAGCCCCGGCAGAAGACGACTCTGAGATACCCTCGACCAAACTAGTCGGCTCTTCAGAAGCAGTCTCTTGCGTAGGTGATATCGTAGCTGCGCTGGATACCTCAAATGCAGATGAAGTCCGGGTCGGTGGCTCCATAGGAATGATCGTTATAGCCTCCCCATCTCGACGCCCAAGCTGTATACCAGTATCTGGCTCCAGTGGTTCATTCCGGCGAGAGATCGGACCGGCCGACACGATCCACGTAAAGAACAGTAGCAAAAATAGCTGATGGCGAAGCATTTCCGAAATACAAACGAGTGAAGGAAGTTGCCAGGATTGAGAGCGAATGTGACAGGCAGATGTTTGCGCGACCGATCAGTGGGTATAAAAGAAAGACTGAATCAGAGAGTCTGGATGGCGCCAGAATAGCATGACCAGATGAATGTAGTCGATTAAAGAAGAATAGAGACGATGGCTTGCAAATGAATGGAATGAGTCAATAGGCCCAGGACAGAAGCGAAATAGAACAAAGGCAAGCTGGAAGCCACTGTCAGTAAAGAGCGCCATCGAGGCTCTGAAGAACCAGTTTGACGCCAAGGGGCGTTTCATCAGAAATAGATCGACAAAGAGCAGGGGTGTTGCAGTAGGCGCCGTGAAAGAAGCATCGACGTGCGGTGATTGGCTGTCAGTGGGTAGGCGCCGATTATACTTCGGATTGACCAGCTATTTATGAGCAGCAGCAGGATTTCTCAATTTCCGAAGAAATCATATTCAAGGGCCCTTTTCACTGGGGTGTTTAAATATCCGTTGGTATAGCAGAGACAGTGAACCCTCACAGCGAACCCTCACACACTGACACTAAATGGCCCCCCAATCCCCTCGAAAGACGAGATCTGGCCCAAGATGTTCTTTGACTCGCCATAATAACGCATCCGATAGGTCCCAGCCTGCAGAAGTGGCTGATCCACCCCGTAGTACTCATCCTCAATCTGCCATCGAATAGTCACCTCGCTGTGTCCCAGAAGAGTGTTTGTTCGCGTCCATAAAAACTCCAGATTCCAATCCCGGTCGTCGCGGACTACTTCCCACCCAAAATCCGTGCTCCTTTCCACGGCAGCGTAGGTCGACTCCTGGTGCAAGTGGTTGCGGGGGTTAGCGCCCACGAACGCTGCGTTGACAATGTCCCCGGGGCCATAAGACCCACTCCCCGATGAAAGCACAGAGCCGAATGGCTTGCCAGGGGGCGCTCCATCATACACAACACCAGGAATGAAGCTCAGGGAGCGATTGGTGTTAACGGGTGGGCTGGGACCTGGTCGGATGGCTGGTAATCGGGCAATGTCAGAGGCACTCCCTAAATAGGGGAGATATGTGAGGGTCAGGTTGATGTAGGCCGCTAGAGTGTGGGGCCCGAAGAGCGTCGAAGCGCCCTCGTACCGCTGGACGTGATACTCTTCCTCGGTCGTCACGTAGTGAACGTAGCTGTTTGACGGGGCTCCTAGGACGACTTGTGGATTGGAAACGGAGAGTTGGCTCTTGGCTTGCGCTGCAATGGCTTCTTTCCAGCGTCGTCCGGACATCGTCGTCGCTTCGCTGGCGGAAATGATGAGGAATAATTGTCCGACGCGGAGGACTTGCATATCCACTATGTCGGCCGCCCATGCATATGGCTCGGTCAAAGTGCCCACGTCCAAGAGCACATCCTTGACGCCTTGGCAAACTTGTTGCTCTGGAGTTGGCTGATGAATGAAAGCACGGCCGATCTGCCACAATGGATTGCCTTCTGCTGGGCTGGAGGAATTCTGAGTGAAGTCAAAAGCTCCCGGTCCATCTGTGGTGCCGGCGGCAAACGAATATCCCAGAGCGGCCGGGCAAGTCGTGAGAACTGTCGCGTTGAATGGCGAGGGGAATGTATACCCGTCCATGTCTTGATAGACATGAAAAGATCGGACCAAACTACCAGCTAGTTTGGTAGCGCTGGAGCTCATACTCTCGTAAAGCTCCTTGGCTTTGGCATACTGGCGACGCCCAATCTCAAAGCAACTTTTGGCACCGTTGTCTTCCTCACGGAAGAAAGGTCCTCGGCCGTGGCATGCTTCGTTCGTCCCATTACAGGTACTGTCGGAATATCGACATTCTTTGCCAGAGCCATCCTCACACCAGGCTCCGAGTATGTTGGGACTTGCATCGCCGACGCTGGCTTGAGAGAATCCGATTACTGCATCCTCGGTGAATCTTGCGTCGCCTGATATGCTGCGTTCAAAAAGATACGCCGCCACCCCCTTGTTGTCGCCGGTGACAAGCGTGTTGTTGTTGTACATCGATGTTCCATGAACAGAGAACCAAGTCAGAACTGCCGCGGTTTTGTTGTCGACCTGGCGGTCAAACCGGAGAAGAGACAGTGTTTTGTCCACATTGTCCGCGTACCGCGCCTGCTCTGCCTTGGGGTTATGCTCATATGAATACGGACTGCGGTTCACATTCGCATCCTCTACATCAATGGATCCAAGGTAGAGCCTCCCCGGTGTCAGACTCTCATGAGCCCGTATGATGGACAGAAGGGTGCCATCCACAATAGCCTGGTAGCTCTGCTTGTCAAACCCTCCTGTCGGGATCTGAGGGAGCAGATAGTTCATCCATCCCCCCGGCCCAGAATGGGAATGAGTCCCTGTCAGTGCGACATTGTGCTCGCCATATCTAGCATAAGCACCACCGAGTGCAGCGAGACCCTGCAGAACACCGTGTCGTACAGCCGTATCACCCGCCAGTATATCGAGGACCAAGTACACGAAGGTTTCATTGGGATCGTTGGCGTCGGCGAAGATGAAGGCACGGGAATAGAGACGTTGTTTGAGACCGGTGCCTCTTTGATTGAGACTGGCATAACCAGTGAAGTCGACCTCGACCACGGGCCTGGTACATTTTGTGGTTAGCAGCGCGGAAGTTCTGGGGAAATGAGCCATACCCCGTTACATCTGCTTTGCCTGCTCCCACCAAAAAGATATCATCCGTTGTTTTCTCACTCGCCTTGCTTCTCCATTGAATCAGACTCTTGGTCAAACTTACTTGGGGGGTCTGAACGTCGTGGTTGAATGCGGCAAGCAATTGTAAAAAGATCAGCGCTGCGAGAGCTACAACTCCGAGCACACCACCCAATCGAAGACTGGCCATGCTCTGAGGTATATAAGCCGGGATGCCTTAGCAGATCAAATGTAACTGATTCTCGTCTCAGTATAGGTAGAGCAGCCCTCGAGGGGAGACATGAGCTTATACCGCTGGTCAAACCCACCGAAATGGCTACCCTGGCCAATAATCAAGGCCAATATTGCACAAGTAGTTTTTCGGGATGTAGCACTTGGGTGATGCGAGAGCCTTTGGGCCCCAGGAATTGGCTTAGATTCAAGAAAGGATCATCCCATGAGTGGACAGTTAGGGTTGTAGACGTGGAAAAGCGTCACTGACATTCCTACAATCCAGGCTTCATCAATTGGTTTGATTCGCGAGTGACTGTTTCTGAGACGACGACTTCCCACCCTTATCAGCTTCTGCCACCATCTTCATGTCAAATATCTAGTAAGAATCCATCAGGAACTCCTTTGCCCTGCAGTCCTGTCGCTCTATACTTCGCAGTCACGTGCCAGACCCACTCACCGTTCTCAATCTCCAGATCGAATTGTCGATTCGCAATTCTACCCCCAAAATGCCTTTAATCAACGATATCCACGACTCGCTACCCTGTGAGTATTCCCACGCTCTGAGAGACAGCACTGGTTAACTTTTATCTCAGACATCGACGCGGCGCCCACGGCGTCCGCCCACGCGCGAGCCCAGCAACTCATCAACGCCGAGCTCCCCCAAGACCATGCCAGCACACTCCATCCCTGGATCCCCGAAGCCCCCCAGCCAAAGTTCTCGCCCTTCATCACACAAGAACTCGAGCGCAAAGCGACCGGCGCCCCTCTCATGGGCATTGATCTAACGCGGTACGAAGCGCCCGAGGCGCCAACTCGCTCAAACGGCGCACCAGATCTAGAAGAGTGGCGCAAGACACTGCAGAAGGCGTACGCGTCCAGCTTGCATCTCTCCAAGCGCCATGAGAATCTGGCGCTGCTGGAAGAGAATGGCAAGAATGCTTGGTTGATTGGAAATTCACAGCTGGAAGAAATTCTGGGTGAGCTGGAGAAGGAGCTTGCGGAGACGAAGGAGGCTGCGGCGGAGGTGAACAAGCAGAGGAAGATTGCGCAGGAGGCCAGCCAGGGTGAATTGGTTAGTCTGGAGGAGACGTGGAAGAGGGGCGTTGGCGCGATTCTGGATGTTGAGGTTGCGTCCGAGGGTTTGCGGATGCAGATCCTTGAACACAGGAGGCAGATGGCTCAGCAGCAGGCGCGCCAGTGATAATTTGCTGTCTGCGAATAATTTCAATCATGTGCGCTGGTCCGGTCGGAATTTTCACTGCGGTCGCGCAGGGCTTGGGATTGCATTCTTGGCCAGGAATCGCTTCTTGTTCTTGCGCACAGAATCATTCATTCACGAAACTTGGACGCCCCGAGGTCGGTGGACCAGAGGCGAGCTTCTATGCCTCATTCCCTCCCATGTCGCTCATGGTCAGGTCAACACAAAATCGCCCGGTTGGAGCTATGAAACCAACTCCTATAGCCAGATCCCGCTGGTCGGACCAGGCTATGGCAGATGCAATCAAATCCAGCTATTCAGAGAAACCTATTTGAGTATACCAAAGTCCAACTGATTACAAAAATACAAAACCCAGCCTGGTCCTGAGAACGCGCTGAAATTCAAACATTACATTGGCAAGTGCTCTGAAACAAGTCCTAAAGCTTTACTGGCGCGACAATATCCAACCCAACACCATCCTCCGACACCTTGATCGGGCCCAACACAATCTTCTTTCCCTTCACGTAAACGCCCTCCGTCTGTGCCTTCTGGTTCCAATCCACCAGCCGCCGACACAGCCCCTCCAGCGTAGTCAGCGGCGGATTATACCCTAGTCCACCATCCTCCGGAGCCAGCCTGGCGCGCGAATCATCCGCGAAAACATGGACGTTCAAAATCCCAAATAGCGACGGCTGCAACTGTTCCAGATCATGCGAGAGACGGGGCAGGACCCCGATCTTGCATCGCAGGTAATAGTACGCTTCCACGACATACGAGAACAGTAAGAATGGAGCGGGCTGGAGCTCAGGGAATTCGACCGGGGTGGTCGACAGCGTCGTGAGGACTTTGTACAAGTCCCCGAATGAGATGGCCGGGTTCGGGTCACTGACTATAAATGACTGTCCGCCGGTATTGGGCAGGGAGGAGCCCGGCTCCGACTGCTGAATCAGACGCTGTTCGTAGAGCAGGTGGGCGAGGGAGACGTTCTCGGCGTGCACGAAGCTCTGGATGATGGGGGCGGCCCATGTGGGAGCTCCACCGTTGTGCAGGTAGATCTCCGTGACGGCGGTTTTGGATTCGCCGCCGGTGCCGTAGACGCCATTGGTGGGGCGGATGCAGCCGGTGCGGAATCCGGTGCTGGGGTTATCGGCGGCCTGGACGATCTGTTCGGCTTGGATCTTGGTCGCGGCGTAGTTGCCAAAGAACTCGTCTGGCTGTGGTGGGGACGTGCGGTCGCTGAGGACTTGGACTATGCGCTTGGGATAGCGGGCCCAGGGTGGAATCCAGAAGGTTGGGCTCCGCAGCCTAGTTGAGCCGGAGGAGGTCCAGATGAAGGCGGTTGCTCCGGCCGCCTGGGCCGCGCCGAGGACAATGCGGGTTCCATCGACGTTGACCTTGCTGCTGAGTGGCAGGAAGCATTTGAGGCGGTCTTGAGGCCGGATCAGGGCTGCCGTGTGATAGACCGTCAAGGGGAGGTTGGCCACATGAGCTGGCCATGCTTCCTCAAAGGCCGTGGTGACGGCGCGCTCGTCCGTGATGTTTGTCTTGATCCAACTCACCCCGAGAGATTGACTCGGAGATGCAATATCCAAGATGCGAATGGCTTTTGCGTCTTCCCCCCGGGCGAGGAGATGGTTGATAATCCAGGTTCCCACGAGGCCTATAGTTCGGGGTCAATACCGTTCTCCGTCCACTACTATATCTATGAAAGGTATCAAGACATACCGATACCACCCACAATGATATATCGTCGATTTTGCTTGGGAGGCAGGCTTTTAGTCACATCCACCGGGGCTTCCAGGCTCTTCTGGTAGGCTGCTTGAATCTCTTCCACTGTCCAGCGATGAGGCGATAATTCTGTTGCTTCCGTGGGCACTCCCTTCATGGCCTGGTTGATGTGCCATATATAGAGCGTCCCCAGGACTAGGAGCGTTGCAATAATCCACATGATGTGAGTGTTTAGAGAATCCCGATGGGCTCAGAGTATATATGCCTGCATTGAGGGAGATTGCCAGGCAAACGAGGTCCCAGAGGGCACGTTTGCAAAACCATCTTGGATCTTAGCGAGAATTGACAAAATTCTCGATCGAAAGTGGCAGGTCGCTTAGAGATCGCTTAGATCTGAGACGGGATCTGAGACCATATCCAGTATCCCCATGTTCCCGTTCACATTGTTCCTTGTATATGCTAGTAAACCTGGCACCTGTGGATAAACCCAGCATTCAGTCCTACTGTCGTTCTCTGCATACGGGATCTATACATTTATAGACTTACAGACGATAGACCGTCGGAACGTTCCGCCCTGCATTCCGCGACTCTCCACTCCGCCCACTTCGCGTCTGTCCACTTCGCTTCCCTTGTTCTTCATTGGCCCTACTGAGTGCCTGGAACATCACGCCACGCCGTCTTTCGCTATGTGCTCCGTTCTGATATCCCAAGCCAAGCGTCCTCCGTACTGGTAATCGGCAAACCGGCACACTCCCATCGTCGTCTGGGGGCCGTGTGGAGACAGTCGGGTCGCAATGCCTCCCGGTTCACTTCTCCATGCCCACAATGCCCACAGCCAATGCCCGATGGCTCTGGATCATCCCTGCTGGTTTTCGTACCGAGTCTGGTACGGAGATTCCGAATATGCTTATCAGTCGGCCCCCACTGGGGATTCCACTGGGGATTTCTCCCGTTTCAAGTGGCATCTAAGCCTTGCGGTCTCTTTTTCCTAAGGTCTGCGCTTGTACCCTGAGGTTCAAGGTGGCTGATCAATCTGAAATTTGGGTTTGAGTATTGTTCCTGCCTTGCAAAGTGGTGGTTCAGACTTCGACTTCAGAAGATTTGGAGTGGCCATCGTCTTTGTCCAACCCTTCGGGAAATGTCACCCTCGGATCAGGGGAAAGGTCCCCAAAACCCCGAGCCAAGGTCCTATGATGCAGACTCGATTGGTGAATCGGTGTCATCGGTAGACACGCAGACCGATCATGATGCGCTGGGGAAGACACTGACGGCCCGCGCCTCGCGGACCTCGCATATGTCTCTCTCCGAGCGGGTAACAACCATTGCAACCAATGCCACCGCCGATCCCGACTATGAGGTGGATTGGGATGGTGACGAGGACCTAGAGAACCCCAAGAACTGGAGTCTCGGGTACAAAGCCATGGGGATTCTATTCCTCTCGTGGAACACACTCATCGTGTGAGTGAGGATCTGCAAAAATCTCGAGGATCCACTAACCATCACAGCGTGCTGTATTCAACTTCCTATACTTCGGGAACGGCACTCATCGCCGAGGAGTTTGGGCAGAACGAAACCATCGTCACCCTGGGATTGACCTTCTACCTGATTGGGTTGGCTATCGGCTCCATGTTCATGGCCCCGTTGAGTGAAGTATATGGCCGCAAGCCCGTCTGCGTCATTTGCCTGGCGGTGTTCACGGTACTGATCATCCCCTGTGCGCTGGCGAAATCCGTCACGACACTCATCGTCGTGCGCTTCATCGGGGCGTTTTTCGGCAGTGTGATGATCTCCACGGCTCCGGGCATGGTGGCCGATCTGGTGGATGATGAGCATCGCGCCTTGGCTATCTCCATTTGGAGTATTGGCCCGTTGAACGGACCAGGTATGTTCCCCGTGTTCGGTATATCAGCGCATGGACTAAGTCTGCACAGTACTCGGGCCTGTGATTGGTGGTTTCGTCACTCAATATCTGGGCTGGCGTTGGATGTGCTGGATTGCTCTCATTCTGTCTGCGATTGCGTTGCTATTTGCCATTCTGCTCAAGGAGACATATGCACCGACGTTGCTGCAGAAGAAAGCAGCCAAGCGCCGCGAGGAGAGTGGCGAGTCTCGCTGGTGGTGTCGCTATGACCAAACCGCCGGTCTGTATGAGGTCCTGAAGTTGAATCTGAGTCGTCCTTTTGTCATGGCGGTCACCGAGCCCATCTGGTAAGCCGAATCAATCTTCTCTCGCGACTCCAGAGCTAACCGTCACCAGCATCTTCTGGGACATCTACATTGCGATCATCTACGGGATCCTCTATCTCTGTTTCGTAGCCTATCCGATCGTCTTCCAGGACATCCGAGGCTGGGACCTCGGGATATCAGGCCTCGCCTTCCTCGGAATCGGCATCGGTGTGGTCCTCACCATTGCCTGCGAGCCCCTGATCCGCCGTCTGATCAACATGCATGCCCCAGACCCAGAGACCGGGAAGCCGCCTCCTGAAGCCGCAGTGTCGTTCGTCTGCATCTGCGCCCTCATTATCCCAGTCGGTGAGCTTTGGTTTGCCTGGACCTGCTCCCCGGCGTCCATTCATTGGATAGCCCCCCTGCTAGCGGGTATTCCGTTTGGCGCGGGTAACACCGGCGTCTTCATTTACGCTTCCAACTACCTGACGCACAGTTATGGCATGTATGCTGCCTCTGCGCTAGCTGGGAACTCAGTTATTAGAAGTATTCTCGGCGGTGTGTTGCCGCTCGCTGGCTCCGCGATGTATAACAGCCTGGGGCCGAACTGGGCCGGCACCCTTCTGGGTTTGTTGGAGGTTTTGATCGTGCCGATTCCGTTTGTGTTCTATAAGTATGGACACAAGATTCGTATGAAGAGTCCATTGATTGTGCGAATGCAGGAGGAGAAGACCAAGTTGGAAGGGAAGCGGGCTAAGAGAGCGCTTCAGCTGGCTAACGCTAATCGTGTGGATGAGAAGGAGGAGGTTTGAGGTAATCTGTTCGGGGCCTATGATTCGATACCCGGGGCCTTTCAGAGGTGCCCCAAAAGTTCTGTTTTTGGACTGCGGCGTGTTCTGCCGTTGAATACGTGGCCGAGCCGTTGATAAAATCCTAGCTATTCAACTTAATCATCTGTTCCACATCTTGAGAGCTGCGCAGGATACGCTCGTATTCTCCCACTGCGATGGCCCCAGCGGCGAAGACCATGATAGCCTCGATGTAGACAGGTCGAGGGTCGATCGTAGATTGCCGCATGGCATCTCCAGAATTCGACGAGAATGATGATGTTGGTTGTATTGGCTCAATTTCTCTGACATAGCCCAGAACATTCAGCCAGGTGCCAATGCGCAGTGCTTCCGCAGTGACGTCTTCCAGGATCCCCGTAATGTCCACAGAGACCGCGCTTGGGCTTGTCTTGCTTCGTGGATAATTGTGTTCCAGGTTCAAGTGTCCTGTTGCCACAGTATACCTTGTCACACTGTACGTGTGAGCAGTCACAAAGTTAGTCCATAAGTCACCGAGCTCATACTAACGGTCCCCGGACGCACCAGCCGAGGAAGCGGATCTTTGTGTCCGTCGGTAGGGTTGTGAGATCAGACAGGAACACGCGAGTCGAAGGACGTGGTCCGTTCATTCTTAGACATGCCGGGTCTCAGCATTGTCCGGGGTCGACGGAGTGAAGTATGGACTTCCCAAGGTTAGATAAACTCGCACGTGACCTGCGGGCCTTACCGCGTATGTCATAGGGCCAGCGAGGGGAATGTCTCCCCTCCACTGTGATTCTCCCGAATTATCATCGAACGATCTAGCGATAAGCTGGGAACTACTTGTACTCCGCACACCTGCTACTCTGCCTTGTACCTCAGGTTATCTTGGAGCCTGTCGCGCCACCTGACCTGCAACTAGCGCCAAAGAAAACGATCATTCCGCATTCACTCGGAGGCCTTCTGCTCTCGTCCAGCGATAGGATCTGAGCCTCTCTTTTGCTTCTGTCCAACTTCTGATCAGAAAGAAGCCGATATGTGGTCGTGGTTTGGCGGGGCCGCCGCCCAAAAGCGCAAGGATGCGCCCAAGAACGCCATCCTGACGCTGCGTGAGCAGCTGGATATGCTTCAGAAGCGCGAGAGACATCTTGAAAGTCAGATCGCGGACCAGGATGCCGTAGCCCGGAAGAATGTCAACACAGATAAGAATGGTAGGGGCACAATCTACAGGTCGTTGATCTCGACGTGGGAACCTCGTGGCTGACTGTCATTCTGTCACTAGCTGCCAAGAATGCCTTGCGACGAAAGAAGGTCCACGAGAAAAACCTCGAGCAAACAACGGCACAGAGCATGCAGCTCGAGCAACAGATATACTCCATTGAAGCGGCGAACATCAACCATGAGACTCTAGCCGCGATGAAGCAGGCCGGTGCGGCGATGAAGCAGATTCACGGTGGAATGACACTCGAGGATGTCGACAAGACGATGTGCGTTACTGTCTTGATTGCCTGGGAATTACTCTATTTACAAGTTGCTGACACCTCACAGGGAGGAACTCCAAGACCAGCACGCACTCAGCACAGAAATCGGAAGCGCTATCGCCAGCGTTCCCATCGGCGAACAGCCGGACGAGGAAGACCTCGATGCCGAACTGGAGGGGCTGGAGCAGGAGGCTATGGATGCCAAGATGGTCAACACTGGCTTTGTACCAGTGGGTGCCCAGCTGGACCGGTTACCAGCTGCGGGGAACACAGATCGTGAGTTCAATCCCTCAATATTCGTTACTGGACCCTCGCTGATCATTCACAGTCAAGCAACCCGCCAAGGCAGAAGACGACGAGGAAGCCGAATTGGAGAAGCTCCGGGCAGAAATGGCCATGTGACAGCCTTCAAGACACGCGATCCATGCAGTACTTTGTCACGCTTTTCTTTTCTCTCGCATGCATGACCCGGCCGTTCGTCAAGCCTTTTTGCGCTCTCATTTTGTCTTTTTCCCTAACACCCCCGGCTCACTGATATTTCCCCTCCTATTTCTCTCTACCTCAATATGTGTGATCTGCAGACATAGTCAGATCACGGCTCGCCTGTGCTATCCTATGACACTGTTCCTATCTGGCTGTTCCACTCCTCAACACCGTTTCAAGACCTCGATTTTCGGTCACTGTTCTTGTCTTGATTTCAATTGGAGTTTCTTAGATTATTTGACTCCGTCTCCTTTTTTATCTCCATGCTGTAAGCGAAGATCCTACCATCGAACATAATTCCCCGGCTTACGATGTACGCTTTGGATCACGCCTAATGGCATCCCTAACCCGTGGACCTTGAAAACTACATGTAGCTGCCAGAAAGGCTTGAGTGATCATTGCGGATTGTTTTGGAGATGTGATTCATTATTATCTCGAATAAGATCACTCAAGACCAGCCTGGCTGGGCATTGAAGAACCGTAGTACAGATATCAGATAGATCGACTAAGCCAGGATCAAGACGAAAGACTAGATCGAGAGCCAGATCGAAACCCGAGTAGACACGTCAGAAAGATGCCGAGAGAAACGATCTCATATGCCGAGCATGCAGCAGGAAAAGTAGAAAGAAAAAGAAAAACGCCAGTGGCATTTCGCCAGCCATGTCCAGCCACCCAGCCCATGCTAACCCATATTTCGCCTTGCGCAAGAATCTCAAGAAAAGACAAGAAAAAAAACCCACCAAAGCCATGTCTCCATAAGCCCAGAGTTTTACTTAAGGGTACCAGGCGTAGCTCTGAGTGGGTTGAACGCGCTCCCCATCTTGGGTCTCAGTGCGCCACTTGGACTTCCACTCGACTTCGCGCGCACAAGCTTCGGCAAGAGAGTCTTTGCACTCGGGTGGTAGCAGTGCGAGGATCTCGGGCGTCATGAACTCGGGGTGTGCAGGGTCGGCAACGCTGATCATACCATTGGGACCGATGTCATGCACATCGCCGTCCGGGCCTGGAATTCCCATATTCGAGTACTGCGGGGATTCATAGGCGATATCCTGAACGACATAGCGGTTGTAGACCTGGGGAGGAACGGGCGGGAAGATAGAAGGAATCGCGGCTGTTTCAGGTTCGCCGTCGGCAGGTTCATGGGATTCTTTGGATTCCAAAGCCTGAGTGTCGACTTCGTTGGGAGAACCATTGGCCTCAATGTTAAGTGAGTTCATCTCAGATGCCAGGCCAATGGCGGTCGCGAGCTCCGGGCCGGGGGGCACACGTTCCCAGCGAGCGTGGGTAGGCTGCATAATCTTGGGGTATTGCATGATGTTGGTGTGCACATCATAAACACCATTCAGGTTGACGCGGCGCATATCAGCGAGCTTGTGGTTGTAGTTGCTAAATGAATGTCAGTTTAGTTCACAAATGTTGGCGGCAGTATGTTGAGACTCACCTTGCGGCACGGGCGTGCTCAAGCATCCAGTTATCGTCAGTGACTGGAGCGCGACGTTTCTTGCCATCCACGGGTTTACCACCGGCAAGCGGAACTGAAGGCGCATTGTTGTGGTAAACACTGCTGGCGCCATGCCAGGCGACATATTGATTTCTGTTATAGACTTCTCCGGGGCCGGGGATTCGATCCTCGGGCACGGAAAGCTCGCCTTCAACATCACCCCGCTCACGAGCAGCGGCTTCATCATAGTCATCCGTGATCTTTTTTCCGCCCACGATGATCTTCGAGCCAAATTCGCGGAAGACAGAGCGTGCGGTGACGACTCCAATAGCTCGGCCCTTGTATGAATGAGGGATAAGGTCGCGCTCGATCAAATCGCGCTTGGCGTCGTCATCAATAATGATCTTGTAGAGCATTTTGTGCTTTTGGAAGAACAGGTACGAATCACGGAACCCAATGCAGCGAGCCGGCTCAGTCGACAACATGTACAGACGATCTCCGCGACCGAGAATCTTGAAAGTACGGACTCGGTACTCGCGTCCACCTTGGAGATGGCCATTCTCATCGACCTTCGTCGCCCCAATGGGGTCGGGGGGGATTGAGACCTCGTCGTTGATGACATCCATCATGTTTCCTTCCTTGTCGATGGGCACTTGGGTGAGGTGAGAGGGACCACGATTGCGCGCCCACCGGCCTCCGCTGGCGGCAGGGCGGCCTCGGCGACGTTTGGCAGGTGTAGTTACTCGGATCGGTGTTTCGCCGTCGGCCTCGTACTCAATGGGGCGAGGGTTCTTTGGGGGGCGACCAATGCGACGCTTTCCACGGGGGTAAATCCCAGGACGACCGGGACCGTGGGTGGGTGTTGGAGCTGCCTCAGTGAGGATTGAGTCCTCTGCGGGGGTTGCGACGTTCGTTTCATCCTCCACCATGGGAGTAGCTGGGGTAGCCCCAGGCTCGGCCTTCTCACTTTCTCCTTCATCTTTCTCTCCCTCTGTTTCGACCTTGGTCTGCGCATCACCTTCTACGTCCACTTCACCCTCTGATCTGGCATCAGATTTGGCTTGAGGGCGAGACTCATCCGCGGCGTCGCGCTGAGCCGTGCTGTCGGCGTCTGGATCATGTTCTGAAGAGTGGCGGGATTCGGCTACTGGGGACGATTCATGAGATGGAGATACATCTAGCATCTCTTCATCAGAGCCCTCCGGTGGAGCGGGAACATTTTCTGTGGTGTGATTAATTACAAGCGCGTCTAAGGGGAGCGTGAATCTGAGAGCATGTGGGGGCTGGAGCATGGGCAATGGCAAGGGTGACTTGGGAGAACTCACTGATCAATTCCGCAGCAGCCTGGGCGGCGGCCCTTGATTTTCGAGGCATCTTAACGTTGGCCGTCTCGCTCCTCGCAAATGCGCAAACTGGAGCTCTTTGCGTTGCTTGTCACGTGGATAGGTGAGTTGCATCACGTGACTGGCTCATTCGAATTGGTCATGTGCTTAGTGTCATGTGATTTGATTTGATGTCACGTGGTGGCACATAACACTGACCAATCACGTCGTCCTTCCTCTCCATTGATTCATCCCGTGGACCGATTGATCCAGTCTCAAGCCTTGAGGTTATATTGACCTCCTCCTCTACTCTGTATATTTACCCCGTTCATTGCTCACCTCAGCGCGGCCAAACTGACCGGGCCAAGACTTGGTGGCGTCATTGCTTTCTCCTCTCATCGAGCGTCTCGGCGTCAATTGATCGACATACCTGCTGCTTCTAACAGTCAGTCATTAGTTTCACAGTCTCAACCGCCCTAGCCGTCTTGGATGTCATGGATCTTGACATCAGTGATTGATCGGTGCGGACAGTGTAGACTGTCATGCTTTAGCCTCATTGATCTTCATCGCTTCGTTCTACCCGGGCTTTTAGTAATCCTCGGTCTGCGATTGACCTTTCATGTAATGCGAATCATTGATTGGAGTGACCAACGTCACCCGAATAACTCAATCGCCGGACAAACAAGCACACTGGATGCTCTACATTTGTGAAGATGGTGAACATGACCAAAAGACACTGGTACACCATGATAGGCCACACAGGATAAGCATCGTGGGCTTCGATCTGGACATCAGAGCGCGATACGATACTCCCGAGGTCAACCCTTAGTACATATGTACCTGTCAGTGAAATACCGCAAAGGATCACCGGGTGTGGAATAGTGCACCGTTATTTCCCGACTCACGTCCCCTCCCGGACTATAGTACTGGTAGAGTGAATATTGCGATCCCAGTGAGCCCCTTGTGTTACTCCGGCCTTCACAGCTGAGGAATATCATACCGATTTAGACTATCACATGCGAGGGAGGATTGAGCCCCTCGAACCCCGAGTGAAGAGCTGCCCGGAATCAAGGAATGGGTGATGGTACTTGGGCCTGTAGCATTTATAGGCAGTGGAATTAACGCGGCTGGCGAGGATTATTCTCGGGTAGGATCTCAACCAAACGGCTGGGAAAAGACTCCGTCCCCCAGTCATCCTTCGACTGACAATCTGCAGAGAGCTTGGATGCCCGCACAGAAAGGCAATTCCAGCGCAGATCGGGACCATTCAGCGCAGATGACCTACAAATCACGTCCAGACTCGGCCTCGGTCTTGTGCGCGACTGCGAGAACCCTGCACTCTCGGGAGCCTGAAGAGCAACCCGACCTTGTCCGCAGCATCCATGGATGATACCACGGTCTGGTATGACAATTCGACGGGAGGTGATTTCCCCGGAATATCATTCGTATAACGTTACCCGCCGATCCCTCGAGGGTTTCCCCTCTAATACTTGTGGATGCAGACTGCGATCGACGTGGCTCAGCCTAGCGTCGGATTTCCTACTGTACATAATTTGCATGTTGGGTATAGCACATATGTCGGCTGTGAGATCCGCCGAACCACATGTTAGCGCCCGGAGGGGCTTGAAGGCGCCCGATGACGCATGTGGACAACCCAGGATGTGACCATCGCACAATGGCCTTTGGTATGCAGATGCAAGGGGAGCTGAGAGCTGGGCTCGGGAGAGACTGGGATCACGATCGGGGGGGGGCGTACTGTACAGTACTGTACTAGTCGATCAGGATTCGATCTGGCGTCGTTGCCCAGATACCTCTTCGGTCTCCAGAGAAGTCGGACAGGATCGCTCCGAGAGAAGCGGTCTAAATGGAATTCCCTAGATGATGAAATAGGGCTACCCCGCAGGTGGGGAGAGACAAACCGCGCATACCGCAGGACATAGAAGTAATATCAAGACCAAAGCGACTTCCTAATTGCGATTTTGTCAGATATTATTCTGATTAGAGCGCGGTAGCTTAGATACAAGAATGTAAAGTCCCTCGTTTTTTCGGTCATCCTGTCAGCATTGCTCAGCTGGGGCTGCATAGGGCATAAAGTCTGTCCTGGGAGAATCTGGCCTTTTTTCATCTCATCTCCAAATTGAACAACTCGACATCGAAATCAAAAGAAAAGTGAAGATCCCAAGTTCTCTCAACCGGGCACTTGAGGTGACTGGGCACAATCTTATCTCATCGCCCGATCCCGCCTTAGCTCATCAATCTCGGAAGTTTCTTTTCCAACTTCACCTCTGCATCTCTCGTTGAATGGAACAATGGCCGCCCAGGATTCTGGCCTGCACGGCGACATGAAGTCAATACCGTGAGTCTCACCATTTTCTTCAAAGGCGGGGGGGGGGAAAAGAAGAGGGTCCCACGATTCCCCTCACACCGCATTGCAGGCCTGCCTATTGCGGCCTGCATGAAACGCGTGAGAGAGAGTCGCTCTGGGCCTTTGGAGATCCTCGTCGTGCCTTTGAAGTCCTCTCCGCGGTTTCGACTTCCGGACTAACACTTTCTTCCCAGCTCCGAGGACGACACGCAAGACCAAATTGGGTCGAATGGGTCAACCCCCACGCCGACTGGAATCGCGACGCCCGAGCCGGACCCCGCGGACAAGCGTCTGCCATCCATCATGCACAACTACTTCCAGGTTGGTTCTTTCTCCGGTGATAAAGCGAGTCTGCCACGACTCTGGTCGTGTCTGTCCAAGCCATCCGAGGAACCACCCATTGCGCATACCCACCACTCAACCGGTTCCTCCGAGTCCTTTGTGATGATGGAGCAGGAGGACGGCTGTGTGAAAATGGAGGATGAACAATCCAGCCTGCCAACCCCACCCCATTCCTTGATGCAACACGACTCCGATGAGATGGAGCTTGGGACGAGTCCCGGAGTCTCCTCTATCTTGACCACCCTGAAGAAATATCTCGTGCCACCCACCATCACCCCTCCCGATGAGAGCCCCTCTTGTCGTCAAACCTCACACCCAGTTTCCAGCATCTCTGACGATCCTGTTCTTGCCACCCACCTCTCCAACCCCTCCCTCCCTCCCTCCTCGGATGATGGTTCCCTGACCGATGCTCCCCTCCTGGACCATGAGAAGCCGCATGTTTCAGTGTCGTCCGAGAATCTTGCCAAGCTAACTGGAACCGCACCCGATGGGTTGCGTTTGAAGAACACGCCGCCCCTCACTCCCCGGGCCATGTCCAACGAAGCCGCCCAGAAGTCCGTCACCTCGGCCCCGCAACAGCCCTCCCAGGAGACCCCCCCAGAGCCCCAACTTGAGTCCAAGTCGGACGACATGGAAACCTCCACGGATGAAATCACCATGAAGCTCGACGAGGCATTCCCCTCCCAATCCGCCTCATCCCCGGCCAACGGCGCCCCCACAGGCCCCATCAATGGTAAATTGTTCGTGAAGATCACCGACGGCCGAGGCCTGCGACCGAGTTTCGATCCGTATGTGGTGTGTGTGTTTGAGTGGAATGAGTATATCTCCAAGGGCGCGCGCGACGGCGAGGAGGAAACGAAACGGCGCCAGCAGGAGTCAGATGCCGAGGAGGCTGCTGGTCGGCCCATGGCCATTCCCTTGAAGTCCCGGTCGAGCAGTCAAAACACGATCGCGGAGGGTGACCACAAGGGTCGGACCCCCGTGACCGATCCTCACTGGGATCACGAGGCTACCTTGTATGTTCACCCCAGCCTATTACTCTCGTTGCAGCTACTAACTGTGATTCCAGTGATGTTATGGGAGATCAGTCGGAACTTGATGTCACGGTGTATGACCGAAATAACCAAGAAGCTTTCTTGGGCCACGTTCGACTTTGTATCAACCTCAAGGAAGACCACAGTCGACTTGAAGGCTGGTTCCCCTTGGTTGCTCGCGGTGTCGGCGATAACCAAGTCTCTGGCGAGATCCATCTCGAGATGAACTTCGAAAAAACCGATCGGAAACAGGTCGGGCCCAACGATTTCCTCATCCTCAAACTCATCGGCAAGGGCACTTTCGGTCAGGTCTATCAAGTCAAAAAGAAGGACACACAACGTATCTATGCGATGAAGGTTCTCTCGAAGAAGGTCATCATTCAAAAGAAGGAAGTGGTACACACACTCGGCGAGCGCAATATCCTGGTTCGCACTGCCATGACCGCATCCCCGTTCATTGTCGGCCTGAAGTTCTCCTTCCAGACCCCAACAGACCTGTATCTTGTCACGGATTACATGTCCGGTGGCGAGCTGTTCTGGCATTTGCAGCGCGAGGGCCGGTTCCAGGAGGCACGAGCCAAGTTCTACATTGCCGAGTTGATCCTGGCTCTGCAGCATCTCCACGACCACGATATTGTGTACCGAGACCTCAAGCCCGAGAATATTCTGCTGGATGCGAATGGTCACATCGCCCTGTGTGATTTCGGACTGTCCAAGGCCAATCTTTCTCAGGACGACACGACCAACACTTTCTGCGGTACCACCGAGTACCTGGCTCCGGAGGTTCTCCTCGACGAACAGGGTTACACCAAGATGGTTGACTTCTGGTCCCTGGGTGTGCTAGTCTTCGAGATGTGCTGTGGCTGGAGTCCATTCTACGCCGAAGACACCCAGCAGATGTACAAGAACATTGCGTTCGGTAAAGTTCGATTCCCTCGTGACGCGCTCAGCACAGAAGGTCGCAACTTTGTCAAGGGCTTGCTGAACCGAAACCCCAAGCACCGACTGGGAGCCAACGGCGATGCGAAGGAGCTCATGGAGCATCCCTTCTTCTCCGACATCAACTGGGACACCCTCTGCCGCAAGCAAGTCATCCCCCCGTTCAAGCCTCAGCTGCAATCCGACACCGACACTTCGAACTTCGATCCGGAGTTCACCAATGCCCTGGAGATGAACAACTCCCTCAACCTCCGCGCTGCGGCTCTGGCCAATGGCCTCATGCCTGCATCCACCCCCTTGTCCCCGGGTATGCAAGCCAACTTCAAGGGCTTCACCTTTGTGAACGAGAGCTCCATCGATCACCATCTCATGGATGACAGTGACCACATGGAGGAGGATGGCATGCACGACCACGAGTGGCAACGAGGCCATCGCTCCGGCAACTCCGTCGACCAGCGCATGGCTGGTTCCCACAAGGCGCACGACGGCACCGAATCCGGGATTTTCAACGTTGACGATACTTTTGACATGTGATTACGTTTTCCTTTCTTCCTGCATGATCATGGAGTCATTGATCTGGCATACATTATTATTTCTCCCCTTGTACATGCCTTGGATTGCATTGCTTTCCGCAAATATGGGTTTCCATAATTGACTCTTGACCCCTCCCAGGCAGCACTCCGCTGTCACGAACTTCACCCCTGTCTTTTCATTCATCCTTTCAGTCTCTCTCTCCTGTCTGTCGCCGTGTCGATGTCGTGTCCCGATCCTTGGTTCCGCATCTTCCAGTCAGTCAGTTGTCAGGCACATACCCCAACCCCTCGGGAGGACTCAGCGACTCCCCGAATCTCGAGGGCAATCTGCGTGTTCGCTGGAGTTTGGCTTTAGGTAATTTTATGGCTTTATTGTCCTCATGTCCGTTGTCATGTCATGTCCCTCTGGCTCTAGTCTGTCATCTTCTCTGTCGCCAGCGCAGTGTTGATAACTTTACTTTATCTTTACTTCCTGGGACCTCATCTTGAATCTTGATACCTGCTCGTCGGACTTTCTTCTTTCCTTTCCTCGCCTCATGGCATGATCTGGCGGTGTAGTATGGCTGCCATCCGGTGATCTGATTTCGCATATTCAGGCTTAGTTAGGCCCAGCTCCAAAGGACCCAGGGCTGGCGTTTAGTGGCATCACGGGGATATGGACCTGCATTGCGTATTCATCCTACTTTTCAACCTCCATTTATCCGTGGTCGCCTTCGCCTTGAGGCGTATATTCGGGCTGTAATCATTGAACTAAATGTTGACACCAGTCGCGGCAGCCAAGGACTAGATCACGCCAAAAAGCTGTAGGATTCGCCGTTTCTCGCCCGCCATGCTCACTGGCTATGCAGCTCTGCTATCGAGGATCCGCATTCCTCTTTCGGCAATCCAGTCCCTTCTATACTACGAACACGTACTCAGGCATGAACATATATAAAGATGCCGAAGCAACGGAGATTCTCTCAGGCCTATCTACAGTAAACTTGGTCTCGCATTTCCAAACTACAATGCCAAAAGAAACCCCCCAAGCAGCCCCAGTATTCATCCCACCAACATACGCACAAACGCCACCGGACCCCTTCCCAACCTCCGCCTATGGCGACGTGACCTGGCACACACTGATCTCCTCGCCCCAAACCCCCTCCACAGACCTGTCTGCGGGGATAGCCACCTGTCCACCCGCGACCGGTCACCTCTGCGCACATAGACATGCTCAAGCGGAGGTATATCACATTCTCCACGGTGAGGGCGAAGTGACGATCGATGGGGTGAGGAGCACGGTGTCAGCGGGTAGTACGGTTTTCATACCCTCCAATGCTGAGCATGGTATTGTGAATACGGGTCCGACGGCTCTGCGGTGGTTCTATGTCTTTCCAACGGGGTCTTTTGGAGATGTGGTATATCGATTCACGCGGGATGAAGCTGGGAAAGTGAAGTTATGAGGGCTGGTTGTGTCTGGGGTATGGCGTGTTTGACCGTAACCTTGGAAGCCCATGCCTAGGTATGGTGAGCCTGAGGGGACTACTAGGTATATCTATCATCGGACGCAAGGCAAATATATGTTGATGAGCCGAGGCGGGACATTGCCTAGGTATGGATTGAGGGTGTGAGGCGCAGAGGTTGAATTGTATAAAAGCCTACTTCAAGGGCATATTAGCTGCAGAGATCGAGTTCCAAGGCTGACAACCTTGGAAGATCCCTCCAGGGCTATGGTATTGGCATGAGAACTCTGAATCCTGGTATTTACTTATTGGTAGGGGTCTGAAATATATACTAGGCACTGCGTATAGCAACGGAAATAATTCCCGAGTCCACCAGGTGGGAGTGGTTGTAGGTTGTCAATACATATCCTGATCCTGTTCCATCTGTATTAGGGCTGATCTGAGTGGACAATTTTAGAAAGTCATTGCAACTTGCTGCATATCGTCTCATACTCCGTACCCCATATCTGTACCTATGTAGGTAACGCAAAAACATCTCCCGCTCCAGGGGTGTACACGATGTACTCCGTACTCGATGCAGCCCAAATAGGAATGGGTAACGTGAAACCTGACCTGATTCAAACCCTCAACCATGGCAACAATCTCTCGGGAACGCGATCTGCAGGCTGATCAGTGCTCGGTCCTGAACATTGGCCCACATCGGCCCATTCGTCCAGTCCGTTCTATGTAGTATTACAGCAGCCATTGTGTACTACTCCGTACGCACAGCCGTGCTGTGCAGAGTATACCAATGGGACTGAGCTTGGCAAGCTCGATCGGAGAACATGTGGAAGATTTTCAGCTGAAACCCCCGATCTGCTGGGGCTGATGGCGCCATTTAATGTAAAAGATTTGTGACATGGAATTCGTTGCTATTGGTTACTCCAGATGGAGTACTATGTACACGTATGAACTTGACCTCTTTTCCGTTACAGTAGTGTTTGATATAAGGTACACTGTTTACTGGGACTCCGTGGACTCCGTACTCCGTAGTAGTTTGGAGTGATACGGAGAACTCGTACATGGCCCTACGTATAGTGCCAAGCGAATAAATGGGTACAATATTGAGAAGAGATTGGGGTCATACGACAGAAGAATCAACAGATGTCGATCCATGACGCGCAGGTGTTCCTGCGTCTGCACGCTTGGGCCTTACTCCGGACTCCATATATGCGAACCATCCGGAGTACAGCGTATACGGAAGTTGTGTAGAGTACTACGGAGTACATAGTACAAGGAACGAGAGATCTGAGACATTTCTATACAATCAATCAAAAGCAATGAAAGTAATAATAGCAACAGTCACGGAATAGGGGTAACTTGGCCCTAAGCCTGCCCCACTGAATTAACCCCGACTAAGCGATAGATGCACTCGGACTATTGTGATGTGCCTGTAATTGTCTGGGGATAGGGGATACTGTACTAGTACTATAGTACATATATCTGTACTATTCTCATATACTCCGTACAGCAGGGCAGTGTAGTAGTATAGCAGAGTGATATATACGACTGTGTATGGAGTATAGCACTCTATAGTATAGTACTGTCTAAGTATCCCACTCTGTAGTATAATATGGATCCCGAGCAATACAGACTAATACTGAGAATGGAGTAATAGAAATGAATGTGAAGAACTCATAGGGCGAAGTGCAAGTCCAACCCCTGAACCGCCCCCCTGTCAGCCGAACGACTCCGCTTGGCTTCGTTCAACTCATTCCTGATGTGGGGGGAGATCGACCACTGCTCACCTTGCCTTTTTTCGGGTTTCGTGGTTTTCGTGGACTGTTCTCTCGTTCGTTTTCAACTTCACCTTGATCCCACGCGGTGACGTTGAGACATTGGAGTCCGCCGATCTTATACACCTTACACATCCCCTACATTCCAAACCTCCTTATTGGGAATTGACTTTGCTTTTTTTTCCCCTGCACATCTTGCTCTGCTTCGATGCGAGAGAGTCACGATGAGCGTTGCTAGGCCAGAGACTGCGGTGTCGACGAGTTCAGAACATGCAGATGACTCGATCCAACCCATTGCTTCACGAACTTCCTCGGTCTCCTCCTACAGAACAAACTATAGCGCCTCCACCGCGCCCACCGCATACTCCTCATCATCACCCGCGTCATCTTACCGCCAATTTGACTCCGTGAGCTCGATACCCAAGTTCACCGAACCAGTGCAACGCCGAGTACCCCAGGAGGTCTACGAAGTGATCATTCACCATTTGGAAGAGCTGCATAAAAGCCAGCACCAAACGGGCTGTACGACGTGTTTCCAACGCGACCTGCATGCATTGTCATTAACCTGCCGCTCATGGGAACGGGCGGTGCGAGGTCCCTTGTAAGTGTTGACGTGTGCGCCCTCCCGCGACCAATGGCTGACAGAACAATCCAGATACAACAGGGTACACATTGTCGGGAATGACTCTCCCGCACAATTGAAGAAATACCGCCTGAAGCGAGGAAGTCGCCTCAAGCTGCTGAGAAGAACCCTGCGCGAACGTAAGTTGCTGGCCAACCTGGTGTACGAGTTGCGGGTTCCTCAACTAGACTTGCTCTTCACCACAACCAGGCAGAGTACGCAATGGGAGGAATATCGCGATCTGGTGGCATCCGTGGTGATGGTTTGTCCGAACTTGGAGCGCCTGTTGGGTCTCTCGATCCCCTACCACCATGAATTCAACCGGTTAACCCATGCCCTGTCCACGCGCAAGAAGCTGAAAGAGCATACCTGGGTGTTGGGCGAGCCGGCGGAAGTATCAGAGGGATCAACCCGCGACGACTCCTGCCCAGGGAGCTTGGGGCCCTCGCAAATGTTCGAGTTTTTGGATTATCATACTTCGTGGTCGAATTTGGAGACCCTGATGCTCTATGGGTTGAATGGGAATGGGGTATTGGAGCCCAGTGTGTCTCTCCGCATGTTTAACCTTCTTCCTTCGTTGCGAAACCTCTGTGTGACCTCCTTCGACAAAGACTCCTTCGATGATAACACACTGTTATGTCTGCCCCCCGTGGAATCCTTGAGACTGGAAAATCTTCCGGGGATCACGGATACCGGTCTCACACAGTTTGCCTCACGACCCGAATCGTCGTCTCTCCAGACCCTCGTCCTGGTAGAGCAGAACATCGAATCGTTGCTGTCAATCTCCAAGATTCTTTCTTCCCTTCGAAACCTCCAACGCTTTAAGATCGTGCAGACGGAAAAATGCCCAACCCTCCCGGATCAGGACATGATCTTCCAGCCTATTCTTGCATCCTCAACTCTCAAATACCTTCATTGGGACGTTGCATGCCCAGACCCCCATGCAGCTCTCACTCAACTTGATACCCTCCCCTTCCAGAAGCCCTCCAAACCCTCCAACACCCCCAACTCTCATCTCGCCCAAAGCATCCTCTCGGCGGGATTCCCCGAACTGGAAGCCCTCCGGGCACCCTCCGACGTGGAACCCCCAGGTGTTCTCCAGGCCGCCTGTCGCCCCATCACCAAAGGCCAAGCCCTCCTCCGCCCCGATCGATTCAGCCTGCCGCGCAGCTCCCACGGATCCGTCAACACTCGACCCCTTGCGCTACCGGCCGGGAATAATCTGACTTCGGCACGAATCCGCGCTCAGACGTTCATCGACATGGCGGCGAAGGATACCGAATCAGGCTTGCCAGTCTTGATCCAGGATTGGTCCGACGAATTCGTGCCTGACAACGCACAGGCATCGCAATTCGAGGACGACCCAGAGCAGGAAATGGACGACTATGGGATTTGGGCCGCCTGCGAGCGCTTTAAACATCAAGAGAACGATCACAAGGGCCCTCAAACGGTTTACCAGTTCAACATGCCTACATTCATGGGCCGCAGTGGCATGCGGGATCCCATCACGGGCGCATCCATCCCGCACTTTATGCTGCGTCCTGATATCACTGGACAGGAGTCCGATGGTGGTCTGATCGGATGGAAGCAGCTGTTGGCCTCAAACCAGTCATTATCATATGCTGCAGGCGTAGGCGTCAACTGCTTCGGGAGTGATGTCCCTGCTCCCCCTCCGCCAGAAGATATCGCTTCTCCCGCATCCACTACTTCCAAATTTGGCTGGGGCAGTCTGAGTGGCCGTTCAATGATGGGCACTTCGCCCACTACCCCCACCACCCCGATTACGCCGATGAGCAGTGTCTCTGGCTCCGTTTTGCCCTGGGACAAAGATACCTGTACTGGATCCTGGAATCACAAAACGGGCCGGGACTGGTGGTTCCATATGGAGCGTGATCGCCCAGGCAATTCGGAGCTCATTGATGTCAAGCAGCTTTTCTAACCGCTGCCTTGATCACTTTTTCCTTCTTTTATTCTCAACCTAACGCCATATACCCCCGAACTTTTTCCTATCTCTTTATTTCCTTTTCCCATTCTTCGGCTGTATGGGTCCATTGTATATGCCTTATGATGCACCGATTGCTGTGCCCTGCGAAGTGGCATTGCATAATGTTCTGTGTACACCATTCAATCCCTGGTTATGTGTTAGCATTGTATCATACCTGGTGACGAAACAGCTAATGGGCGGCACTTGTGATTTCCTTTCGAGTCTGGGTACTCTGTATTATATTTGTACAGCACATGCTCATGATAATTTAACGTTCTACATCTACTGTCAGTAAAACAGCCCATGAAGAGTCGCGATGTTCAATTGTCTGCTGTTCGTATACTTCGGCCAGATGAGTCATCAGATAAGCGAATGGAGATAAGCATCTACAAAGAACCCCCCCGCCTCGCGGAAAAAAATATCCCCCACCTTCCAAACACAATGGATCCCGCAAAGCCTGTCGATCTGCCCGAGAGGCCTAAGGAAGAGGCCGCTGTGCCCGACCCTAACAAGAAGTCGAAGAGCCAGGAGAAGAAAGAAGCTGCCGCGGCCCGCAAGGCGGCCCTCAAACTGGCCAAGCAGAATGAGCCCAAGGTCAAGGGCGAGTCCAAGCCAGCACCCAAGGCCAAGGAGGCCCCTGCTCCTCGGGATCCCAATGCCATGTTCAAGGTGGGCTTCCTGTCCGACGTATACCAGGAAAAGCCCCTCTCCGAGACCGTTCCCAAGATCCGCACGCGATTCCCTCCCGAGCCCAATGGATTCCTCCACATTGGACACAGTAAGGCCATTGCGATCAACTTTGGATTCGCCAAGCACCACGGCGGTGAGTGTATCTTGCGTTTCGACGACACCAACCCGGAAGGCGAGGAGGAGCGATTCTACAATGCCATCCGTGAGATCGTGACATGGCTCGGGTTCACTCCTGTGCGCGAGACCTGCGCCAGTGACAACTTTGAGCGTCTCTACGAGCTCGCGGAGGACCTCATCCAGCGTGATGGTGCTTATATCTGCCACTGTACCAAGGCCGAGATCAAGGCTCAGCGTGGTGAGATGGAAGGCGGCCAGCGCGGTGGCGAGCGATTCGCATGCAGTCACCGCACACGTCCAATCGAAGAGTCTCTCGCCGAGTTCCGCGCTATGCGGGATGGCAAGTACAAGGCTGGCGAGGCCGCCCTCCGCATGAAGCAGGATATCACAGACCCCAACCCTCAGATGTGGGATCTGTTCGCCTGGCGCATCATGGACAGCGAGGACAAGCAGCACCACCGCACTGGTGGCAAGTGGAAGATCTACCCGACCTACGATTTTGCACACTGTCTGTGCGATAGCATCGAGGAGATCTCCCACTCCCTCTGCACCACCGAGTTCGAGCTTTCCCGCGTCTCCTACGACTGGCTCTGCGACAAGCTCGAGGTCTACCGCCCCAACCAGCGTGAGTACGGCCGTCTCAACATTACCGGAACCGTTCTTTCCAAGCGCAAGATCATTCAGCTTGTCAAGGAAGGCCATGTCCGCGACTGGGATGATCCCCGTCTGTACACTCTGATTGCGCTCCGCCGCCGTGGTGTTCCCCCCGGCGCCATTCTCGCCTTCGTCAACGACCTCGGCGTGACCAAGAACGTCACCAACGTTCAGGTCACCAAGTTCGAGTCCATCGTCCGCCAGTACCTCGAGACCACCGTCCCCCGTCTGATGGTTGTCCTCGAGCCTCTGAAGGTCATCATCGACGACCTCCCTGACGACCACCTCGAGCTCCTGGACTGCCCCTTCTCCAAGGATCCCGCTTTCGGCACCCACAACATCCCCTTCACTAAGACCGTCTACATCGAGCGCTCGGATTTCCGCGCCGTCGACTCTCCCGATTACTTCCGTCTCGCCCCCGGCAAGACAGTCGGTCTCCTCAAAGCCCCTTACCCCATCACCGCGACCTCTTTCGAGACCGACGCCTCCGGCGAAGTCACATGCGTGCACGCCAAGTACGAGAAGCCCGTCGAAGGCGAGGCCGTCAAGAAGCCCAAGTCTTTCATTCACTGGGTCGGCGAGTCCGCCGAACACAAGAGCCCTGTCCGTGCCGAGATCCGCGCCTTCAACTCTCTCTTCAAGTCCGAAGACCCATCCGCTCACCCCGCTGGATTCCTCGCCGACATCAACCCTGACTCCGAGGAGATCTACAAGGATGCCATGGTTGAGACTGGATTCCGGGATATCTCCGCCTCGGCGCCTTGGCCAAAGGAGGAGGGTGCCGTTGAGGAGGGCGGCAAGGAGGCTAACAAGCATTCTATCCGATTCCAGGGTATGCGTGTTGCGTACTTCGCTGTTGATCGGGAGTCGACTGATGAGAAGCTTGTGCTCAACCGTATCGTTACTCTCAAGGAAGAGAAGGGCAAGAACTAAGCGAGTTTTTTGTGTTCCAGGGGAGTGTTGTGGCGATGACTGTTGATGGCTTTATGACTTGCATCTTTGCGTTCCCTTTTTCTGTTCTGGGATTTCCTACGTGTGTTTACTTGGTAAATACTGGGTCAGCTATGATACAACTTCAATGCACAGTGATCAAAAGGAAATTTCGGTCAACGGCGTTTCACCGGACAGTATTCATCAGACCGTAGACCGTGCGTGGACGGTGAATTAACGGCCCCTATTCAAGCCGAATCGTACATACGAGGCGAAAGCGACATAGGAGGAATCAGGTATTGGAAAAAAAGGGTAAAGATCTAATCTAAACGTAGATACCCATGTTGGTATCCTTCTTCTTAGCCTGGACTTCCGCAATAGCATCGACGTAGTTCTCATGTCCGATCTTGCTCAGACCCTTCCGAAGCGCAATCATACCGGCCTCAACACAGACGGCCTTCAACTGAGCACCACCGAACTCGTCCGTGCTGCGAGCCAGTTCAGCCCAGTTGACGCTGTCCTCGACAGACATCTTGCGAGAGTGGATTTGCAGGATGTTCGCACGGGCTTCCTCGTTGGGCAGAGGGAACTCGATCTTGCGGTCCAGACGACCCGAGCGCAGGAGCGCAGGGTCCAGCACATCGACTCGGTTAGTCGCCGCCAACACCTTGATGCGGTCGTCTGAGGCGAATCCATCGAGTTGGTTGAGAAGTTCCAGCATGGTTCGCTGCACTTCACGGTCTCCGGACTTCTCCGAGTCGAAACGCTTGGTACCCACGGCATCCAGCTCGTCAATGAAGATGATAGAGGGCGCCTTCTCCTTGGCCAGGGCGAAGCAGTCGCGCACCAGCTTGGCACCATCTCCAATGAACATTTGTACCAATTGGGGACCGGCCAACTTGAGGAATGTTGCGTTTGTCTCGGCAGCACAGGCTCGGGCCAGAAGAGTCTTCCCGGTACCGGGAGGTCCGTACATCAGGGCGCCTGCGAAGGTCCATGGTTAGCTTTTGAGACATGATGGGATGGAAGAGAGACAAACCCTTGGGGGCCTTGATGCCGATCTTCTTAAAGCGCTCCGCCTCCTTCATGGGCCATACGATGGCTTCCACGATCTCTTCGATCTGCTTATCCAGACCACCGATATCTGTGTACTTCTCAGTGGGCTTCTCGTCAACCTCCATTGCCTTGACACGGTTGTCGTATTCGGCCGGTAAAGTGTCCAAAATGAGATATGAGTCCTTGTTGACACCAATCAGGTCACCGGGCTTCAGCTTCTCGTGGTCGACCAGGCCGATGAGGGGCAGGAAGATAGTCTGGCGGGTTGAGGTCTTGATGACGGCGGATTTGCCTACGCGGGTGGCATCCAGGTCGATATTGGCGCCTTCTTCCGCTGCTTCAGCCTCCACATCAAGGTCCAGTAGTTCGACGACGTTTCCAACGAGGTATGGTAGTTGTCTGTATGATAGTGGCATTAGCGAGCGGATTCACCCAGAGCTCCGCAAGATAAGCTAGGGTCGCACCTGTTGTTTTCGATCTTCTCTTGATTATCCTTGACCTTCTCTCTCATCGTGCTTTGCTCATGCGTCAAACGTTGGAATTCACTCTTCATGATTCGCATCTCGTTTTCCAGCATGCGCCGTCGCGTCACAATGTCTGCCGTGCTTGAGTTCAGGATATCCTCGTCGAGCATCTCTTCCTCGTCGTCCTTCTTGTCGGCATCTTCCATATCGGCATCGGCGTCGCCTTCGGGCTTCTTGCCATTGCCATCGTTCTGGTCTTGCTTCTTCTCTCTCTGCTCCTGCTCAAGGTCGTCGAGGTCCTCAAGTGTCGACATGGTGGAATCAGGGAAATAGGAATTAATGAATCAGAGGAATATAAAGCTCAGAAATGCAGAAATGCCGATTCGTTTGGAAGGAGATAGGGGAAATGTGAGAGACCGAAGGTTGCTGGGAGGAAGAGCTGCCCAGGTGTGGCCGAGCTCCAACGTCAGCCATGAGATCACGTGATGGACATGGTCTTTATAATCAACATGGAAACATCGATGGCTTCAACTACCTGAGAATACTTTATCAATGATCATTTACCAGTTGTATTTACACTGCAACAATGTGAAACTATGGACATGGAATTCCTTCTAAACAATCGAGTATGGGTTGGAGGAGATATCTCGCACGTTGCCCAGGTTGTTCAGTACACTTTCGCGGCCATACTTGAGCAGGCGAAGGCGAGAAATGTAGTCATCATTGTTTACTGTCATAGTTAGCAAAGTCGTCAAGAACATGAGCAGTGGGTACATACTATAGCCACCACACATTCTCCTCTTTCCAGTGAATTCGGACCGGCCATGCAACATTCTCCAGTTATCGAAGACTGGCTCATGTTAGTTAACACAAAACTGACAAGAGGAAGGATACCCACTCAGAGCTGAGCCCGGCTCAAGCTTCTGCCACATCTCTCTGCTTTGCAAAATCTCATTGTAGTGGCGTGCAGCGCGGTACCACGCGACCTGTTCCTCTGCGGACCAGTTGACTTTCGGCGCGCGATCATAATTGTTCCAGCGGATCTGATACATCTTGTCCAGGTCAGGATGAACGGAGAATACCGGTGCCTGGGCGGAAGGTTGGATGCAGACGTCCTCGTTCCCGCTCGCATGCCATGGCTGCCTGTGCTTTACAAGCTCATCGTAGTGAATAGGATTTTCTTGACGCAGTTGAGCAGCGGCAGCGAATCCATCGACGAGAAGATTTTCACCTCCTGATCCGTCTGTGTGGGACAGCAGATGGAACAACTGAAGTCTGGCGGGGTCGGTGAAATAAGTGTTGTCAGTGTGAGCACCCAAGAACTCGTTGGTATATGCGGTATCCTTGAATGTTAAATCTGCCGTGAAGTCCCAGAAACCACCTAACATCAAGTTAGAGATGGAATAGTACTGGAACTGAGTAAAATACCATAATGCGTATGTCTGATGAATGCAATGCGCTCGATGAGACCTTTGGTCGCTTCTGGGGTCGTGGGAACGCCGTCTACAAAACAGAATCCACGACTCCACTGTGAAAGATCAGCATTTCAAGCCCGAAATAGAGTAAATGGACATGAAATCGGCGTACTATAAGTTGTAACCAAACGGAGAGTCTCTGATCGTCTGACATGACTTCCTCGTAGGAAATTCTAGGGCTCTGATCGGAAGCCGGGACTGGGTTGAAGGTCCTTCCGGTGTATCAGCAACAGTCTGCCTCTGTTGTTGAGATGGACCTACCGGGGACCTGGTGCTTTGCCACTGGCAGGCTCCATGCGGTTTCGTTCTAAGCGTTCTCCATATCTGTTCTGCGTGTGTGGGTGTAGCCAATCATACGGATAGAACCCTGTGTGGTTATCCGACCCTGTAGTGGGTTAGCCATGGCATAGGAAAGCCAGGACACTGTTGTATCTCACAGGAGATTTCAAGGCCAGTTTCTTTATGTTCAATTGAGCTGGCTTTGACTTTCAATGGTATCTGACAAAGGTTAGTCGATGCCTAAGGGCGATATTGAGAGATCGTACCGCAAACGTGTCAGACGCTCTTTGCTTCGTGTCCGGATGAATACACTTGGGACACTGGCAGTTTTCCCTAGAGCTGATCTTAGTACCACCCGTCGATCCATTGATCTGATTCACCGACCTTAAGAAGAATTGACCACTGTAGCCGGCCGATTAGTAGCTGTTCGCCCCAGGAGTCTCGCGACTGACATACAATTGCACTGTGACCTCTTTACCCCCTCTCCGTACTCTTGGGATCTTGAGGATGTCTGGCCTGGACCAAACCGCCTGGAACTTGCCCCTTGGCGACTCCCTGGCAGTGAGCTGCGGGTTGGGGCTCTCCGGGCCAAGCTAGACAGCCAAGTCAGCTTCTCACGCATTTTGACTGTCACTTGTCACAACAGGCCTCATACCGAGCTGCCAGTGGAAGAGTAGCGGGGTCGTAAACCATTGGGTCTGTGGGGGTCAGCATTGGATCTGATCAATTGATGTTCGTAGATAAGCATACCCGGCCCTGTTCAACACCCTCGACCTCAAGACGGTACGCCAGGCTGGAGTCATGACTGAGCGAAATGAGGGGAATCAGCAAGACACTCCGATCCGGGGTAATTAGGTAAAGGCCTCAAGCTCTGGGCAGATAGCCGAGGCACTGGGTCACGTGCATATGATCATTACGGGGTCGAGCATATCAGAATGGGCTTCAATTGAACTGAAAGACTATACGCTAGAAATGACTCCTTTATTCACAGCTTGCTCTTCGCGCCGACCACCTTCAATAAGCATCGGCCGTTACTCAGCACCACCTTGCCCTTGTCGTTCTTGGTGACGAAGCGAATCTCCTCGAATCCGTCCTGCACATTGCCCATGCGCCAGATCTCAGTGGTGAGCTTATCGCCAGGTCGAACAGGCGAGGCAAAGCGTGCTTGGAATTCCTTCAGGTTGGCCGGGTTGCTACCACCCAACTCGCGCAGGATGCCGTGAGCCGCGGAGTTCCAGCTGAACAGACCGTGGATGATGATTCCACCGAAACCCATCTTCTGGCCAGGCTCCGGGGTGGCGTGGAGAGGGTTGTAGTCACCGTTCAGACTGGAATGGGTTAGCAATGGAGTCGGCTTACGAATTGGGCCCACTTAGGATTGAGCTTACCGGTACAAATGAGCCGTTTCCATGTTCGACTGGATAACGTGAGTAGCATCAGGGGCCTTGCCCTGAGGCGGAGCGAAGTTGACAGTACTGGGGCCTGTCCAGCTAAGTTAGTTTTCACATATCTTCATTGAGGATAGTCGTAGTGCATCATACCCTTAGGACCGCCCCAGCCGCCCTGGCCAACCAAGAAGCCGCTGGTGATGACCTTGTTGTAAACCTCACCGGTCTCGGCATCCACAATGGACTGCTCGGTTTCGATGACGGTACCGGGCTTGCCCTTGTCGTAGACGCCGATGACCTTATTACGGAGCTCAAACTTGCGGCCCTCGCTGGTGGGAGGCAGGGGCTTCAGCACGGTGAGCTTCCGTTGACCATCAACACCGTGACGGTGATCCAGGTCGGGCACACCTGGAATGTGCACAGCCTGCTGACGCGCATAGAAATTAGTGACCTCTTGGTCCGTGAGCTTGAAGGCTAAGGAGGTTAGTATGAACAACCTCGGTCCGGACGATTGCCTTACGCAGGATCAACGGGTAGGTCGGGAAGACGGAGAAGTTGGGGTGTAGTTCCTGTGGATTGATTAGAGGCTGCGATCATAGACCGACGAGGTGTCGTACATAAAGGAAATGCAGCTCATCGGCCTTGACGCCAATGCTGTTGGCAAACAGCAGCACATCGCGTTTCTGCCAAGAGACCGCTTTGGCGGGGAATTCGTGACCAGCTCCAGGGGCAGACATGATTACAGAAGAGAAAGAAGAGACAACCCAAGACAAGATATAAAGTCCAGCAATTGCGGGGAGCCGAGGATCTGATAAAATTGGTTTTGCTCTTTACCGAACGCGCGCCATCTTCTTGGCACAATTTCCCTGCTGCCGATCGGCAGTGACTACGACTAGTACGGACACGCTACGACGAGAAGAATTGTCCAGAAGAGCGTCGGAGTTTCTTTGCTAGATCAAGCATCGACTCGGGGTATAGCTATCTACCTGGAAATTCGAGGAGCTTCACATATCTCTCCGTTCGCGCCGCAAAATGCCTTTTTCCTGCCTCCCATGAACTGAACGCCGAAACAAACAAGAGCGAGACCCCGGGGGGAGCCTCGCCGGGGCGGTCATCAACCTATACCATAAATCGCATCGGTGACGAAAGTATTTCCCGAGCCCCGTCATGCATTTGTGAATCCCATCAAATTAAAAAAGTCGAGACAATAGAATAAAATTAACACCTAGAGAAAATTAGTCAAGTGCAGAAGAGAGCGAGGCGAAGGGACTCACATCCGGTACAAGCAACCACCCTCGGCAGAGCGAGTGGGGTCAGCAGTTTCAAACTTATAGGAGATACCGATGTCCAGGTCACGCTTGTTCTTGTCGTTGGGGCGGTTCTCGATCCAGCCGGAGACCTTCTCATCCTCCTCGACGGTAAGAACGTCACGCAGGTAGAAGACAGTCTGCTTCCAGTGGGTATACTTGGCGTGAGGGCCAGTCGAGAAGTGAATGGGCTTGTGGCAAGCGCTGAACTCGATGTCGAACCAGGCGATCAAGGCGTGGATGAAGTCGGGGCGCTTGGCGCTGAGGGCGTAGGGGACCTTGAAGGCGAGGTCGGCGGTAGTGACGGTGTTAAGATCAAAGGTAATGATAGGGCAGGGGTCAGTAACAAGCGCCTTCATCTCGACGGTGTCGACGAGAGGCTCGTTGAGAGCAATCTCCTTCATGGGGCTGTAGTCGAATCCGTAGACGTTGTCCCAGACTAAAATTGAGTCAGAATAGCACAGAAGCAGCGGCAACGCTTTACATACATCCAATCTTGTCATCCTTGTAGTCGCCATCCTCGATACCGGCAACGTACATGGTGGCCTTGTCGGGGAAGATCAGACCACCGGGGTTGAGGTAGGTGTCACGAGCGTAGAGAACAGTGTCCAGCATGGACTCGTAGAGAAGGAAGTAACCCATCCACTCGGAGATAATGATATCGACCTTGGGGAAGGGGAGGTTCACCTCCTCCATCTTGCCCTGGAGAAGAGTGATCTTGTCGGACAAGCCGTTGACGTGCACGATCTCACGGGCCTTCTCGATGATCGAGGACATGTCAACACCAATGACGTGCTTGGCACCGGAACGAGCAGCGAACCTGGACACAACGGTTAATTATCTCGGGGCCATTGGGGTCTTCCAAATACGTACATGCTCAGAATACCGGTACCACAGCCGACATCGAGAACAACCTTGTCCTTGAAGATGTGGCGGTTTTGGTAGATCGAGTCGCGGTACGAGCGGGTGCGAACATCATCTTTCTAACACCGCATTGCGATTAGCCAGCGCCTCGGGCAGAGAAGTGATCCATTGGGTACTTACCAGCATCTCCTCGTGGATACCTGCATCGACGCAAAAAAAAAGAGGTTAGTGGCGAGTTCTTCAAAATTTGCCATCTCCTTCACTCGGAGCTTACCGTGGTGGTCGTAGCTATTCATTCGTTAGCATGATCTCGCACAGCATTTTATCGGGTTATCGTACCTAGTGAAGTAGCGGACTTCAGAGTGCTCCATGCCGACCATGCGATCGGCACTGCTAGTAATCCCCGAAGGAGTGTCGTTACCAGTGTTCATATTGGCGTCCAAAGAACAATGATTGCAATATATGGGGGTGTGGAAAAAAAAAAACAGAAGAAGAGAAAAGAGAACGAGTCTTGACTTTTTTTTCTGATTGCCCACTCCGCCAAGCTTCACTCCAATCACCGCCCGCCCGCACTAGCCGCATGGGGCTGCGTCACGTGCAATCACGTGCATAGGGCATGGAGTATACAGATCGAGCATCTTGTTCAGGCGAAGCCAAGGTAACTGCTCAATGCCACCCTTGGGAAGAATCGAAAGAATTGACGCGTGGAATCGTGAACGCGAACACCCCTGGAAGCGAGACCGTATAGTATGGCGATTGAATGTAATGTCTCCGAGTATACGGAGTAGGGATGTCCTGAAACACTGCTGAATAGACACATTGAGAAGTGTGCCTAAGAGGCAGACAACTTGACAGCCAGTCGCAGCATGTGTACTAGTACTCCGTAGGGAACACAGAACCTTGGAAGCCACGGTTGATCCCTGACGCCTGTGGGGTAAAGCCTTCTGCCAAGACCAGAGCCTCCCCGAGCTCCGCCCAGACATTTCTCAAGCTTCCCTGCCTCACACTTCCTCCATCAAAATGTATCTTGGGGCTCGGGTTAACCTCGCCTTGTGCGCTTTAGTCTTCGCGACCTTGTTCATTGGCAAGACCAATGCGTCCATGGGCGACCATCTTCCCGACTTCAAAGAATGTGTCAAGGTGCGGCGAATCAACAAACCGTCTAGGACCAACTGACAGCCATAGGTCTGTATCACGGAGAATTGTCAAAATGGCAATTCGGTTTTACGCACGTCTCCCGGAGTCCCCCACGCTGTCTGCCGTTACTGACCGAAACAGCCTTCCACCACCGTCTCTTGCTCTGGACCTGCCCGTCTGAATGCGATTATACATGCCAACATGTCGTGACCGACCGCCGCGTTTCGCGGGATCCCCCCATGATCAAACCGATCCTGCAGTTCCACGGGAAATGGCCCTTCCGCAGACTCCTGGGCATGCAGGAGCCCTTCTCGGTGCTGTTTTCCTTCCTCAACTTTGCCGCCCACTGGAACGGCATGTCTCGCATCCAGGAGTCGATCCCCGCCTGGCATTCCCTCCGTCCGTACTATATGCTCTTCGGATACATTGGCCTGGCGAGTTGGAGTTTCAGCATGCTCTTTCACACCCGGGACTTCGCATTGACGGAGAAGCTGGACTATTTCGCCGCCGGGGCGAACGTGCTCTACGGCCTGTACCTGTCCGTCATCCGCGTGTTTCGACTCGACCAGGATGGCTCGCGGTATCGCCCTACCCTGCGGCGCTTTTGGACGGCCATCTGCGCGCTGCTTTATACGCTCCATGTCTGCTACCTCAGCTTCTGGTCGTGGGACTACACGTATAACATGGCGGCGAATGTGGCCGTTGGGATTGTGTCCAACCTGATCTGGACCGGGTTCAGTATTGTCCGGTACCAAAAGTACATGAAGTCCTGGACCGCGTGGCCCGGTATGATTGTTGCGTGGATCATCTTGGCCATGAGCCTGGAATTGCTCGATTTCGCGCCGTGGAAGGGGTTGATTGATGCGCACAGCCTATGGCATTTGGGGACGGTGGTCCCCACTGCTTGGTGGTACTCGTGAGTTTTGACCTGTTTTGACCTGTTTCGCCCTGGAGCTGCATGACTAATGCCCAACAGATTTTTGATCAAGGACACCCAAGATGATATTGCTGGACATCGGTTGAAAGCCTAGGTTGAGATGGAACATTGTACTGTATAGTTAGTTGGTCTTGCACTCGGTCGTACAGACTCCCCTACCTGTAACTTCCACCACAATAAATCGGTTACTGCCACATCCCCAGCGCCAGGGGTTAGTGTTCCCCGCCATTTCCCTCACCGCTAAGACCCGCTAGGGCCGTCGCAATAAACCGTGTCTCACCCCAAACCCCCCCTCCATGCCACTTTTTTTTGTTTCAAGTACTCTTCTTCTTGACAACTTCCCTTGAGCTTCCTCGTGGTCATCCTGTCCAGTATTTTACACAATGGCCTCCCAGGCGGTCAAGAAAGCTATCACCGAAGCGGCGTTGCAGTACACAAAGCCCGAGGGCAAGGTCTTTGAATATGGCACCGCAGGGGTAGGTTGCCCTTCTGGAGAAAGAATCCGTAGGCTGATGTTCCTTTTCCCGGGTTACAGTTTCGCATGAAAGCGTAAGTTTCTTCGATCCACTCCGCCTCCACATCCCCGCGATCTGCTCTGTTTGTTGATAGCTCTCTGACCGAGCTATACAGCGACCTTCTCAACACGGTGGTTTTCGCCGTCGGCTTGCTTGCCAGTTTGCGTTCCAAGAAACTCAGCGGACAATGGATTGGTGTGATGATCACAGCCAGCCACAATCCCGCGGAGGACAACGGTGTCAAGCTGGTTGACCCCATGGTATGTAGCAACCCCTCACCTTGACCGTTTGGTTCGATCCAGCGACATCTAACCGTGATGTGTTATAGGGTGAGATGCTCGAAGTAAGATTTCCCAGCCTCGACGAATCGAATCCGATTTGAGATACTTACCCTGACCCAGGCCGAATGGGAGGCTTACGCAACAAAATTGGCAAACGCCCCGTTGGATAAGATTGCCGATGTCTACGACGAGCTGGTCAAGGAGATTGATGTCAAGGTCACCAACCCGGCCCGTGTTGTCTTTGCCCGGGACACACGTGCTTCCGGCTCTCGCCTGGCTGGCGTCCTCAACGCCGCTCTGACCGCGACGGATGTTGAGTTTGTGGATTTCAAGTTCATGACTACCCCACAGCTTCACTATGTTGTTCGCTGCAAGAACACCCTTGGCACTCAATACGAGTATGGCGAGCCCACCGAACTCGGATACTACGAGAAGCTGGCAAACTCCTTCAAGAAGGTGATGCGTGGCGTCAAGGTCCAGGGCTCCTTGACTGTTGACTGTGCCAACGGTGTGGGTGGCCCCAAGCTGCGGGAACTCATGAAGTCCCTTACTGGAATTGACATCAAGGTTGTGAACGACGACGTGATCAACCCGGATGCCTTGAACTTTGACGTATGCCCCCGCCTTGGAATCCGCCCCCAGACCCCCCCCCCCCATCGGCTAACCATCATTGCAGTGCGGTGCCGACTATGTGAAGACCAAGCAACGTGCTCCTCCTTCGTCCAAGGCTGGCGCCCTGGACCGCTGTGCGTCGCTCGACGGTGATGCCGATCGTCTGGTCTACTACTTCCAGGACGAGAGCAACGTCTTCCGTCTCCTTGACGGAGACCGCATCGCTACCCTCGCCGCCTCTTTCATCGGCGACCTTGCCCGCAACGCCGGCATTGCCTCCAAGCTTAAGATCGGTGTCGTTCAGACCGCCTACGCCAACGGGTCCAGCACAGACTACATTGAGAAGGTCCTCAAGCTCCCTATCATCTGCACCAACACCGGTGTGAAGCATCTCCACCACGCAGCCCTGCGCTTCGATGTCGGTGTGTACTTCGAGGCCAACGGCCATGGTACCGTCACTTTCTCCGAAAACGCCCTGAAGGTCATCAAGAACACCGAGCCTCAATCTCCCGCACAGCAGCACGCTCTTGAAAGCCTCCAGGCTCTCACCGACTTGATTAACCAGGCCGTTGGTGATGCCTTGTCCGACATGCTTCTTGTCGAGGCTATCCTTGCCCACAAGGGCTGGTCCCCCAAGGAGTGGCTGGGAACCTACACCGACCTGCCTTCCCGTCTTGTGCGTGTCGAGGTCAACGACCGCTCTATTTTCAAGGCCTACGATGCCGAGCGCAAGCTCGAGTCCCCGGCCGGTCTGCAGGGTACCATTGAGTCTCTCCAGTCCCGCTACAACAAGGGCCGTAGCTTTGCCCGTGCCAGTGGCACTGAGGATGCCGTTCGCGTCTACGCGGAGGCTGCTAGCCGCTCTGAGGCGGATGACCTGGCCACCCGCGTTGCTAACGCCGTCAGTGAGGCTGGCAGTGCTTAAGCTCTGACATTGGAAATACGGTCTCCCAATACATTTTGACGCAGTAATGAAATCTATGGTCCACATTATACATCTCAATCCGTACACTTCATAGACTTGATCGGGGGTATCGCGGCCATGATGCTTCACCCCTTTTTATAGGCGCTCAATGTTTCTCGGTGTAGTTTTGACTTTTTTACTGTGCTGCACAGCAATACGCATCCTATAACTAGATCAAGCCCGCACGGTTGACATAGAGTATCTCAAAATGAGACGTCGAATCATGAATATGCAGTAAACCATGGATATAGAAACAACATTTTTATTAGATCTTCTATTGTGGCAGAAATTGCAGCAAGGGTATGTGATTTTAACCTTCTTCCTGATCCATAGCATCGCGGCCGCGTTTGCCCTTGAAGCTGAACTTGCCCTTGCCCTTGGATCCCTTCTTTTCGTCGTAAACTTTCATAGCCTGGATGGCATCGCGCTGAGACTCGTGAACACTGGCTTCGAATACCATCGCATCCTCCTTGGGTGCATCGTGTTCTTCGAGGGTCTTGCCAAGAGCGGCTTCGATACGTTGCCAAACCTCTGTAATCAGACGTTAGATCGGTTTGGAGGCAAGAAAGATGGGAAACATACCAACGTCGTACTGAGAGACAAAGCTGATGGCGGTACTGATAGAAGTCAGTGAGAAGCTCAACTTGTACCATGATAGGAACTTACCCAGCCTTTCCAGCTCTTGCTGTGCGTCCAACACGGTGAATGTAAGTCTTTGAATCACTGGGGAGGTCGTAATTAAGCACAATGTCGACTGATGGAATATCAAGACCACGAGCAGCCACATCAGTTGCAATCAAGATCTCTCTGCTCTTAGATCTGAATTTACCCAGCGCACCTAAACGTGCGGACTGGGACATTTGTCCGTGTAGAGGAATCGCACCGAATCCCTGAAGATGGTCAGTTGTGGCCCGGAACGGATACTCAAGACAGTGGACTTACAAGTCCACGCAGCAAGAAGGCGATGCGCTGAGTTTCATGTACTGTGCGCATGAAAATGATAGCAGACTGGCCCATGTACTTGTGGAGCAAGTACACAAGGTAGATGTCTTTGTGCTTGAAGGGCCGCAGCAGGAATGTCTGGTTCAGCGTAGAGACCGTTTGGTATTTGCTTGATGAAATCGAGACACGCGCAGGGTTTGTGAGAGATGCACGCTGGAGGGATTCGACCTTGGAAGATAATGTTGCTGAGAAAAGGAACGTGCGACGCTCACGAGGAAGCACTTTGAGAATCTTATCAAGAATCGGACCAAAGTCCATGTCCAGAAGCCTATCGGCCTCGTCTGTAGTCCAGTTAGCGGTTTATAGGTCAGAGAAAGACATCAATCATTCTCTCCGACGGATGATGATTTGACGCACCCATGACGAGATACTTGAGGTTGCGCAGACTGAAGCCTTTGGTATTCTCAAGATGGTCGAGAAGACGGCCGGGTGTCGCGACAATGATGTGAGGCTTCTTTCCCAGCGCAATGGACTGCGGCACCATATCCATACCACCGACAAGGGTGACAGATCGTACATTGATGGTGGAACCGAGGGACTCGCATGCGAGCGAGATTTGGTATGCCAGTTCACGGGTCGGGGCGAGGATAAGACCAAAGAACGGCTGGGGCTTCTCCATCAGGAAAGAGAGGAGAGGAAGAGTAAATGCGGCAGTCTTTCCACTACCTGTCTCGGCGAGTCCGATGATGTCGCGGCCCTGGAGTGCTAGTGGAATCGTCTCGCTCTGAATGGGTGTTGGTTGCTTGTAGCCCATGTTGGTACTGTTCAGGTTAGCGATTGCTTGCGCAGCGACAACCGGGACGATAAGTACCAAGCTTCGCATAGTGAATCAATGAGACCGAGTTCTTTGAAGCTTTTGGGGGCGCTAGCCTCGGTTTCGGCCTCCGCATCGTTATCTTCCGCAGCTTCTTGATCCTCAGGTGCAGGACTGGGTTCCGGGCTTGAGGGGACAACGGTCTCCGACTCCTCAGCAGGCGCCGGTGCGACCTTGCGCTTCTTTGTGATTGGCATACTTGATTTGGGCATGATGTGAACGCAGACAAAAAAAGAAAAACGGCATCTTCGATATCAAAATTTTAGTGGGGCCGCAAGATCGTTGATCCGGATGCTTCTGATAGAGAAAAAAAAACCTCCAGCTGTCGACGGTTGTCTCACCACTCCATTGATCTAATTTTTTTTCCCTTGACTCTTTATACAAAATGGCCAAGGCACGCGTCAAGAAGCGCACTCACCAGAAGCCCCAGAATGCCTCCGCTGTGAAGGGCACTGCGGCCTCGATGTCCAAGACTCCCAAGTCCATGGTCATTCGTGTAGGCGCTTCTCAAGTTGGTAGCAGCGTTTCCCAATTAGTGAAAGATGTTCGCAAGATGATGGAGCCGGATACTGCCGTGCGATTGAAGGTGTGAATTCGAAATCTACGCAATTGCGTGGTCGATTGTTTTCTAACAAAAAGTAGGAACGCAAATCCAACAGACTGCGAGACTATACTGTCATGACCGGACCCCTCGGCGTCACTCATCTGATGCTGTTCTCCAAGTCCGCAACCGGAAACACAAATATGCGACTGGCGGTGACCCCCCGAGGACCGACTCTTCACTTCAAGGTCGAGAACTACTCGCTGTGCAAGGACATTGAAAGAGCCATGAAGCGACCAAGAAGTGGTGGACAGGATCACAAGACCCCGCCTCTACTGGTCATGAACAACTTCACCACCCCAGACGCAACCGAAGAATCAAAAGTGCCCAAGCGCCTCGAGACCCTCACGACCACCATCTTCCAATCCCTCTTCCCTCCCATCAACCCTCAAAGCCAGCCTCTGTCCTCCATTCGCCGTGTCATGCTGCTCAACCGCGAGCCCACTGAAAAGGACGACGATTCGTATATCTTGACTCTTCGCCACTACGCCATTGCCACAAAGAAGACCGGTGTGTCGAAGCGCATCCGCCGCCTGGATCCCAAAGAGATCCGTAACCGAGACAAGAAGAAGACGGCAGTTCCCAACCTCGGCAAGCTCGAAGATGCCGCCGATTACCTACTCGATCCCTCTGCCGCAGGCTACACATCAGCAAGTGAGACTGAGCTCGACACCGATGCGGAGGTTGAGGTCGCCGAGAGCACCACCCGCCGCGTGCTGAACAAGCGTGAGATGCAGCGTCAAAAGGCCGCAGAGAAGGGTCAGGACAAGCCCAGTGCAACTCCCGGTGTCGAGAAGCGGGCTGTGAAGCTGGTCGAGCTGGGACCTCGTCTGAAGCTTCGCTTGATGAAGGTTGAGGACGGAGTGTGTGATGGCAAGATCATGTGGCACGACTTCATCACGAAATCCGACAAGGAGGTGCGCAAGCTGGATCAGAGTTGGGATGTCAAGCGGAAGGAGAAGGAGCAGCGCAAGAAGCTGCAGAAGGAGAACATTGAGCGGAAGAAGAAGGAGAAGGCTAGTGCCAAGGCCAATGGCAAGGAAGTGGCTGATGATGAGGATGTGGACATGGACGATGAGGCCGATTGGCTCAGCGATGATGACTTCGATCAGGGCGAGGGTGAACCAGACAACGACTCCGAATCCGAAGCTGATTCGGACGACTCGATGGAGGAGTAGATGGTTGACTGACACCCTTGTCACTGACCTGTCTAACATCCACGTCTCCCCATGTTATATGGACCAAAATTTCTGTCACTGTCACATACCCGTTAGGCATCTAGGCGTTAGGTTTTATCTGCAAATAATGTGGTTTTCTCTTGTGTTCTCTTCAAGCCCGCTGGAGGCTGGATAGACTGCATTTGTTTGTATACCGTCTGTGTCTGTTTATACTCGAACATATATGGGATGTAAGGCATCTGGATTATTCTCAACGATTGGACACGGACGACTCTAGCTTAAATTGGGACGGCAATGTATTTTCGATTGAAAGATTGTCATCGGAGACGAACAGACGTACATAATAGGGCTAAGCATCCGGTGCAGCAACCGAGTCAGGTCAATTACTAGGTAGAATACAAATGGGCTAGTAATTGACGATTTGGTGGTCTCTATGGTAGGAGGAGATCAATGTATTTGAAGGACTGAACCCTACATACACCGAGGAATACAATAACAAGAGCATTGATCTGCAAAGTGAATCAACTGATTCTCAGAAAATGTCTCATCCCATATCGTAATATCTGCTCCTGTCTTCATATGACAACTATTGTTCGGCGGCAACAGCGGGTTGCGCCTCTGGCTGTGCAGGTGCCGCAGACGCCTCGGGCTCTTCGGTCTTCTCCAACACTGTACTATCGGGACGCCACTTCTTGAGAACTTTGGCGGCTGCAGGTCGGGACTCCTCATCTGTAGAAAGTGTTAGCGCAACGTGCCAGGGACCTTGGAGTATCAAGATCTTACATGTCTGGTAGACATCCTCAATCGTGTTCAGGCACATCTCCCGGGCTGGAATGCGGTACATGATCAGGTACCTATGTTGTGTTAGTCGTCTGAACTCGGCGGCAGGCAATTGTCACGTACATCAATGATTGAACGCATAGGTTCACACGCTCTGGGTCCTTGGCCAAGCTGGCTACCCGCTGAGTGATAGGGATTGTAATTTCAGGAATCTCGCTGAGGAATCGGACAAGAACCTTGATATCCCGTCCGTCCAAATATGCCAAGAAGCCATCCAAGAGACGGTTGACCCAAGTGTCGTAATGGATTACAACAGTGGGCTCCGACTCTTCGTCTGAAGGGTTGCGTCGGGCGGCCGCACTTTTCATTTGAATCCGGTCGTTGTACCATTCTTCGTTGAGCCACATGATAGCAATGTTCAGCCGTCCACGGAAATCCTCAAGGACATATCGGTAAAGCGTCTCACGAATGGAGTCGGCAATGGTGGGTTGACGTCGTACAGTCGAATCTGCATTGGGTGGCGGTTCGAGACCTGCGGGGGCTCGAGTAGCTAGTCGGATAAGAAGGATAGACCACGCATCTCTGTCGGATGCGCTGCCGGCAAGTCGAGCGAAGCCGAGCTTTTGTTGAGCCTGGCCCCTGGCAGGTCCTGCTGACGCTTCAGCTGCAGTGAGCATACCAAAGACGCGGGCAGCGGCAGCTCGTCCAAGTTCGCCGGCTTCCTCTTCACTCAAGGGAGGGGGCTTGGGCAGGACAAATGGTCCCAGAGAGGGCTGGAGGTCGGCGAGATCTTCCGCAACCGCAGTGTTCTCTTCTGATGCGATGGATGCTGCGTCCATGGGCTGGTATTCGGGCTCATAGTCATCGTCGTCATCTTGGCCCGCTGATTGCTGCTGTTGCTGCCGTTGCAGGGTTTGCTCTCGAGTGATCGTCTGATAGCGAGTACGAACGGCCTGGGAGTGGGTTAACGCAGATCTGCCGTTTGCAAAACGAGACTTACCTCAACGGCTTGAGCCATCGTTGAGTCATGCACTTGGGAAAGGAGAGGCACGACAATCTTTAGGACAATATCGAACGGAAGCTGCTTGACATCGAATGATGACAGCCCGGCATCCTCGGTCAAAGTAAACAGACTGTCATAGGTGGCAGGCCCCGGGGCCATTGGAGGAATCTTCATCATTGGAGGTGGCATGGCATTGAGGCGTGCTCGCTTGGCACCGTCGAGTCCGTCAGTAGGCTCGTTTGGCAAACCACGCTTCCGAGTGGGATCTTCGGCGGCCTCCAGGCGAGACTGGCTCAATCGTTCAATGTAGGCCTGCATTCGTGGGGCCAGAGGATGGTTTTGGTTCCTGGCGGTGTTAGACTCCAACTGGCTTCATAACGGCAATTACATACTTTTTCAGGATATTCCACAGCAGTGCGCGGGCTGTCCGTTCCATAGACTTGACACTGACTCGCACAGTTGGCGTAAAAGGAGGACGGACGTGGTGTGCTGGGATGAAGTCCAAAATCGCATTCACAATCTTGTGTGCGATAGTTGGACGAGTTCTAATCAGGGGAGGAAGCAAGTTTATTGTGGCGTTAACCAGAAGAGCATCACTGGGCAAGATTAGCTTCTCTCGGAATGCAAGTACAACTCCGAGCCTTACCTTGTCTCTTCCTGGAAGACACCGAGCAAACGGTCCAGTAAGCCCGAGGATTCAGCTTCCAGGTTGGGAATCGAGAGGAGAGAGTGGTTGCGGGGGACCACAGCTAAAGAGGTCTCGTTGAGCTCGGGGCGCTAACCGAAAGAGTCAGTATACACTTCACTTCTGGGGAAAGAGGGTCATACCCTGGGGTCACCGCCTGAGCTATGTGTTTGAACCTGGACAACGCGTTGGAGGAACTTGGCACAACAGAGCTTGACTGAGCAAGGGTAATCGTCCATCTTCTTCAGGATCTCTTGCTTGATCTCGCACATATTCTCCCATGTTGTGCTATCCTGTGGGTGATTCACACTGCCATACTGGTTAGTCGCCTCTGAGACCCAACATGCTTGATCACCTACATATGTCTGAAGACGAGAGGGTACAAGCTTGCTGATGCCTGTACTAAGCTTTGCAACACCGTGATATCGGTCTCGGGCAGCCTTAAGATCTCACGAATGGTCTGCAAAACATTTGGCGCCAGCTGCTCCTTTTGTTCTACACCTAGCACTGGACTGGCAAAGGTCTCTGCGAGGAAATTGGCACCCCATCGGCGCAGCTCCAACCTTGTGCTGGCCCCAACAATGGGAAGGATACCATTCACAATCTGCGGGTAAAAGGCCGCATCGCCAAGGACAAGACTGCGGGCGGCATTGAGCTGTGCGATCTGGTCGCCAACATCTGGTGCCTGAGCCATTGCGGCGAGAAACTCCCGGGTTGAGGTCGCGACAATCGCCCGGGGGGGTCGCGAAGGGGGGGCGGCAATGAATCGCTGAAAGAGAAAGGTATTGGCTCGCTGGAGTCGGATGGAATCGCGCAAGCCAGCTGGATCAGGCCAGGGTTCCAAGGTGGTCGCGACGTGCTCTATTCACGACGGGTTGCGGTGGAATCGGGAGCCCAGCGCGGGAGGAAGAGCCGGGAATGGACGATAAGGTGACGATGAGGTGAGGGGCGCAAAGCACAAAGGAATTGCAGGCGGAATCAAAGAGAAATTCAACTGAGCGGCAGTCGAGCCACTCAACAGTCCCAGAGTCTACAGGAGCTAAGACGTGAGCGATGTAAACGCATCACGTTGTGCCAAGACTTTTGCTCCGGGTCTGCCTGTCCTCGATTTTCTTTCTCACCATACACTCCGCTCACCATGGCTCAAGGAATGTATGTATACTCTGTGACAACAGACCCTGGCAGGCTTGCTAATCCAGTCTCTGTTCATCAGCTTCAACTCCACCTACTACGGCAAGGATTACCAGGCTGGCGCCGCCCTGCTGCGCGCCCGCCGTCCGTACCTCGTCAAGAACGCTGTCACTGGCTTCGGACTGTTCACGTTCACAATTGCTGTTTGTGAGTAGCATTTCCGCGTCGCTGCTCCAATGCCTTCCGGCCTTCGAAGTGCGGGCGATCATGCCACCCTCGAGAACCCCGAGGTACCAGGATCGAACCAGTTACTGATCCTCACTCTACTAGACACCTACACCCTCAAGGCCGTCGGCCAAGAAGAGTTCTCCGATGTGAAGGTTCCCGATGCCCCGGCAAACAAGAAATAATGGGTTGCACGGCAGTGATTGATACGGGACTCTCACCGAGTCACCAAGAGTGCCCGGTGTGTACCATATAGCAGCCGGACGGGACCCGAGAGACAACGGTGCAAATTGGGGTTTCGGAGTCTTCGGGAGACCATGGTTTTCCTCTTTTTCTTTTGATTAGCGCTTCTAGCAGCCATTGCGTTGCCGTGTACAGAATTGGCTTACAACTTGCACTGTACCCTCAATTTTGAGCTCCAGATGATTCTCATCTCTCTACCAACTGCGTTGGATATATGGCACATGCCTATATCTCGCGCTCGACATGCGCTTCTTGAACATACAACTGGTTTGGATCCGTTCAATCCATCCCGGGCAATGGCTTGGAATGGACTTGGGCCGAAGTGCATGCGCAACTAGAGCTAGCCTGTGGTTTATGCCCTCGAGAGTCTAGATGATATATACGGATCTGGACCCAAAGGACACAATTCGGCGCAGAGTATCTTGTACAGGAACGTACTGGCCTCGGGAATGACTTATAAGTGAATTAGATACCTGGGGACAAGCGTGTTACATGTATCGAGTGCCTTTGAGATACATGGGATACTTGAACGCTCAGTGCTCCGTAGATTCAAGTACTCAGGGCTGTAGGGCAGCGTTCAATCTGACGAGCCTCAGTAGCGCAACACTCTGTATTTGGACTCCATATTATGCGCGGGGCTGTCACTCGCTGCCATCTCAACTTTACCAAAGCCAGATGTGACTCGGTCTGCCCTACAGAACTCTCGCATGGGCTCAGCTGGCGTTGGAGTATATGCTCCAGCCTTTGAGAGCGCCCATCACAACGCATCGTGGACCACGAAGCCTCTTCGTTTCGGTGTCCCGTGTCTTCCTGTTCTGGACCGAATGGCAGGGAAATACGAGATGGCACTGTTGTTCGTATCCATGAGCCCCCGCTGGAAGCTCTGACAAACCTGAAGCTCAGAAAGTGCGGTGGACTCCGACTCGTGCACAGAGTTCTGTTGTCCCTGTCCCAACGAGGTATACAACCTGGGAAGACTGATACCTGCGATGCAACACCTCTCAGACCTGCTACACTTGAACTCTTTCCCCCTCTTATGTCCCGGGTGTAAAGCAATATGGGCTCGCACGCCAAAGCATACGAGCTCTGAGGATGCCACCCCGTGTAGCATGACAATGCAAAGGGCACTCAGGTCTGCACAGGTAAGACCTAGTCCCTGAGTCGAGGCAGCGCTCATTCGTCATGTTCCTGAATCGGCGAGACATCCACTTCGCCACTGGTTCGAGCTTCTTCACGGCTGCAGGGCTCGGACATCCTGCACACAATGTCCGAGACTCAGGGTCTCGACACTCTGCACCCAATGAGTCCAGGCTTTGCTTTTTTCCCCGACGCCAAGAAACTCTCCATTGCGTGCAGCTTGCTTGGCTTGGTTTTCTCAGCTCGTTCAGCTGCGAATGAATTCCGCTCGACTCGGGCGTGATTGGGGCCCTGGGCTCCGCTTCATGCACCGGCGGCTTTGTACTAAATTAGTCGATACACAGGTCTATAAGAGGACGATCTGCTCTTCGTCTTGTGTCTTTGGGCCATCGGTATTTTCGGGCCTTGACTTTTGTTAATCCAGCGCAGTTTTTCCAAGTCCTATACCATGAATCTGTTCGCTATGTGCCTGACGCTTGCCAGCGTGGTTTCGGCGGCGGCATTGCCCAGCATTCAAAGTCGTGCGATCCTCGCCTACAGAAGTGTATGCCGAGTCTCCATTGGGTGCGTCAAACGACTAATGTTTCACAGTGGGACCTCCGCTTCTTGAGTGAAGCCCCTCCCATCTGCGACCCCAGCGAATCGAACCTCGACTACTCCATCTTCCATCGCTACGGGGTAAATGCGCGCGCTTGCGAGGCTCTTGATACAGTGTCCTTTAACGCGACCAATCTCAAGAGCATCTCGTGGAAGAGCCCCTCCGCCGACGACCAAAAGGATATCTGCATGTTCAGCACCGCCGATTGTAGCGATGGATTTTTGGGGACCATCACCAGTGGCTGGGATGTCTGTTACCCGTACAATGGCTTCCTGGGATGGACTGTCGTGGACCATGGGGATGATTGTGTCTGAAAGTGGAGAGATCGAGGATCTATAGCCCTACGAGGCGGAGTGGATGGAGTTTGTAAATAGTGTCCATGTCTAAGTAGTCACTGGTATTGAGAACCTGGATTCCCTCTCTGTGCAGTATAAGACTACAAGACTACAGACTACCTAGGTACTGTGCTTTCAAGTTGTGCTCCCTACGTAGTGTACTGCCTGTCAATATGACCTGCCAAGGCTTCATGTCATGTCGATCGGTTCCACTCGGCCCCCAAACACGACACGGTCGCAATTTCTCCCCTTTCATCCGCTCGATGATGTCGCGTGAGGCTTTTGAAAATGCATCTCCGGTCCGGACTACTCACCTTCATTGATTCGCTATATTCCGGGGTCACTGGGGCAGACGCGCGCTCAACATGGAGGCACCAGTATCAGCTCCTCCAGGGAGCGCAACCCCAAAAGACCAAGCGAATACTTACATGGACGGGGCTAGTGGCAGGCGCCATTATGACCCTGTGGTTTCTCGCTTCGTACAATAGCCATGGTGCGCTGGACAAGCGTTCCTGCGAGCATCCCGTTGTGCGCCTGGTATCCGATGCCCAGAGGGCGTTCAATGAGACCATGCAACGCCAATCCACAACATTGGAGGAGGCAGTGGCGGAGTATCATCGGCGGTATAATATGCCACCACCTCCACACTTTGATGAATGGTATGCTTTTGCGACAGCACGGAACACCGTGCTGATCGATGAATTCGACACGATCTACCATGCCCTCCAGCCATTCTGGGGACTCCAACCCAGCACGATTCGTTCGCGCGTGAGAGAGGATCTGGGGTACAACAATTTCGTGATGGGCGCTGCCGTTCGGGACGGCCGGGTCATGCATTTGGGCAATGGCGGCCAGCAAGAATTCCAGAAAGATGCCACCATCAAAATCCTGGAGAAATTTGCTCAATGGCTGCCCGACATGCTGCTGGAATTCAATGTCCACGATGAGCCTCGAGTGGCGGTCCCACATGAGGAGCTACACAGGCTAATCACCAAGGGCTATGAGACGCAAGCTCGGTTGGACCACCACGCACTGGTGAATGGATTCTCGAAGGGTGACGCTCATGATCCTCTCCCACCAGAGGAAACATACACAACGAGATTCAATGATATCCAGCGCCAGGAGACCTGGCTTTTCTCTCGGCTTTCGTGTCCGCCAGACACGCCGGCCAGGTCGCTCGACGGCAACGCACCCGATAACTCGAGTGCGTTTGCTCTCGAGCCTCTGGGTTTCATCTTCAACCAGACTGCCGCGAGTGATATGTGTAATAGTCCATCGCTCCGGCATCGCCTGGGAGTCTTCTACCGGCCAAATTCTTTCAAGGTGACCAACGAGCTCACGCCAGTATTCTCCATGTCGCACCCGTCCTCATTCCAGGACATTGCATACCCTTCGCCGTTCTACTACGAAGGCGTGTCGCAGTACGATGAAAACACCGCAGTCGAGTGGGAGAACAAGAAGCCACAGCTCTACTGGCGCGGTGGGACCACCGGCGGGCATAGCATAGGCGGCGCGTGGCAGAACTTCCAGCGTCAGCGGATTATCGGGAATCTCACCCATCCGCAGTCCCCTCAGTACCTTTTACAGCGGAAGAACGTGTGTCGACCTGGTCGCACCGAAGGGTGGGAGGTACAACAGGCCAATCAGACACAACTCGATGGACTTTTTGACGCCCATTTCGTCGAGATTAAAGACTGTGACGAGGATTGCCCTGCAGAGGAACAGTTCTTTGACGATATTCGCGAGCCAGACCCACGCGAAGAAGCGTGGAAGTATCGGTATCTTTTAGATATGGATGGCCATGCATACAGTGGAAGATTCTACGCATTTATGCGTAGCAAGAGCGTCCCCTTCAAGCTGACTTTCTTCCGAGAGTGGCATGAGGACATCTTAATCCCTTGGGTCCATTATGTGCCGATCAACAAAGATGGAACGGAGATCCCTGAGTTGATACGGTTCTTCGAGCAGGATCCTACGGGCCAGCAGATTGCTCGCGCGATCGGACAAGACGGCCAGGATTGGGCTGCGAGGACGATCAGGAACGATGACATCGACGTCTACATGTTCCGGCTTTACCTGGAGTGAGTTTGAGCACGATGCGAGCCCGGGCGTTGCTAACATTCTTGTAGGTATGCTCGATTGCAAGATGATCAGAGAGAAACTCTTGGTTTCTCCTTGAAAGCTACAGCATAAGCAAGTTGACTGCTCGGACGCTGGCCCGTCCAGCATACCGCTTTAATGTCCCAGTGCATGCTCGTTGGATGGCGTTAGCCATTGCCCGTGATGGCACTCTTTTCCTGGGTTCAACGAATCCACATGCTAGACCGCACGATCTGGGGGCTACGAACAATGCATCCATCCCAAGGGCACTCGAAGCAACGAGAGTGGCCGAGCCACTGTAAATGAATCGACACCCCTCCGCCGACAGTTCGATCATTCGACAGCTGATGCTGCATTCAGAAACTCATATTAGCCCGCACTTGGCCTGGCTGATCAACCCATGTATAACACCAGAGTGAAGATTATGTACAATACGACTATAGAAGGACCGAGTTCTCAAGCACGTTCCAACTCCCGAATAACCTCTTCAACCGTAGAATCCAGCACATACCTCGCATACCCGCGATGCAATCTCGAGACCCAAGCCGGCAGCAGCTTCTGCTGATCCAGCGCACCCTCCGTCTCAACAACCTCGTAATCATGCGCACTCGCGAATCCCACCTGGACAAACTTCTCTCCCTTCATCTCGTATGGCTCCGAGACACTCATCTCATGCCGTACGCATGTCATCAACCGCCAGGGATACCCCCATCGCGCAATCGCCTCAAAGAATAGTCGCGGCCCGTCCGGTAGTCTCATCGAGACTAGTAAACCATTACTATCTTCGTCGGCCCCCGGCACCCGCTGGACCCGGAGACCACCGTTCAGCAGCACGCGCGGCTTACCCGACTCATCGGGCGAGAACCCATCTGCATCGCCTGTATAACTTGGCGAGAGGCTGAGTTTGGTGCAAAGACCGATCAACAAGCCTTCTGCGCGGAGGATTCGGCTCCCGAACACGGATCTGGCCCAGGCGTTTTCAAGTTCGGTCTTGGTTGGCTGTTTATTGCTTGGAACCCGGGCGTGCAGGGCTGATAGTGGAATTTGGGCTGCGTAGATGTCCACGTATGGACAGTGGGTGGTTGGGCTTGGAGTGCGCAGTGCTTTGCTGCCCGCTGAGGGGGGGAATGCTGGGTACTTTTCTTCAAGGTGGATGAGTTGGCGATGAATGCTGTAGCTGGCTACACCTGCCACCGCAGTGTAGCTTAGTAGACGGACTATACGTGGCATGGTAAGATATTCTACGAAGACAAGTTCAAGACAGGGAAGTGGGCTTTTCTGCGGTCTGGGGGCCAAAATGGGATTGGCGGACTATAGTACTTTGTGCTTGCAAATGTGAGAGCATGAACAATAGACCAGAGGTAGAGGATAGAGAAGAGAGAGAAGAGAAGAGAAAGAAGAGCAGAACGTATACTTCGGCAACCCCGCGGATCCACTATCAACTTTTTCTTTTTTTTTTTTTTTCTTTTCAACTTCCCTTCTTCGCAACTCCAACTTCATCATGGCCCACGAGAATTCACTCGATGATATCTTCGGCTCCTCTCCGCCCGAGCTGGATGCGCCGGTCCGCGCAGAACCCTCCAGCGCTGAGCCCTCTGACCTCCCATCTCTCCGCCGCCAGCACGTCACAGCCGGATACCGCGATGGCACCTCCAGCTCCAAAGGACTCCACGTCCAAGATGGATTCGATGCCGGATTCCCCGTCGGCGCCCAGATGGGCATGCGTGCCGGGACAGTCCTGGGAATCATGGAGGGGCTGCTCCGCGGATTCGAAGACCGGAGTGGCCCGGGCGCCGTGAAGAAGCCGGCCCGAGGCAGTACAGCTCCCACTGCACGATCTACTGAATCGGGCGAAGCCAATGATCAAGAGGTGGCGGAACTACGTCGGCAACGGAGAGAGCACATTCGATCGCTGTATCAGTCTGCTCTGAAGGAGCTTGATGTGCAGGCTGTTTTTTCGGGTGGGGTGAAGGAAGGGGCTACGGAGGTGGTCCCCGCTGGTCAGGGCGAGGAGAAGGCCGAGACGCAGCTGGCGATGAAGGGGGATCCGGTGATTGCGAAGTGGGAGGCGGTTGCTGTGGTACCGCGGTGGGAAGAGAACATGGAGGCGTTGGAGATGAAGGAGAAGGAGCAGGGCGAGGGAGTCAAGGGCGGCCAGGCTGTGGAGCAGAGTTGAAGCTGTTTCACTTCTGTGCAGAACTACTCACGGCCTGGCCGAAGCTTTTTATCGAGATGACGCTCATCGACGCAGTTGGTGTCTCGGCGATCGACACCACCCCCTTCCAGTCCCAAATGGTGGATGGTGTCCTGCAGAATCAATATCTGCAGATGGGCGGGCCATGTCTTTCGGGGAACCCGTTCCGTGCTTAATCGGATCGCCCTGGGTCTCTGGCCCGCTACGAAGTACTACCCAGACACCTGGAACAGTACCCGCCGCGGCTGCAAGGTTGATGCAGCGGGATGGGGATGGCCGTCCCGGGCTATCTTTTGAGACACCGACGCTGGGGTCAATCTACTGTAGCAACGGCTGTTGCTATGGCTCTTGCAGTGTCTACTTTATTCCCACCTCGAGCCCTGAGACATCCACCACCACCTCTTGGAGCAAAACCAAAAACCATTGAGATAAGTGTGAGATGGAAATGAAACACCTGTGCCAACCAGGCAAACTGAAATCGGATAGATCATGGCACGTAGGCCGGTTTACTTGGCACAAGCAGCACCAAACACCAAGCACCATATCGAGCTCCCTGCAGTGATAGTTCCGATAGATCTGAAACGACTCGGGGATGCGAGCCTGCGTCCGACGATGCCTTGCATGTGAGAGGAAGTCCAGACTTGACGCGGCTCAGAATCCAGCTATAGTACCTGTCAAAGCGAGCGAGTGATAGATCAGATTGAGGGGGCGATGTGGTCCGAGGGTCGTGCTTCTGGAAATCCAAAGCGAACTTCGTTGGGCCCATTCTCGTCCTCTGTTTCTGTTCATACTTCGAACTGCTACGGAGCACAGTGATCTGTCCAAGGACGTGTTCCGTATTGTACTAGTAGATGCTGGGCCCAAGAATATTCGACGCAAGGGGACAAAGTGGTACCTTTTTGGTTCCAATGTGTCCAAAGTAAATTCTAGAATTCCAAGTCTCTCCGAGGTGAAAGTTCGTACTTTGGGAAGGCCGAATGTGCAGACCTCTGGAGCCCTCAACCTTGGAAGTACTCCAGGGCTGGAGGTCAGACCCCTTAATAATCAAGCCCTAACTGAGTGAACACATCAGATCCCGGAACCCACCCGACATCCCCGGAGGCTCGACCATCACTATTGTGCCTTGGCGAACCCAGGACCCAGGAAACTATCCCTGTCGCGTCGGACTTGGGCGTTGATCGTCAGTAGAGCCACTAACGTGGGTCCATTCTCTCGTGTCTACTCCGTACATAGAACGCAGGTCAAAGCTGAGGACAGGTTCACGGTGGGGAACGTTTGGACCTCCCCTTGCCCGTTGTGGTGCGACGGTGTGATTGAGACATGACAAGGCCCTCGATTACGCAGGGCGATGTTGCAGTGGTACTCAAGATATCTCGGGGAAAGAAGCTGAGGGTTCCAGCATTCCGGAAGTGGGGATCTCTGGGGCAACCGGGAGGGCGATCATTGGTAGGCATTGAAGTTCTATTTTTGTGTATCCATAGATGCAGAAACAAGGCTTTTGTGGGAATCCAGAAAATGCAATTTTAGGTCCAGGTGATGACCATCCGAGCGCCATGTGTCTTGAGGGTGGAAGTACAGACAAAAAGAAATGATCGGATCAAAGCCGAAGACTGGACGAAAGCTAGTGAAAGCTTCGTGAACAAGGTGGTGATACAGCACGCGAAATGCAGACAGATTAAGGAAAATTAAAGATAGAATTCTCGAGGGTATATCGAGTCGTGAGGTCGGTATTCATGGTCACTCGGACCAGTCGTCGTTTCGTAGCGTGGAGCGCAGGTAGAGAACGTATTGCAGCGCATAGGTCCAATCGGAACCCAAAAATCATTAGGATCATGGTGCGCGATGATGGATGCGTAAAGAGTGTAAGTGCCCATTATCATTGAGAACACGTAAAAACATCGAAATAAATCGTAGGAGGGATCGTGGTAAGCTTGAATGTTGTAGCAGGCGAAATGCAGAGACCGGAACGCCGAGTAATGTATTTAGATGGTGGTAACATTGGTCTTCTTGTGGGACTTGGGAGGCTTCTGGCAGTTCAACGAGCGCAGCGAGTCCATGAAGCGCTGCAAGAAAGGACGTTGCTCCCGGAAGTTGTCTTGGAAGGGGACTTGGGGGTGTTGCTCGTAGCACATGGATGTCAGTTTTTCCTTGTCACTCTTTTCAGAGGACGAGCTGGGGTATTCGGGGGTGTCGGAGCGTTGGCGGCGTCGGTACTGGGCTTGCCAGGCGGCGGCGGCGGAGCGGTCAACGTCCGAGCTGTTCACACTGCTGTTCTTTCGTGAACGGCCGGGACGGGCCAAGGATGTGGTGGAGGGAGCAACGAGGCGCAGGGTTTGCAGTCCATTGTGAATACGGGGACCGTCACGGCTGTTGCTCGGGCGGCTGGTGCTGGGGCGATCCATACTGGGGCGGTAGATTTCAGAGATGGGCTCTCCGAGAGTATCATCGGGCATGCAGGGGAACGTCTCCGTGGGGTGATCATCAAAGGTGGAATTGTAGAGTCTGGGCTGGGATTTGGCACCACGGAGCTTCGCGCGGCTGCGAACTTTGCGCAAGGTGTCGATCGGCTTGCGGGACATGGACTTGCGGCCCACGGATTCAGACTCGGAGTCGGACTCCCAGACTGAATGCTCGCAGTGGGCATCGAAGGTGGAGGTGGAGGGGCGCTCCATAGATGTGGCGGTCCATTGGCGCGAGATGGGGGGAGAGCTGGCCACTGGGCTTGGTACTGGACTTGGACAGTCGTTGGCAGGAATGAAAAGAGCTTGGTCGAAATGGGTCATATGAGGCTCTCTTGTGACCGGGTTGATCAGACATGGGGGCGAGATCATGGATGGATCCAGCGCAGGTCGAGATCCAGGGCCAGACTGCTTGCGGCGGTGGCTGTGGGCACTGGTACCACGAGAGAGGTTCAGCGTCGGTGGCTGTTTTCTGCGGCGAGAGCGAGAAGAAACCGAGCCTGTGGTATCTTCATAGGCCATGGTGATGGTGGTGGTGGAGTCGTTGGAATGCTGATAGCAGGGCGTAGTTGGGCGACTCTCCGCAGCAATCGCAGGGGCCAGCGGCGGAGGAGGTGGTGGTGGCAGAGAGTATGTCGGAGGGGTTGACGCTGGGAGATAGAAGCGACGTCGAGGCTCTGGTTGAGTGGCCTGGACGTGCTTGTGCAATTGTTCTGTGGCGCCCAAGACCACGTCGGGGCAGCCCGAGGAAGAGTGAGATGAGAAGGAGCTGCTTGGGGTCAAATCGGGGGTAGTGGTGTCTGTCTGGACAGAGCTGAAGGAGTCGTGGCTGCTGTGCAGCGGACTCCGTTCCTCTGTGGAGGGAGTGTATCTGTGGAAGCGTAGGCTGTTTTCAAGCTCTACCTGAGCGAGTGTCGATCGGTCTGGGCCGGCGTATTGGAATGAATTGTGCAGGTCCTTGGTCAAGGACAATGAATAGTAGTGAGTGTCGTGCTCGAGTTGGTCATTGCGCATGTCTGAGTATGAATTCCACTCCGGAGTGGCCGCCAGCGAGGACTCGAGATAGAAAGGATCGAGATTGGAGTCTTCCACCACCTTAGGGCCAAACTTGGGGTAATAGGAGGAGACACGCTTGGCGGGGGATGGGGATGGGTAGCAGATGGTGGTCTCCGATCTGTTGCCGGTGTAGAGTACGTCCAACTCGCCTGGACAGTGTAAACCTCCGTGAGCCATGGAAAAGGGAGAGTTGACAGGGCCAGGTGAGAAGGAGAGAAGTGATGGAGGAATGCCAGGGGAGATCAGCACAATAAGTATCGGAAGGTGGCCAGCAATGTAAACAAGAGACATTTCACCTTGCAGGGATGCCGCAAGGACCCTCGATTGGGTCGAGCAAGGGCGCGGATCGAACTTCCGGCTCTTTGTTTACATGTTTACTTTCGCAGTGCATTGTGTGCTCGACTGTATACTCCGTTTCCTGCTCCTCTACCCTCCTCGACTATCCTCAACTACTATCCTCATCCTATACTCAACCCAATGTGAGATATCAGAGTGGGTCGGCGATCCTGGTCACTTAAGGACATAGTAGACCTATTACTCACATTGTATGTATATGCACATGTACTTTGTACTTTGTCGCATTCCAATAGCCGTCATGGGAATGAGTTAGGGCTTCGACTCACAGGCCACTAGACTACCGTCACGAACTATACAGTACTCTACCTAGGTAGGGACCAGCACACTATGTAGCACTATGTAGCACTATGTAGCACACTAGCATGTAATCATTAGTGCAAGCCATTAGCCCTTTAATCCCTTCAATCCCCCTCTGGCCCTCTCTTACCTCTTGATCTCCTCCCAGCATGAATCTTAACTCTCCAAAGCCTAGAGTGCACCTGTCCGAGTCCATCCGGAAGAGCAGACGGACCTTTCGTGACAGTTGATAGATCACAAATGGATTTCACCCTTGTGGGATTTTAACTATCCAGGGAATCACTGATCTGTACAGTGAGAACAGCCCCCCCAATTACTCTGGACACCCTCACTGGCCGTTGCCCGACCAATAATCCCCACATTCCAAGTGCCGTTGACGTGCGTCGACAGTGCAGCGGATCCTACAGATCGGCACGGCTGCGCGATCGCACATTGACTCTGGGGCTGCAGAAACCCTCGCCTCCCACGTCACATTCCACATCTCGATGCACCGGAAGTGTAACGCTGGTCCTTTGTCCAAATCAATGGATTTCGGACGGACCTCGCACCTAGGTGTAGACACCGGGCCCGAGGCCAATGTGCATGCTCAATGCCTACGCCTTGATCCGATCGAGGTACACCTTGGCAGTGATCGAGTATTGGAAGTGTCGACGCTAACTGAAACATCCCCGGCTGCAAGGCATTGAAACCCAGGGTCTCGGTTCGTCTGAACACTTCCCCGAAATCAAATTTTCCGATGGGTCCTTGCGCAGGGCCTCTCAGTCGATGCAGGTTATTTGTCTCGAAGTGATCTAGACTTGGACCTCGGAGACTGTGCGTAGTACTGAGGGTATACTGTAGAATTTATACTCCGTACAGCCAAGGTTAGATCGTGCATTGACTGCTCTGTACCCTGCCAGGCGATGCTGTAATTTGTATACTAACCATACTAGGTATATACTACTATATACCTAGGTACGATATACAATACTACTGTGCTATATACTACTACACTACCTAGGTATACGTTTGCTACTCGACTCGGTATTACTTTTACTGTACGCACGCTCATTCGCCGTCGTCTCCGCTATGTGGGGGAGTTCGTCGCGTTAAAAACAGTGAACCGTTGGGTCAACTGGAGTCCAATTAATGAGAATAGGAAATAGGAGGCATCAAGGGAAGCAATCAAGGACTACCTAGGGAGATAATTGTACTGTACTAGGAGTCTGGGGACACATACCCAGAATATATTGTAACGGAAGTATGTAGGGTATGCACTGCCAACGCATCTATATATTTTTAGGCTAGTCGACTAGTTACTGTGCGAGTTAACCCAGAGAATACTAGAATCAACGAATCAACGAATCAACTTGAACGGACCAACGAATGAAAAAAAGAAGACTTAAGGACAGTATTCGGGACACTCGCTGGCATTAGGGCAGGTCCGCAGATCCGACAGTCTCTCTTCCCTCGACTCACTCGACACTCGACGCACTAAATTCACCCAGTTCACCCAGTTCACCCAATTCCCTCTGATGATCTCTACGCGGTAGTGCCTGAACTGTACATGCTTCCCGAGACACGTTTGGCGCGCTGCAGCTCCAGCTGCGGCGACCTTCCCAGCCATCCCAATTAACCAGCCACCTGACGCTTTCCTCGCTCTCCTCAACTCCTCTGGTTTCTATCTCGCACCCAATTGCGTCCGAACCGGGACTTGACATTCCAACAGCCTCGGGGGCTGCACTTCTTCCACGCGATCGGAAAGCTCGCGATCGCGATCTCAGACCTATCACCTCAGTGACGCAACCCTCGCATTGTCGTCAATCCCCCAATTTTCCCGACCCTTCTTAGAGGTGTCTCGACACAATTCCCGCGTGTCTGACGAAGCCCACGACTCTCACGACCCTTCTACGTTTACGACTTTTGCCCACCCCCAGCCGACGGTCCAACGCTCATCGACCGCAGCGGCATCGCTCTCACGACCCAGTCCGGTGGGCTCTCAGCGCACGTTACGACGAGTCTCCCGCCAGCCGGAAGCTCGCCAATCGCTCCACCGCCGAGCGGTATCTCTTGGGGCCCCCAGTGCTCTCCCTCGTCCCCAGCCGGTGCAAAACACCCCGGCCACTGTACGACACCCTCCAACCAGTGGCATCGCGGCCCTACGCCCGGCCCTTTCCGAGGCGCACACCGACGACAACGGCTCGACCGTCGACGACCCCTACCAGCTCCTCGACAGCTCGTATTGGCCAATTAGAACCAGTCGAGTCTCCTCGCGCACCGCGTCGGCCATCCTTTACGCGCTCGAAGACGCCATTCGTGGTCCGCTCCAGCTCTCGACCGATTGGGACGAAGTGAATGCGTCTATGTCAGACATGGTAGGCGTCGCTGGCCCCGCTGGGCCTGTGGGCAACGGCCGCGTTCAAAATGGCGGACCCCGTGTACCCCAGAACCCGATTTCGGGATCCTCCCAACCTCCGAGTGGCGTGAGAACCCCCACCGACATCATGAGACAACGCCGCGACCGGGAAGCCCGCCGCAAGGCGGAGCACGAGGCCCGAGAACGGGAGCAGGAGGAATTGGATCGCCAACAGCTGGAACAGGAGCAACTGGCCCAGGCTGAGGCCCAGACGCAACAATACGCCGCGGGGATTGCCGGGGACAATGCCTCACAATCGCGGATAAGAGCCCCTCGAGTACCCCGGGGATCGGAACCACAACTGGACTCGGCACCCATCACGGCAGGATCCGCGCCGGGCTATCGCCCCGCGGGCGAGTCAGCACCGACCGGCAGAGAACCGGAGTTCCCGCCTGCACCCGCAATGGCGACAGGCACCGGGGCAGGGCAATCGCGGCCGACGGCAGCGTCCAGCCTCAAACCCCAGCACAGTCGTTCCCAGAGCGCCGCCGCCCTGGGGGCCCACACCGGCTCAGGGGGGTTCTCGAAACCCGCGCAGGCTCCCCCAGCCAGCTCTCAGCAAACGCTTCAACAACCGAAACGCGTTGGCTTTCCACATGCATTCGAAAGATGGGAGACCCTCTCATCGCACTGGGAAGGGTTGACTAGCTACTGGATGCGCAAGCTCGAACAGAACAACGATGACCTCGAGCGCGATCCGGTCAGTCAACAATTGGCTCGACAGGTGACAGACTTGTCTGCGGCCGGGGCAAACCTATTCCACGCCGTGGTTGAATTGCAGCGTCTGCGCGCCTCCTCCGAACGCAAGTTCCAGCGTTGGTTCTTCGACACCCGCGCCGAGCAGGAGAGGGCCAAGGAGACCCAGGCGGACTTGGACCGCCAACTCAAAGCGGAGATGCGGTCTCGCGCGGAGGCTCTCGCGACTGCCCAGGAATCCGAGAAGGACAAGGTGAAAGCCGAGGAACTCCTCAAGGAGATGCGCCGTGAATTGCAAATCTCCAAAGAAGAGGCCCGCCGCGCATGGGAGGAGCTCGGTCGCCGGGAACAAGAAGAGCGAGACCGAACCAATTCCCTCCGCAACGGTGAGCCCACCCTCGTCGGAGGCGTCCAGGTGGTTCCCATGGTGCCCGGTCCTCCCAGCCGTCACAACACCACCCGCTCGCAGGCCCGCGAAGGCACATACCCCAGCAGCTCCGCGGCCCAGGGCACAGATGCCTACGGCAAGCCTGTCAATCCCAGCTCCAGTGGACAGTACTACCAAGATGGTACTCCCATGTCCCCCACCGGCTCCGATCCATTCACCGAGCCTAAAAAGACCGATCCCCCCAGGGCCTCCTACCCAGCACCGCTCTATGAGCAACCTACCGGCCCCGCCACCTCCGAGCCGGACGACCGCTCTTACGTCGGCAGCAGCGAGGCCGACGACGACTATGCCCACTACGCGCACGACCCGCAAGGGCTCAGCTATCCGCCGGGACCCCCTTCCGAGGACAGCGAGGAGTACGACCACCCGGCTGCCCCGTACCCGGAAGGAGCCTACACCTCCGCTGAAACATCCGCCACCCTGCAAGCCCCTTACCCCCCGACCTCGGCCGCGGATTACACCGGCGCGGGCTGGGGCCCCGGCACCGGTTGGGAGTCCATGACTCCTCGTCATCGGCACCCGACGCGTCTAAGTGACGTTCTGGAAGAAGACGAACCCAGTCGCACCAGTCCCAGTCGTGCGAGCCTGGCCAGCCGCAGCCAGGCCAGCCGCAGTATCCTGTAACTGTCCCTTGTATCCTTTCCGGGCGCCGGAGCTCATGCTAGCTTTTGCATCTTTTATTTCGGTGATGCATAGACATCGAGGTGTTCTCGTCTGGGTCTCATCTTTATTCTGTGTAGATTGGCGTTCCATTCCCCCTGTCCCCTGTTTCTATTTCTTATGTGTGTCATTTACTTTCTTCGGTGGCTTAATTATGCGAATGTCCATGTAACGATCCATGTTCTTCCGTAGTGAGCTTTTCGTAACATAAGCTGGAATTTTCCTGACTGGACCAGCGTGGAAATCACATACCTAGTAGGAAATGGTCATGTAGATATATTCGCAATCTTCACATTCCACAGTTAGCCTCAGAGCCCATCTAAAGAGCGGAATACAGACCGATGTATTAAACCCCTTTCAGCTTTCACCATCCTGCCAAAGCATCAATTGAATTCTCAACCCTGGAAGCTCTGTTGCGTGCTTTTGGCCACACTGGCTTGGTGACTCGGAGGGTGGATCGAGGAGGGTGGCATGAAGTACACCCAAATGGAGGAGCACGAGTAGGAAAGTAGAGACGAGACTGCGAAGAGTAAGAGGAGATCGATGATAGTCACTTTGTGCAACATATCGCTCGCCAGACAGAAGGCATTTATCTGAAGCATGTTGAATGATGGCCGATTGAGGACAGCGGTGTCGAATATATACTTCGTGAGACGGGTGGGTGTACCCGGCTATTGCAATTGCAAAGCCCAATCTTGGGAATTTAAGTCTAGATGTCGAGTATCTATACCTAGGTAGCTGCATTGAGGATCTATAGAGCATTACATGGAGGATCTGCCATACGTTCATCATGAATGGCCAGGAACACACTTCCAAGGTTCCGATCAATTGAGACATAGCGAGAACACCGGAAATCTATCTCTCTGCATGAACAGCATCAGCCATATCCCCCAAGGTATCAAATCGCCAATGGTAAACCGTCTCCGTCAAATTCCCCATCGTCGCCCCGGGCCTCTCAATCCAAGCCGACTTAATCCCCACCCGACGGGCCGGGTGGTGGTCATGGAACTGACTCTGCGCCGTCTGCAGCACCTGCGCCGGCTCGACCCCGAACGTCGACTTCACCTCGCGCAGCATGTACTCGAAGTTCTGGAGCTCGGGCTTATACGACCCCACATCCTGGGCGGTGATGATCAGATCGAAGGGGACGCCCTCGAGACTGCCGGCGTTGCTCCGGGCGAATGATGCCCGATCCACATTCGACAAGACCACCAGCTTGTAGCGCTGGGAGAGTCGCTTCAGGGCCTCCACGGTATCTGGGAATGCGGGCCAGCTGCCGACGGACTCCCCGAAGGCCATGCTTTCCGCGGCCGTTGGGGCGGCGAGACCCAGGCGCTCTGCAAAGTGCGGGTGCACGGTGGTCAGCAGCTGGTGGTAGGGCATGTCGGGGGTCTTGTATTGCTGCAGTCGCTCGAACTCATGATAGGTGGTGAGGAGATGCTCGCGAGAGAAGTGGGCGCCATTCTTGTCCAGCGTTGGCTGGAAGGCGGCTAGGATGCCCGCTTCCCAGTCGATGAGAGTGCCATAGACATCAAATGTCAGAACGCGGTAGTCAGAGAGCTGAGACATGTGTTGTTCGTGTTCAGTTTGGATCTGTTTTGTCCAGTTCGTCTCTGTTCTCTATTTATGAGGGGTCCGGGTACTGTTACCCGGGTATAGTAGCCGTGAAGTGGAAGAGAACAGTCGGGAAATGGATTCTGAAGTGGACTGTTTCTATCAGAGACATACAAGAGACAAGAGACATGCAAGAGACTGCTGGCTATTTACAGAGGTTGAACTATACATGGTCTTACCATCAGGCCCTAGCCTTTCATTGCTTGATATCTAACCTCATTAGCCAGTGGCCACACCATCACTCCCTGCACTCACCATTGCTTTCATATTTCTTGACAGCTTTGTCAAAGGCCCCGTCAATCGACTTGATGATTCCCGGGGCAATGGACTTTTCCAGCCCCGACAACTTCTCCGTGACAGCGGCAGCAAAGGCATCCGTGTCCTTCTTCAGCTGGCGAAGGGACTGCAAGACAAAGATCCCAAAGTCACCAAAGGTATCCCTTTGCTTGGCCATATTGTCCAACGTCGAGGTAATCTTGGGCTTCAACGCCACCAGCGCCAGGCCCACCTGGAGTGAGCCTTGACCCCCAAAGGGGTCTGACGCGTGGGCATCGCGAGTGCCCGTCTGGATCGCTTTGTCGAGCTGCACGGCATCCACCTGGACCTGAAGCGCAATGGGGACTCCCGCCATGCCGGGCTTCATCTCCTGGGCGTGGTCGCCGAGGGTGGTCAACAGCATTGTGACGTTCCCGATGTCAGCCTTGATGGTATGCCAGTCTGCGAGCACCAGACAGGGGAGGACGAAACGCAGGAGAAGTGGAGTCAGACGCATCTTGCAAGTTAGATAGCAACGGTCTACGGAGGACGGAGTATGCGAAGATATAGGAGTCTGCACATCAAAATTGAGGACGCCCAAATTAGGGCGTTGCAGAGGGGAATCCTTCTCAGGGCGCTGGAAAATGGGAAAGTCTTCGCAGAAGCTAGTGAGGCCTGATTTTGAGGTCTGGTTATGTGTAAAGGAAGGCCGACTCGCTACTGCGAATTCACGGACTCGATATCGTTTTGAAGATGTGGAAAGCCTTGCCCGTATTGATCTTGTTGTCGCAGGGATTGGCCCAGTCTGCCGCGTTGGACAGAGAGCTCGATGCACGCGTCCTAAAACCAGTCTCCAAGGATGTCTTCGACAACATCAGTCGCTACACGGCCTTCTCGGCCGCTGCGTATGCCGATACCTGTGAGTCTCCGCCGGGGAGCAAGGTGATCCAGTACTTCTCGGACGAGGCGACCGACACTCAGGGCACTCTGTTTGAGGATGAAGCCAGACAGGAATTGATCATGGCCTTTCGAGGGACCTCATCACCCAAGGACCTGGATACAGATCTCATCTTCACCTTAGTTCCCCTCACTGCGCCGGGGACGAAGTGTCCCGACTGCAAGGTATCATGATACTATCATCCACACTGTCTTGATCCACGGCCGGCAATTAACCCCCTCCAGGTCCACAAACGCTTCCAGGAGGCGTATGTCGCTGTGGAGTCTGCGGTTGTCGCCGCCATCCAGAAGCACCAATTGGGATCTCTGACAGTGACCGGCCATTCTCTGGGAGGAAGCATTGCCGCCATTGCGTCGAGTGCATTTGCCGAACAATTCGGTAATATCACCACCTACACCTTCGGAGAGCCTCGAAACGGAGATGCTGCCTATGGGAAATACGTGTCCAGTTTAGTGTCCGACGACAACTACTTCCGTGTCACTCATTCCAACGATGGGGTTCCTCAGATTCCTCCCACGCAGCTGGGATTCCGACATCATGGCCCGGAGTACTGGGAAAAAGAGGCCGACAAGAACGATGCCTCGACCACCCTGGCTTGTGGGACTGGATCGGAGGTAAGTACTACATCTCCCGGGGCCGTGGACGGATCGCTAATGGGTTAGAACTGCAATGCCGCCCAAGACTTTGGCGATGGCCCTATCAACCGCGCACATTTGACATATACAAACATGGCCATTGGCAACTCGCTGTTCATCGAGGCATGTGAAGCGAAGTAGATCGTATTAGAGACGCATGCATGCGAGAAATGAAGTCTTGAACCCGGTTTATCCTATCGCAGTAAGATCCATGCAGTATACAAATTCCGACAGCGCTCAATCCAGTCTTCCCCTGAGCAGGAGCTTCAGTCTACTTCAGTTTGTCCCGTATGCGTAGACGATCTCGGTCTCATATTCGAGTAGATCGGATCGGCTCTGTACGCACGGAATACGAAGCTGAGAGGCGCCATTTGTTTACATGAAATTCAGATGCGCCAGATATTCAGCCATTCAACCGGTTGCCCTAATTTCCAGTCCGGTCGATCCTCCGCAGTTCTCCATATACATCGCGGGCTGCGCTCAACAATCGTGCAGAGGTCCAAAATGCTCGTGAGATCTCTCCTTTGTGCCATGCCCGTCACGGCATTGGCTCTTCCCCAAATCCAGCCACGATCCAATGTCTCCGATGTGCTAGACTCAATTGACACCTTTTCCAACGACAGCTCGAATATCCAGCACGTCCTCTCCGAGTTCACCCCGTCCAGCAATGTCACGGCAACGGCGCTGAAACTTCAGGCCAAATCCAACACGCTCCTCAAGGACATCAAGACCGAAACCGAGACAGTCAAGCAGGCAGCGACCCTGAGTGAGTCGGACTCCGTCAAAGTCGGCAATGCCGTAGTGGAGCTGCTGGAAACCGTCTTTACCCTTCTCGACGACTTCGTTGCGAAGAAATCGGTCTTTGACAAGGCGATCGTGAACACCGCCTCGGCCAGCTCTCTCGTGGAGGCGGATTTAAAGAAGTTGAAAGGGGCCACGGACGACTATGACAAGGCCGTGGCATCGAAGCTGTCGGGCGACATCGAGGAGCTCGCTCCTCTCCTGATCGCCGACCTGGATTTTCACTTCACCCAGGCAATCCATGCATTTGGCTTGAAGGGAGAATGAGACATATGGACGGGACATGGCAAAGTCAAGATCAAATATAATGTAACCTTCTATGTTCTATCTCCCCTAGAACAACCCAATTTCCCAGATCCCCAGAGCAAGTTCAATTAGGTGGAAGACAAGTGGTAGATATCGGGAATGGGACAGTGCCAGCGCCGCTGCAATGCTAAAAAGGATAAATCACATAACAAGAACCAAAAAGAAAATTACACCGAGTCATCACATCATTGGAGTTTCTCTTCACCTGTCGGACTTGGGTGATTGCGCGGAGAAAGAACAGAACTTATCCTTGATGGCAATGACCTCGTACGTACCCTCGTCCGAGGTCTTAATGGTCATGACGTTCTCGTGCGAGATGTCATGCTTGATATCGAGGATCTCGGCCTTCTTGCCCTTACGGGCATTGGAGCTTCGAATGTATCTGGGGGAGGTTAGCAAATGTACACAACTCTACACAACTCGGGATCGAGCACGACTTACGTGAATTCGAATGGCGGTGTGCCCCAGAATTCGAAGTGGAGCTCGGCTTCGCCACCTTCATGGATGTCCACCACGGTCTCCTTGCCCTTGCTGATACGCACGCTGGGCATCGGGTGGATGACCTTGGCGATATCCTTGTGAGCCTTGCACTTACCGCTGGCTCCGTCACTGACCGCAGTAATGGTAAACTCGCCCGGGAACTCGGCGATACGGCGGAAATTGGTGGTCTGCGACTTGGCCTTGCGTGAAGCCCCGTTGAAATTGTAGAATACGTCGAAGGGGGCATGGCCAGATAGCGAAAAGGAAAGCCGCTCACCCACGCAGTAGTCAGTCTTAGACTCGAGTGGAATGATGGTGGGAACATCGGAGATCGCGACTCGGACAGAAGAAGCGTCGAATTCGGTCGTCTTTTGACATCCTCGAGAATCGCGGACCTTGTGGATGCTGACGACATGCTGACCCAGGTCGAGGTGGCGACGAGGGATGAGCAGGTTATGGCGGTTGGCATTAATCTTAGGGATAGTAACGATTTCTGGTTTGGCGTTGGAGTGGTGCTTGATGTTGATCTCGAGCGAGAATGGCGGTACGCCCTCCAGGGTGATGGGAATAACCTCCTCGCCGCTGATATCTTCCTTGCAGAACCCATACACGTGCCCTGGAGAGTCGAACCTGGCAGACGGGAGCGGGTTGACCTTTTGGGTCACCACCAGAGGGTTGATCTTGGGATCGTGATCGTACAGATTATCACCAACCTGAGTGAACTTGTAACTGTACTCCCCAGGCTCCGAGGTATCCATCTCCATGGAGGTGACATGAAGGGCCGACTTCAAAGCCCGGGGCTTCGCTGAGGAGAACCCACCACGCTCCGCCTTGCGTCGCTTCTCGTATTGAAGGTGATACGGGGGGTTTCCGGACAAGCGAACCTCGAGGCTATCGTCATCGCCTTGGCAGATCTCGGACTTCGCAATCTGTCTCGCGGCACCAACGGGATTTCCATCCAACGCAGTTATTTGAGGTCGCGGGATCCACGAGACCTCGAACTCATTTGCAGATTGATCCACAGTTCCCGGGCAGCCGGCATCGTAGACTTCACTTATTTCGTAAAGGCCTTGCTTCTCAACAGTCAAGACACTGTTCGGATTCATGAAGTTCTTTTGGATAGGCTTGGAGTCGGTATCGACATTCCTGTACTTCACAGACCAGGGCCGCTGGCCGCTCAGCCTGACTGGAATCTCAATCTTCGAGCCCTGCAAGGCCAGCACACTCCTCTTCTTGTCAATCTGACCGAACGAGACGTGCGGTGGCTGGGATCGAGCTTCGATGTTGATAATTTCTTTCAATGTTCGCTTGCACTGGGACTTGTCCTTAACGTTGGTCAATGCCACAGTGTAGCTACCACCACTAGTAAGTTTATCGGTCGTGATAGTTGCGACATCAATGTCAGATTCCAGTGTCTTCTTGGTCTTCTTTCCATTGTGCACAATCTCATATTGCAAAGACCAAGGGGCTTCTCCCAAGAATGACACTTCCACGGGGACTGCTTCGCCGAAACAGGCAGATCTCGTTTCCCTGGAGAGGAACTGAGCCGAGGCTGCAGGCTTGACGTCTTGCTCAAGCACGGGAACCTTGTCCTTGAGAGAGCGTGGCGAGTAGACGGAGTCCTCAACATCCAAGAATTGATAACGGTAGAAACCGGCCTCCGAGGGGGTGAGGTCGAGCTGCGTTCGCATGCCTTCGATTGTGATTGCCTTGTTAACAACGCCCTTGGAGCTCTCAATGCTGTATCGAAGAGAGAACGGAGGTGATCCTGTAAGGTCAAGATCCACAATAAGGCCAATAGCGTTGTTGGCACACTTGTCAAAGACCTTTTCAGCCCTGACAGCCAGCTCAGGCTCAGGCGGATTGTGCAAATAGCAAGACGAAGGCTCCAAGATCTCGCCCTGGCAAAATTTGGTAGAGATGGAAGTCAGGGCATACAAGCCGGGTTCCTTGATGTCTACCGTTTGGTCCAAATTCTTCAGACTCACAGTCTTCTCATGAACATCTTCGTCTTGCTGGAACGAGTATCCAACAGAGAACGGACCATCAGCTGAATATACATTCCCATACGGATGGAAACTGAATGGGAATCTTGTGCTGTCTCCTTTGGCTACCTGAAGCGGGGTTTGGGGGTTGCATTGTTGCAGAGACAGTTGCGGGCGCTCATGGACAGAGAATTGGTACCACTGGGATTGTGATTTGGTAGATGGTCGGTCCCCATCATCGAAGATGGTGGAGTAATTTGCCACATTACCAATGGCGTCATGTACCTCTTCAATGGTGTAGAACCATTCTCCTCCATCATTCAGTGACTCGTTCAACGGCACTTCGATCTTCTGGCTTTGAGCCCAAGAGACATCGGGCTGGTTGATGCTGAACAGAGCGGCTGTAGTTCGTCCATTTAATAGAGGGGAGCGCAAGTTGTCCGGTTGTATGTTGAGAACCGAGAATCCGCGGTCAAGATTGTTGACCTGACGGCTGTACTTGATCTTCAATGGAGGCGTACCTTCAACTTCTAGTTTGAAGTTGGATAATTCTCCCTTGCACTTGTCGATGTGTGAGTTCTTGATCAATGCTCTTGGGCAGGACACAACCAAGGCATCGAATGTCCGCGTGTGAACATCAAGCTGGGACTCGTCCACCACCCGCTGAAGACGATAGATACCGGTTTTGCGCACCGGGAAAAGCAAATCGCGGTGTAGCTGACCGGGTGTGTGTTTCTTTTCCGCCTGGCGTTTGAGACCCTTCAATTGCTTTGCGGGAATGCTGATGGTCTCATTTTCACCAGTGTTCAGGTCCATACGCAACACTTCGATCAAGATGGGGTCGGTCTGATTGACGCGGATTGGAAGGTCGATTGTGGCCCTTGAAGAATCAAGGCAAAGCGAGCTTCGGTCCGGGTTCAGAACAGCAGATCTAGCGAGGTCAGTAATTTCATGGGATGAGCCGGCAAAATCTACTTACCCCTCTGGCAAAATGTGGACAATTTGTCTTCCCAGGATCAAGGATGCATTGTGGATGATGTCACCTGGCTTGACCCTGTGTTCGGAGATGGAGATTTCGCGATCGTATGCGACCTTGACTAGTCCCGTAATCCAGGCGGCCCATGGAATCTAGGCCATCAGCTTAACAGGTCCTATCAAAGAAAGCAGTTGGTGACTTACCGGAATACGGAACATCAAAAAAATATTGCCCACGGCGTGCAGCAAGAACAAAGTCAATGTGGTCGGAAACGCCCACTCAAGCCAGGGGATGCGCAGAGCTTGCAATCCCACTAGGAAAATTCCATCGATCGTGGCCCACTTCAAGAGGAGCCAGGTTGAATCCAGGTCGTCTGACGCAGTTAAAGACTCGTAGATCCTCCACGCGTTCAGCGCGATGTACGCGGCAACCACATAGAGTCGCTGGGATGGTGCGTCAATCACACCGGTAGGGATCAGTGGCGCATTGTTGTTCGGGTTCGGGGGTGGTAGCCTCGAGACCTTGGAGGCGGATTTGAGTGGTGACTTGGTTGACGACCTCAACGGGCGATTCTCTCGCTGCTGTTGCCGCGCAGGGGTTTCGAAAAGCTTTTTGCTTCCCGGAATGGTTTTGGGCGTCTGAGGGAAAGCAGACGGGAGGAGGGGAGTGCCGTTCATGGCATGCTGTGGTTGCCAAAGCTATGCCGTGGCGGCTTTATAGAAAAAAATTGAAGAAAATTGAAGATGACAAGGCCCCGAGGAGCAGAAGAGAGCTTTTCCCGTACCGTAAAGGGAGCGGTGGTGGATGGCAGCGGTGGGAGAAAGAAACAAAAAGTTGAAAGTTGAAAGTTGGAGACGCGGGAAGCGCGTCGAAGCTTGGTCCAGCATGCCACTGCGACTATAGCCGCTCTTCTCTATTGTTGATGGGCTTCATCTCTCTTTCTTTCTCACTTGCACGCTTATACACACTTTCAGTCTTTGGTTTGTTTTTGCCAGCTGAATTTATTGCTTTTTGAACCACTCCACGATTCCATACGAAACGACTTCGTCTGAACTGCTGGCCATATCAGTCGAAACCCAGCATGGGCCCCAGAGTCAAGAGACGTCGTTTAACTGATCCAGAACTACGGGTAGATGATATCTGTCAGCCTGCTTCCAGCTCAGACAAGGATGGTTGGAACGGGTTCTGCGAGATCGAGTCCGAACCGGTGCGCTATGCTTATCCCGTTGAAAATCGGTGAACTAACTCCAGCAGGCCTTATTCAATGTCATGCTACGGGACTTTGGCGTCAAGGGGGTCAAGGTGCAGGAGGTCATTTCTCTCGACGAGGAAATGATGGCCTTCCTCAAGTACGATGTCTGCAACCCGTGAAAGGCCTCGCTGACCCTCGACAGTAAGCCGGTCTACGGTTTAATCTTTCTCTTTCGCTGGCGTCAGGACAACGCCGGAAAACAGGAAGCGACTTGTCCCGATGACATCTGGTTTGCAAATCAAGTCAGATCTCTGATCCCCCGTCGAGTGGGTTTCTTGCTGATCCACCCCAGACAGCCAACAATGCCTGTGCCAGTGTGGCACTGTTAAATATTGTCAACAACATCCCAGATGTTGATCTTGGTGATCATTTACAGTCCTTCAAGGACTTTACCATGCCGTTCACTCCGGCCTTGCGGGGGGATGCGATCAATAATTTCGAGTTTGTCAAACGAATACACAACTCCTTTGCAAGGTAGGCTCTCGCAATGGATATGGATCACCTAAGCTGACAGGCATAGGAAAATGGACATTCTCAGCTATGATCTTCAGCTCCAAACCGAGGCCTCCGCACGAGAGAAGAGTACCCAAGGCCGCGATGACGATGAATCAGATCCTGCATTTCATTTCATCGCCTTCATGCCCGCTATGGGCCAGCTTTGGAAGTTTGATGGCCTAGAGCGACAGCCTCGAACGCTGGGTATGTTTCTCGACTATCCGATAGAGAATGACACTAATCCGGATAGGTCCATGCACCGACGACAACTGGCTTGAGCTGGTCAGGCCTAACCTGGTTGATCGCATGGCTGCATACGAGGAGGACGAGATTGAATTTTCCATCCTGGGACTGGTCCATGACCCTCTCCCGGATCTGATCACGGAGCTGGCGGTCTCGGTGAAGGGTCTAGGGGTGCTCCACGAACGTGCCCCGACTTTGGGGTCCTCTGCAGATGCACTCGCCTGTGAAAGTGTGCTCGGCCCGGACCCCTCCCTCTCCCTCACCCGCGAACTCATTGAGGCGGCAGTGATCCCCGCCGAAATTATAGAGGCCTACCGTACCTGTCCGGACAGCGAGTTACTCGGGCATCAGCAGACCGCGCATCGCATGCAGTGTGAACTGCGAAACCGAATCCGTGAAGAACAGCAGTCCCATCGGTCGGATGATGAATATGCGGCGGGGCGTCGGCATGACTATGGGCCAGCGGTTCGGTGGTGGCTTCGGCTCTTGGCGCGGAAGCAAGAACTGCAGGCGTTGTCCCTCGTGGTGGAGTGATTGGCCGAGATACCCTATCGAGCGTCGAGCGTCGAGCGTCGAGCGTCAAGTTTGTGGTGAGCAATGTGTCTTGTCTACTCGGTCTACTCGGTCTACTGTGTCTACTGTGTCTACTCTTCGTGTGCTCTGTATGTGTATATAGGTGGATCCCATGACGTAGGGAGTGTGATCACGGTCATAGGGCTGCAGTGAACAGGATGTACTTTGTATATAAACAACCCGGCTATAATACAATCTGGGAAGTCTAGGTAGACACGTTCAAAACCTGGCCCACCGGGCAAAAAAAAACAACGTCACCGCCTCGAATGCTTCTCTTGAACTCGCCTCTTTCGACTTGTCAATTCCCTGTCCGCGAGACCCTCTCCGCCAGACCCTCTCCGCCATTTTGCCACTTCGTTCCACTTAATCGACCTCCCTTCCCCCAACATCTCCTGCGGATCTGCTCAACCATGTCAGCCACTGCAGTGCCGGAGAAGGCACCAGATGACTCCTCCAAGCTCAAGACATTCCTCTCCATTCTTCGGAAGTAGGTGTTCGTCCCGCAGGGCAGCAAAGCGCTTGAAGCAGTGCTAATCCCACCTTAGATTCGTCGGGGTGGCCGACATTGCCTCGGTTCGATTCTCGCTTCCAGCACAACTCCTGGAGCCCCGCCCCAATCTGGGTAGGTCATGCTTCAACTACGGTGCGGGGGAGACGCTGACAACGGGGGCCTAGAGTACTGGCATTACCTAGACCGACCGGAGACCTTTGCGAGGTCAGCAAAAGTGCCCATATCTGGCGGACGCTCGTGTGCTGACCCAAGAGCTACAGCATTGGAAAGTCGGATGATGAGCTAGGCCGCATGTTGGAGGTGTTACGGTTCTGGTTCACCAAGGATCTGGTATGCGTTGCGGCCCCCGTCCCTAGGCACCATGACTGACCCACGACAGAAATATATCAAGGGGAAACCCTGTAAACCATACAACTCCACCCTGGGCGAATTCTTCCGAGTAAGAGCGTCGCTCGCTCCCGTTGAGATTGTCGCTAACCAATGGCTAGTGCTCATGGGAAGTCAACGACAACATCCCCGAGGAAGCGAATCTCCCCGGAATCAACCCCTCTAACGGCTCCTCCACCGTGACGGACGGGGACGAGAACGTCAAGGTGTGCTATCTGACAGAACAGACCTCCCACCACCCGCCAGTCTCGGCCTTCTATATCGACTGCCCCGAGCGAGGCGTCTCGGCGCGCGGGTTCGATCAAATCAGCGCCAAGTTCACCGGCACCAGCATTCGCGTGAGCCCTGGTCAACACAACCTCGGAATTTTTGTCAATATCGAGAAGCGCGACAACGAGGAATACCAGTTGACCCACCCAGATGCTCATCTCGGAGGAATATTGCGAGGCGCACTCGCAATCACAGTCGCTGATACATGCTACGTCACATGCCCAAAGACGGGTATGAAGGCGATCTTACAGTATATGGAAGAAGGGTGGATTGGTCGATCACAGAATAAAATGGAGGGTGTGATCTTCCGCTATAACGCGGACAAGGACACCGTCACAAGGATTAAGGATGTGCCAGAAAAGGACGTCATTGCGCGACTCTCGGGCTCCTGGCACGGCAAGATATACTTCACGCCGGTGGGCAGCAAGGAAGCTAGCCTGCTCATCGACATCACACCCCTCTTCCCCATCACAAAGAGTTTACCACCCGCGGAAGAGCAGCTCTCCAACGAGTCACTCAAGTTCTGGTCGGAGGTGACCGATGCCATTGTTGATAAACAGTTCAGCCAGGCGACGAAACTCAAGCAGGATATTGAGGAGCGACAACGGCAACGGGCCGCAGAGCGGACCGAGAAGGGCACCGAGTGGAGCCCACGATTCTTTACGGGGGCCGTAACGCCACTGGGCAAGCCGGAACTCACCGAAGAGGGACAGAAGGTTCTTGAGGGAATTCGTGCCGACAAGTTCGCTTTGACCGAAAGTACAATGAAGGGTGCATAGTGCGATGGTTCCCCAGTACAGTTGGCGTTGGTATTGCGGGCATACAAACCCGGCGTCTCTCATAATTTGTCTCTGTGTGATTCGGCCTGATCTGCGTGCAAAGTGTTTTGCCTTGAATCTTAGATCCTGTGTGTATCACACTGAAGAATCTTGCTGTTGGAGGCGGTGCCCATGAGAAACACTTGCACAGCATTGCAACCCTAATGAATACAACAGTCAAGAGCTGGCGAGGCAGGTTCGTTGGTATATTAGATCTATAAAGCGGATCCATACTCCAAGACACAGCTCTGTATTATGGAACCAATCAACCCCAGAAATTATTTACAAGCCCTGTAAAAGCCCCAACGCCAGGCCCTTGGAGCCCAAATCATCAAGCACATCAACGCGTAATCCATCCCGCCTCAAGCAGAGGCACTGACAACCTTGAACCCTGCACTGACAGTCTTGGCAATCTCCTCGTTCTTGTGCGGGAGGAGAGACAGGGCATAGGCAACATCGTTCCATTGCCGTTCTGTCTCGCAGCGTGGCAGTCGCGCGGCGAGCTTATCGGCCAACTGGCGGGCATGTTTTTCCTGCAACTCAATTAGCAAAACACAAGGGCGGATGGGGTAAGTATAAGCATACCTTCTCAACGAAACCAATCAAGAACTTGACGATCCGACGGAGAGCCTGCTCATCCAAGTTGCGCTCTGCACTCAGCAGACTGAACATGTCAACAAAGTGGTTGTACACGGCGTTATCCTTGGTTGCCAACTCCGTGAAGAACATGCGAGCAAGATCGGCGATCTTCTTATCCTCGTCCTCCAAACATTTAGCCATTTCACCCAACTGTCCCTTAACCTTGACCTGGCCAGCCAGGATGAGGAAAGTGAGGGTCATCAGGCAGGTGCGCTTGACGGAAGCATCCTCATCGTTCAGACGGCGGTAGAGGAAATCGGTATTCTCGTCGATAAGGTGGTTAAAGCAAACGGCCATATCACCCAACGCAATGACGGCATTGCTTCGGACAATAGGATCTTCGGATCGTTCCATAATGGTAATCAGAAGCGGCAGGTTTTTCTCGCAGTACTCGGCAGACACGCACATCAGCTTGGCGATACACAAAGTCGCAGAGGCTTGGAGGTCACGGTCTGGGTAAGAATTGTTGTTGGCCAGAATTTCTATCACTAGCGGACCAAACTTGGCCAAAAGGGAGTGTTCCCCAAAGAGGAGTTCACGCTCCCGGATGTGAGCCATAGCATCTTGGAAATCATCTTCCGTCGTGCCACCAATGAGGTCGAGTTCGTCTTCCTCGGCGTTTTCTTGCTTTTGAGGCTGCTCGGCAGCTTTGTTCTTCTCTTGCTCGACCTTACGGCGCTTAAAGTCCAGCTCACAGAGCTCTAGATGCACGATTTGCTTGATGGCGATGTGGCCGACGACATACAACAGCTGTGACAGTGCGGCGGATGCTGGCTTGGGTTTGGGCTCCTGAGCTTCCGATGACGCAGTGCCAGGACGTTCTTCATCTTCCATCGGATGATCTTCTGAGGCTTCTGTTGGGGGCACTGGAGAAGGTGCGCGGTGTTGCAGGTGAGGCTGGAACACGTATATGGTCTTTCGGCGGAGAATGTCGGAACACAAAACATCTGGGTGTTTAGAGAGTGCATAGATGGCGTTGAGGGCATGTTCTGCCACTCCATACCACTCCTTGCTGGCAGTCTCGATTTCTAGGATGGCGGCCAATCGAACCAGGACGGAGTGGTCACTAGCAAGCTTAGGAATGCCAACAACCTCCTTTGACTTAGCTTGTCGGCCTGGTATCATACGCCGCAGAGCGATACATGTGTATTTGGCAAGCACAAGATCAGATCTGCCATATCCACCCAGGCCGATGCGCAGCATGGCCTCAATTTCCTTGACGACAACCTCTGGATCGGCCAGCGCGAGCATGCCGAGAACAATGATCGAGCCTCTGCGCTGGGTACGTGAGATTTCTTTCTTCTGGATGCTATAGACTTGCCACAGCTTAGCAATGACTGCCTCGGAAACATTGCCGGCCTTCATCATGGTACTCAACAATTGCTCGAGGCATGTGAGTTCTGCGGGTGTTGCTCCAAATGTCAGACTGATCATGTTACGGGCAATGTAGTTAGCAGCATCGTTGGGAGTGAAAGATCCGGGTGCGTCGAAGAAGAGGCCCTTGTAGCAGTCGATCAAGTGTGACTGAACACCCTTTCCTTCGTCGCTGTTGCCTTTGGTCCAAATCAGGCGCAGCATGCGGCGAATTCCGCTACGTGCAGTCTCTATTTTGTAGGCATCCATCATCACAAAGAAATCCATGGCCTCGATGACTTCACTCTTGTTCCGGGAGGAAAGGAGCTGCGTAACAATGCTGGACGCGGAATGCAACACTTCGATAAATCGAATTGCCTCGTTGTAATACTTCCTTGTCAATTGAAGGCGGGTCAATAATTCAGAAGTCGCGGCTTGTTCAGCCGCTTTCTGGACAGCAACGGCTTTCTCCTCGTCACTCATCCGGGGCGCTTTTGAAGGGGACTCGTCCGGCAGTTGTGTGGCATCATCCAGTAGTTCGGGATCTACCTGGGTCATATCGCCTGCTTCAAACCCGGGTGTCTCAGGGGGGCGCAGGGCGTTCAGTTCGGCGTCAACGGTATCCAGTCGTGCTGTCCATTCCTTGTATGAAAGTAACCCGCCGTGCATAACACTGAACGGATGCGTCGATACAAGCTTAGAGAGCAACTTGATTGCATTACGTCGCACGTTGCTGCTCTTATCCTCTAAGCTTCGAGCCGCCAACTCTGCTGCTGCCTGTCGCCTCTTTGGGAATTTCTGCTCCAAATCACAGATTCGCATGAATACCTGGATGGCACGGCAACGGCAATAAGGATTGATATCGAGGAACCGCTCTTCCAAAACATCGAAAAAGGCGTTGATCTGGGTTTTGTAGTTTTCACTGCGTTCTTCCTGTCGGCTGAGGTCGGAAATGAGGTTTCCACAAACTTCAATCACTGCACAGCGGAGGGTATATGCCTGGTTTTGATGTCAGCCCAGCCTATCAAAGAACAGGATAGTGTAATTCACCTCGCTGTCGAGCTGTTTTGCCAGCAGGGTCATTTGCTTGATGATCAGTCTGGGGGCAAGCTCCGATAGCTTTATTATGAACGACGAGACAGACTTGGGGCCCCTGGTATCATTTGAATTGAATTCCTTATTTCCAAGCTCCCTGGCAAAACCGTTAACAACGCGCTGATCCAAAATATCGCTGGGGTTCGTACTTTAAGATTTCATCGGAGAGCTGTGGGTAGTCATATTGTTCTGCAAGGATGTGAAGGAATTCGGCCATGGGCTCGGATAGATGTTCAAAGTAGGTTAAACTCTGGACAATGGACGTTTGCGCTCCTGAACTTGGGTTAGCTTCTCAAGCTCAGAGCCCTCGAGGGAGAACCCACCAAATGCCTGCCCGTGGTGCTTGACCGCAATGCAAAGCACCTTGAACGCATGCATACGAATAGTCATGCTCTTTACACGCTGCTCGCTCTCCAGGACTAGATATATCGTCCGGGTGAACAGACTAATGAACGTGTCACGATCGGAGGTCGTCAGGAATATGCGCCCAAGTTTCAGCTTCATCACTTTGCACATGGTCTCCATGGAAATTTGGATTTGCGGGGTCCAGTCCCACTGGCCGCTATTGGCGGACTTCTTTGACTTAGGACCTCCTCGTCGCACCGGGGGGGCTTCCGTGGACTTCTCCGCAGCTTTGACCTCAACAGCCGACAGGGCCCATTGAAGGAGGAACCCGTACATTTCCAGCAGCTGCTTGTGGTGTTGAATGGCATCCTGTTCGTCGGATTCGAGGTCTCCATGGATCACATCGGCCTCGACAGATAAACCAGAGACCACCAGGTCCAAAAGCTTGCTCAGGGACTTCGCGGGAAGACATGTCGAATATCTGCGTGAGTAAAAAGAATCGTCAGAGTCGACTCCAGCTGGGCGCCATCCGCCATGGACAAGTTGGGAAGGGACCGGGGCGCACTTTAGCAAGAATTGTAGAGAATCAAATATAGAAGCCCTGGTTAACGCTTCTGGGTTCTCCGCCACGGAATCCACGATCGGGTTCAAAACACTGTCAATCAGCGCTGGTGAGAGTTGCTCCGGGTCTGATTCACAATCCAACAATTCCGGGTCCGCATCGGGTGTGGGAACTGAAGTCGGGTCGCTCAAGTAGTACTTGAGCGACTCGTTTATGTCGAATTGAATTCGGTCCTCCATGGTGTGGAAGAAAAAGAGAAGCGGGGAGGAAGTGTTGATAAGGATCACTGATTGTTTGGCTTTTGCCCTTTTCGGTGTTATGTAATCAGCCATACCATCCATGGATCCATGGATACGGTATTGTTACTTCGATGCTCTACTAAATACCTAGGCAGTCAGTAGTCTGGATACTAGGTACTCCTCTGGTATATTCTGTACGATTTATATGCCTACCTTGGTATGCAGAAGACTTCCAAGGTTTGGTATATTACTGGGGGGAAGATGTATATCTTCATAGAAATATATAAGAACATACCTTGGTAGTTAGCTCCCTAACTTAATAACTAGCCTGTTCGATATAAACCTTGGAAGCACGGTAAAAGAGTATTACTAATGGACTTGATACGCCGTGCACCGTACTGTACCTCACATCGAAGAACCTAGCCTAACTGCAGGTGGACCAATTGTCTTGGATGCATCGTGCACTCATCCTCCCGAGGTCTGGAGTAGATCGGAGATCGTAGGGCGAAATACCAAATGCAAGTGATGCAAGAGTGGATATCTGTCACCGCCTTGTACGAGTATTGTCAATCTCATGTCACCGCGACGCCTTACCGCGTTCGGATTATTTTGGCAAATGCGATGTCATGCTTTGAACTGTTTACTTCCCACGCGACTCGGATTTCTTTGACCTTGGAACAGGTCATTCTTGGCCTTCAGTCTAACTCACACTCCAGATTGATTAGTTTGTCACCCTCACTTCTCTTCCGGTTGGGCAACCATGTCTACTCTGCACGGTGCCCAGGGTGTTTTTGAGTTGCAGCGCAGCAGCTCATTCCAAGAAGCGAAGAGACTTAAACACCAAATTGCGCCGGAGGAAGACGATGGCACACAGTCTCGCGGGGATACCCCTCAAGAAAGCGACTACGACGAGGAAGAGGTGGACGAATCGGTCCGAGAGGACATGGTAAAGCTGGAGGACACATTCCCTGGGATCTCAGATCGGTTCCGTCTGGTAAACAGGATTGGCGAAGGTACATCCCACTTGCACCAGCGGTATTGCCCGGAAAACTTTGGCTGACATGGCATAGGGACTTTTTCCACAGTCTATAAGGCGGAGGATCTCCACTACGACGAATACAAGAACGACTGGGATATTTTCTCGCGAGCGCAGCAAGACAACTACGCCAGCCCTCCTTCTAAACGGAGGCGAGTCGAGGGCGCATCGGTAGATCGCAAGAAACCCCGATTTGTCGCATTGAAGAAGATCTACGTCACTAGTAGCCCATTACGAATTCAGAACGAGTTGGAACTGTTGCACGATCTTCGGGGATGCGGCTCTGTCTGCCCGCTCATCACAGCCTTCCGACACCAAGATCAAGTGGTGGCTGTTTTGCCCTATTTCCCACATACAGATTTTCGCATTCAGTACCGCACGTTCATGGTTGCAGACATGCGCCATTACCTACGATCCCTGATCACCGCATTGAATTCTGTCCATGGGCATGAGATTCTCCACCGCGATATCAAGCCAACGTAAGCTCATCGTGATTTGATACTCCAGGGTTTGAGGCTCTACTGACATTCTTCAAGCAATTTCCTCTACAACCCAGATCTGAAAGAAGGCGTCTTGGTTGACTTCGGACTCGCTGAGGTGCGTATTCCGACCCCCACCCCCAACCGATTACTCTTTACTGACTCTCAATATAGCGCCAAGGCTCTGAATACACGAGCCCATGTCTTTGTACCCACCAGAGCTATGTTCGCCGGAGTCGGATCCTTTCTAGCTATTACTCCAAAAATCCTCCAGCTTCCGGAGTGTCAGCCGGATACCCCAAAAACGATTCACGACCCTCAAGGCGGGCAAATCGTGCAGGAACTCGAGGCTTCCGAGCCCCAGAAGTTCTTCTGAAATGTACTTCTCAAACAACAAAAATCGACATGTGGTCAGTAGGTGTCATCCTGCTCACCTTGCTTGGCCGTCGGTTCCCTTTCTTCAACTCCGCAGACGACATTGACGCCATGATTGAGATGTCCAGCATCTTTGGCACTCGGCGCATGAAGACTGCTGCAGCCATGCATGGCCAGATCTTCGAAACAAACATTCCAACAATTGGAGAAAAGGGCTATAGCTGGGAAAAACTGGTAAAATGGTCCAGCTGCGTGGAAGATCTCACGGAAAGCGAACAGCAAGCAACACGTCTCTTGGCTGGACTCATGGAATTAGACCCATCTAAACGGCTCAGTGCCGCGGATGCCCTCCAGCATGAGTTCTTCACAGATCCCATTCACCACGATGTCGAGTGGGGTGGAAATCCAGAAGAAAGCGCTGATTCAGCTGAGGAGGAAGAGGAAGATGAGGCCGATGAAGTTGCCATGCTATGAGAGCCCCTAAAAAACTTTGCACGACATATGATATTGATTTATGCCTAATTCATTTATGACAATTATCCATGCCCTATGTGCCGCTCACGAGTAAGTTATATAGAACCAGCTCCCGCAAATGCATGGTCGATCAAAAACGGATACTCTGAAGAGGCTAATTCGCCTCTCCGAAGTCATAGTGGCCGGTCTCCGCGGCATGCTTGGTGGCACCCCGCTCTCCGGTAAAGGTGCCGCCGCAGGTATTGCAGCGGACAGTAAACCCAGAAGTATCAGTGTAATAGTGCTTGTTTTGCAGCACTCGACACAACTCTTTGGCCTTTTCCAACACGATTGGATCAACTGCCTCGAAGATCTTAGTATCCTCGTGCGCCAAAGGATTGGCACGGGTATAGGGTGGACTGGAGGGCGACAACGCAAGAACATCATAGTGAATTCCCGAATAAACCACAATGCAACGCGTAGGCGCACCCTCGTTAAATTGGAACAAATTCAGAGTTTGTACGTCGATGGAGCAGATCTCGATGTTAAAATACTCGCTCAGGATTTTGAGTTCGATGGCACCACCCCAAGAGTCTTCATTTTGGATCCAGGTACAATACTCATCTGGCTTCTTCCCCAAAATAGCCGCTGAGTACTCTTCCGGATTGGATTGGATGGCGCCGGCGATGATCGATCTGAGTTCAACCATTGTATCCATGTCACCCATCACCGCAGCGCCTACCGCTCGGAAGAGACATGAATTGTCGTCGGGCATGACGCGAAGGACGAATGTTCCTGCGTGTTCCGGGGAGGCTATCTCGGGTGGATCGTCCGCGGAGCTCTCAGGCATCTGGGGCCTGGAAGCTTGTGCTGGGGCTGGGCGGGTACTTGTGGCGGGCTGTGCTGGCGCATCATCGTTGCCCGGCCGAGCAGTACCCTCCTTCTGTGCAACGATGAGTGACTCGCCGTTGAGCTTGATACCGGTCTCGCCGAGCTTTTGGCTCGATGGATAGTCGTCTAGGTCGAGCGGCTTGAGGGGGTAGCCGTATTTCACATCGAAGGTTACCAGATCAGTTTTCTCCGCAATTTGATCTCTGAGCTCTTTGATGGTTGAAGATTCATCCAAGGTGATTGTGGACTGACCCGAAGGTCCGCGGACTCGAATTCGCATCTTGAAGTGTGATATATGGGGGGAAGGGGAGGCGAAAGGCCAAGGTTCCGATAAGTGGGCGATATGACGATGCCGTGTGGGGTAAGTCGGAATGCAGCACGACGTAGATGGAAGTGCAGAGTCCCTCTGAGGGTATTGTCGAGCGAACTGTTGGAAAGCGACGTGTAGAATCTATTCAGAGAGGTATGCTCTAGTTATTCAGGCTCCAGTGTGTGTACGATCTTGAATATCTGCAAACAGACTGGAGCTTCAGATGTTGACTGTGATACCTCAATGAAGCCACATAAGACTCCATCTGAGACCGACTGCATGTCTTGAGGCAGAGAAGAGGCAGTCAGTCCCAGCGAAGAGAAGGCATGTCCTGTTCAAATAGCGAAGAGACGCCGAAAGTGGAAGCTGCCGTCACAATGTTACGATACGATACATTGCATGACTAAGCATTGACGCGCTCAAACATTCTTCGGCTCTGGATTCCCTACGACACTCTGGTTTGCTTCATCTGGTCCCAATCAATCCTTTGTCGCTTTGGGGAAATTCGCTTTTTAGAATGGAGTCCGAGCAGGGCTCACAGCCCCCGCGTGAGGAGCCCGTCAACTCCATCGAGCATGACGGGTCAATCAGCCCCGAGTTATGGAAAATAATGATGAGCGTGGTCATGGCCATTTATGACTATCGCGAAGAAGAGTGAGCTATAGACCCGATCTCAACATTATCTAGGGTCCATTGGTTAACGGTAGATTACGCAGTGGCCACGACCCATCACGATTGTTTCATCGCAGTGTCAACAAGCGCTACGTCCCCGACTACTATGAAATCATCAAGGAGCCGATGGCGCTGAGCATTCTGAAGGCGCGCATCAACAAGAGAGAATACAAGCATTTCTCTGAATTTGTGCGCGATTGCGCGCTGGTAAGGGATTGCGCCCCTTCGCGAATGAGCATACGATTGACGATTTAGATTCCGCATAATGCGCAAACATACAACCGGCCACGATCGCAAGCCTACGAAGATGCGCTCGTCGTCAGGGTAGGTCCTAGCCCCAATCAATGCGCTTGACTTCGTTGGATTCAAACTCACAATCTGCAGGACGTTTTCGTCGCCGAGTTCAGGAAGTTGGCCGCGCAGGGTGCGATCCCCGCGGAGGAAGCACAGCTCCCCGACCTAGGGGAAATTCCCGAGGCCGATCCTTTGCCCGATGATGACGAGGAAGAGGAGGAGGAAGAAGAGGACGAAGATGACGACTCCGAGGATGAGGGTCGGCGCAGGAAGAAGCCTGGACCCAAGCCCGGTTTCAAGCGAGGAATGGCCCCAAAGAACGAACCTGATCTGCGCAGGAAACGTGGCCGCCCTCCCCGCGTGGACACGCCTATGGAAACACGCATCAAAACCATTCTCAAAGGGATCCGCAAGTTCAAGGGTGCCGGTGGCCACTTGAAGATCACCCACTTTGAACGACTCCCCGACAAGGCGACTTACCCCGACTATTACATGGAGATCAAGGAACCCATCGCGATCGACATTATCAAACGCAAGTCCAAGCGCAAGAAGTACACCTCCGTCGACCATTTCATGCGCGATCTCGACCTGATGTTTGAAAACGCAAAGACTTACAACCAGTCCGATAGCCAAATCTTCAAGGACGCCGTTGACCTGCAAACCGAGTCACGAAAACTGGCTGATGCGGAGAAGAAGAGGCCTGACAGTGATTTCCTGATGGAAGACGGGCGTTTCCCACTTCCCGACGGTATCCTCCATCGGGGAGAGCTATGGAAGGTCGGCGACTGGGTCCACATCCAGAACCAAAACGATGTGACCAAACCAATTGTTGCCCAGATCTACCGGACCTGGCAGGACTCGGATGGCGAGAAGTGGATCAACGCATGCTGGTACTACCGACCTGAACAAACGGTACACCACTTCGAAAAGCACTTCTATCCTAACGAAGTTGTGAAGACCGGCCAATACCGCGATCATCGGATTGATGAAATCGTGGATCGTTGCTTCGTCATGTTCTTCACTCGCTACAGCAGAGGTCGTCCCAGAGACCTGGGGCGTGACAAAGAGATCTATGTGTGCGAGGCACGATATAACGAGGAGAAACACAAACTAAACAAGATCAAGACGTGGGCCAGCTGCTTACCAGATGAAGTGCGAGAGAAGGACTACGAAATGGACTTGTTTGATGTGCCCCGCAAGATCAAAAAGATCCCAACTCCGATCAAGGATCTTCTCAAAGAAGACTCCAAGGAAACCGATGATCTCCCCCAGCCAACCTGGGGAGCCGACAATGCACCCCCAGTCGTTGGCGCCGTTCACCGCCGCCCACGAGATGAGAATGTAAGTTTCCGCTCACCAGTCAAACTGTTCCAGGCTGACAATCTTCGAGGAATCTCCACCACCCGAACCCACCCCATCTCCACCCCCTCCTTCTTTACCCCAGTCTGTAGTACCCCGTCAGTCAATGGGGCAGACACTGCCTATCACAGCCATGAGCCCTGGCACAGCTGCCCTCCAGGCGCGATCCCCCGCGGCCCCAATTGCCATTCAAACATCCCCTGCCCCATCTTCACCGGCCTTCCAACCCCAAATGACCCAAGCTCAGCTGTATCAAGCGTCTCTGCAGCGGCGTGCAAGCAACTTTGCCACGCCACAGACACCAGGTGCCTACCAGCCTTCGCCGGCACAGCAAACCCCTTATAATGGCTACTCAAGTGCACGTGTACAAGCGCCGCCTGCGGCATACAATCCCAACGCTCCACGCCCAATCGAAGTCTTTCATCTGAGCGATGCTGCCAACGCTACAATCTCGGAAGATATTCGCCGCAACTTCCATTGCGATGATCAAGGTCGTTTGCTGTTCTTCTCCACTCCGCCAGTGGACTACATCCCCTCTGCGCCACAAAAGCTTGGCCATTCCCTCAAGTACCTTGCTGCTAAAGAGAGTCATCAAGTGAAGGTGCAAGAGCGCAAGCGCAAGCTCGCGGAAGAGAAACAAGGGCGTGACGATGATGCAAAGCGTCGTCGCGCCGATCTAGAGACGGTTCTTGCGGAACGTGTCGAAGGGCTCACCGGCAAGGCTTTTGAGACCCTTGTCAGCAAGGTTGTTGCTGGTACCGCAGAATTAACAGACTCTCTGAGCAGAGGCCGACACGATGGGGCCATCGATGTTAATGTCATGCGTCAGCGTGGTCTCTTGGCCGATCGTGCCAAGGAACAGACTCAGCAGATCCAGGATCAATCAAGGACCGAGGGTTTGGTCAATCTGAAAGGTACTGCGGTGTACTTGGATGAGGTTTAGGCAATGACATAGCATGGGTTCACGGTTCCAGGCGGCGCAGTTCTTCCGGGCGTCTTTTAGCAATTGTACCTAGCTAGGTATGACTAGGTAAACTATTTGTAGCCTATTCAATGAAATGGCGATGTATTCTACTTATGAGAACATGTTTATTTCCACATCTCCGGTTTGTACAGGCCGAGCTTTCATTTCCAGCAAAGACAAAGCCTCGAAAACACCAAATTGAGGTCGTGAGTTCATAAACAGAAGAGCAGATAGCAGATCAAAGAGTGAAAACATTTTTCAACTCAACATACAGAGTAAACACAAGGCAGAGGGATTAATACAGTAGATGGATAGAAGACAGTTCAGGCCAGAACATGTGAACTGGTTGAGATCGATGAAAAGCAATGCCAGTCTATGGGCGAAGGGTGTTTTGGTTTATGTCGCCTGTGTGTGCTTTTTTTTTGGTTGATTTTTGGTTTTTTGAGTTCTGAGGTGTGTGTTTGTCTTGATCTTTAGAGATCTCACTTTTTGGATTTATGTGCCCAATTGTACTCCAAGTGTCCTTTTCGCCGGTGTTTTGGTTGTTTTGGAGGGGTGAGTATGAACATGTCCCAAACATGGACAGATCGAAGGGCGTGTCGTCATGAAAAGGGAGGGCTAGGAGTCGGTGGTTTCTTTGTTCTCGTTCCACGAGGTGTTGTTTCGCTTGTTGCCCACTTCTTCTTCCATATCAAATACGAGATCACTTGGATCTTCCTCTTCTTCAATCTTACTAGTGTTGACAGGGGAAGAGATTATTCGGTCAAGACGACCGCTTGGGCCCGCAGATGTCTGGCGAGCCGAGCCGGGATGAAGGGACATACCCCCGAGTTGCTCGGAGATCATAGACATGGATGACTGGCGTCCAGGGCTCGAAAGGAATGATCCGCCATCGTGAGATGCTCTGCTGCTACCAATGGGACCCAGGCTAGGGCTGGTGATGGGGTTCAATGATGATTCGCGGAGAGGGGAGCCGATGTGGAATGAAGAAGAGCCGTGAGACTCCTCTTCTTTACGCTGACGCTGCTTGGCAAACAGAGCACCAAATCGAGACGGGCTAGACGCCAAAGGAGAGCCAGTCTTCGAGAAACTGGTACTGGTCATACCGAGCCCACTAATGTCACGGTGACTGGAGCTCAGGTCGTGATCAGTCCGGGACAGTCGGCGCAGCTTTTCCTGCGGAGTCAGAACATCATCGTGCAGATTGACCGGTAGATAGTCCTCCTCCATGGGAAAGTTCTCATCCCAATCCTCCAGTGCTGTGGGGCGTGGAACACTAGCGGAAAGCATGCGTGATTTGACGGGGCGGGACGAGTGCATGAATCGGGTACCAATGGTGTCTTCGAGGGCGGGGGGAGACGATCCAATGTTTGACCCAGGCCTCCGCAGGCTCGTACTGTATCCAATGTCGCGCAAGTTGCGGAAGACGTCAGCTTGTCCGGGTCTCTGGGCTGGAGGCGATTCCAATCCAAACTGCGACGGCATCGAGGCAGCCACCGGACCATAACGGGCAGCGTGTGAGATTCCCTGGCTGTCGAAGGAGGCCGGGAGCCCCGCATCAAGCGCGGTCAGGTGGTTGTTATTGGGCGACATGGGAAATCTCGAGTCTTCGGCGGGAGAGCCGTACTTGGAGCCGGCATCGGAGGCGAGGCCCGTGTCAATTGTCGGGATCCCATCGAAGGATGGCTGTTGCTGACCGCTCAGGGATCCATACTCCTCCTGCGGGGGCATCTGCGGGGCATATCGAGGCTGCTCGTGGCCGTTCATGCGCTGCTGCGAAAGCACCGAGTTGGTTAAAGCGGAGTCCTGGTTGACATAGGCTTGTGGGTTCACTCGGCCGCCCAGATTGAGGTGGCCGCTTCCCATTCCCATACCCCCGGTGGGTCGGTTGACCCTTCGTCCATCTGGTAGAATATGCGCCAGTGCGCATTTGGCGCCAAACTTGCAGTTTCCCTAAAGACATTCCTCCGTTAACTTCCGACTGCCTCGGCGATTCCGGACTGAAGAAAGAAATTTCGGAGTCCTTAACGCTCATACCTTGGTGAAATATTTGCATGGGGCGTACTCAATTCCTGCGTCGGTGGAGTGTAAGAAAGGACAGGCGGGGCCTGCCTGACAGGCGCCCTGGCGGAAGAACTTGCAAGGAACATGTTTGGTGTCTGCCAAAATTGAGCAGAAACGATTAGCGAGTTGTGTCCCCTCATATCCGAGGACCAAGGTGGAGAGACTCACTCTTATTGCTCTGGTTCGGAGGACTGCGGGCAACGTCGAGTCCAGACGGAGTTCGAGAGTGACCGTTCTGGGCCGCAGCCCCGGAGGAAACAGGTACAGGCGCACGACCTCTCATCTCTAGGGTGGTATGTCGAGATGACGGGGGGAAGGAGAACACCTAGTGAGAGGGGTTGGAGATTTGGAGAGGGGAAGAGATAGGCTCGGCGGGCGGTGGGTTCAAGTCGAACTACATCTCACGACTCCAAGTCTTTGCTTTTCGAATCGATTACTCCGTTGGATTTTGTGAACAATCGCGGAGAAGAAGTTTGGCAAGGTTTGCTACGAATGCATTGGAATCATTAATATTATATCTTCGGGAAAGTCCTCATGACGCTGATTTGCCTCCGCTGCCTTCATTCCATGCCTCTTGCATACCATCAAATCAAGTGTCAAGTATCAAGTGCTCATCAAGCGCTTTTTGCGACACTGTCATGCACATTTTCGTACACACGGTCCTGACGCCTCTGTCTTCTCCGGGCGTCAAATGATGTGGAGGTGGGGAAGCGGAAAGATCACCACGGCCTCGATGGTCTCTTATTGGAGCACACCTTCCAGCCCCAGAGATTCCTGCTTCGTCAGAATCCACTGTATATACAACCGAAAATCGTTGATCGAGTGTCAACTTACCCACAGTTCCGCAGCGGTCACACCCTCCGGGAGAACCTCAGAACACTGTCCCCACAACTCCCGACAAATGCGCCGACGCACGCTGACATGTCGCTGCCACCGTTTGCATTCCGCTTCAAGCTTTTGCCTTTCGGTCGGCGAGAGTGGAACAGAGTCGTCCTCATGGTGGCGTGCCAAGCGTGTTTGGATCGCTGATCGCTCGTTCTCCAAGCGGCTGATATCGTGGCGAAGGTCGGAAATTCGAGGTGTTGCAGCCAGGGTCGCTAAGGCTGCTCGGGCCCTTTTCTCGTCCGCTTTTAAGGTTGGAAGCTGACTCTCTAGATTGTCAATTTCAAGCTTGAGCGCCGCCGCCGCCTCGGGAATGAGGGTATCCGAGGCGTCTTGGAGGGCGTGGTAAACGGTCTGTTTCCCTATGTCGTAACGGAATGAAAAGAAGTTTGGTAGTCGTAGACATGTTTCACTTACCGGATACTCGTCCTTCGATCTCCTTGTCGTCGTGCAAGCTCCGAAGGATCTTGGCGGCTTGGGCTGCATGATATATCTCAGCCAGGCGAGCGGGACTCCCACAGTCAGGACCTACTTTTGGTAACTTTGTTATGAAGATTGGCAGAAACATCGATGGCCTGATTCACTCGTTAGCACGTGCAGTCTCCGGCGCTTCAGGGCCAGGCGAGGCACATGCCGAATAGGGACGACTGCAAGGTGTCAAGGGTGAGATAGCTCTAGAAACACTGGTACGCGTACTTCTGTTCGCCTGCGGCATGTAAGACATTTAGCATCCAAGCTCTTGCCAGGTACTCACGAAGATAGTCCATGATCATGGAAGCGTCTTTAAGCCGTTAGTGGGGTAGCAGAACTGCAATATGGGGGACTCGAACCGTCCTCATCCGACGCATCATTATTTTTACGAGCCATGACGAAGCCGAGAAAGAAAGAGGGAGACAGAAGATAGAAGAGAAAAAAGGGTTGGCTTCGAGATGAATACCAGACTATGGACCTCACGTGTACGGAGACACTGATTGCCTAATATCTAAGTGCCGCGAAATTCCAGAAAGCCGAACAGCCATATGTTCAACAACAGAAAAGTTGCCAAGTCCTGGGAAAAAATGCATTGAAATAAAAAACCTCGTTGAGACCATTCGTTTCGTCCCCCGGACAACGAACGCCTTTGAACCCCGGGATGATAGAGGGAAAATGCACATGGAATAAAGGACGTAGAACAGAATCGGCTGGTATTAGATAGGGAAAAAAAGCCCGGGGTATCACATCACAATCTGCGAGGGTTAGCTCATGGCAGAGACCAGAGGGAGCTCGGCACTTACGCAATCATTGTCATTCTTCGCACTAGGGACACCCATCTCTTCGAAGGTCTTGGGCCCCTTGCCGGGCAGTTGGCCCCCCTTGGCCGGCTTAGTCGCGGGCTTTTGCTGCGGTGGTGCAGATGAGCTTGGTGGGACAGATGAACTCGGCGAGGCCACCGAGGGAGCAGGCTGAGGTGTGGAAGCCCCAGAGCCTCGAGGCGGTTGCTGACGAGATTCGGTGCGAGGGGGATATGAGGGGGAGCCCGACGGGTGAGGAGATGCCGGCTGTCGGGGCGAAGCCAGCCCATTAGGGCCCCCCACGGGGGTTCTCATGGGCTTCCGATCCGGGGGGGCCGAATCCAGTCGAGGCGGTGGACGCCGCCCACCCGGAGGCGGCATTGGTGCAGAGTACCCGATATCGAGGCGCGGGGTTCCACTTGGGCTGATCATACTACCGGCCTGTGGGCTGCCGGGCCCAGCAGGAGCACTGAGCGGTGTACCAGGTCCCGGTTGACGATAATTCATGGGACCGGGACCGGGACCGCCGGAGCCACCAGGACCCCCCGGCCCATACGACGGGGTACGAGATCCGGGGGCCGAGGGAGACGGGCCACCGTATCCCGGGGCCACGTTTTGTCGAAGGTTAGGGTTGACCCCGAAAGCAGAGCTGGGCCGAGGGTCGGACAATTGATAGCCCTGTTGGGGCCGGGGCCGAGTAGAATGAGGGCGATCAGGGTAAGGAGCGGCAGTGGGCGGGCCATCTGAGAGGGTCATTCTCGACGGATCTGGCATTTGAATGTTCTCTGGGGCGGTTTCCAGGGAGTTTCCTCGCTGATGCGCAGTATATCGAGTGGACTTGATGCGTGAGATTGCCACCTTTTCGTGGTCCTTTCGAGACAAGGTCTTGGATCGGGATATACTCTCAATACGACCTGATGCGTCTTTGTTGCCGCTCGCGGCTGCCTTAGCATACCACGAGCGAGCTTCCTTGATATCGGATTGTACAAATATACCAACCTCGTAAAAGTAACCGAGGGCGAATTCGGCGGTGGGCAGACCGCTCTGAGCCGCGCGCTGCGCATAAGTAAAGGCTAGTTCGTCGTTTTTCTCAAAGACACCTTCATGTCCACACAAGAACCATTTGCTGATGGCCATCTCGGCTTCGGGTTCGCCTTGGCGCGCTGCCAGTGCGTTGTAGTGCAACGATAGCGCAGGGTTGAAATCACAACTCAGCTGGCAGAGCTCATACGCGGCACCCATCTTCACCTGGGCTTTGGCGAACCCGTGATAGGCGGCCTTTTCGATATTGACACGGGCCAGATCGAGATCCATGGCCAAAAAGGTTTCCGGCACGCTCACTTGGGGAAGCTCCCGCGCTAGAAGCATACCGTATACCTATTTCCTATTAGGGTCGATTTCCGAAGAATGTATTGTCCTGCACCCACATATGCACCCTGGGGTGCGTTTTGATCGCATGATTGCGCCGCCAATCGAATGTATTCCAAGCCAGTGTTGAAATCCTGGCGCTGGCCATGTTGGCCCAAAAGAATCATCATTCCCAGGCGCTGGAGGGGAAAAATAGCCGTCAGTATCTCACATTCTTGGCACGCATCTCAGTTCCACTCACATAGTAGGAGGCCGAGTCCGCTCGTGACACACCCCGTTGGTAATGTTTGATCGCTTTCTCTGGCTCTCCCGAGCTCTCGAACTGCATTCCGATCCGGTATTCCGCACGCGCATACCCCTTCTCCGCTGCTCGCGAATACGATCGGAATGCCTCCTTGCGATCTATGGGGCAGCCAAACTTGCCGAACTCCAGCCACATGCCCTTGATGAATTCCGCCTTGGGGTGGCGCTGTTCGGCCAGGAAGCCGACGATGTTCATGGCATCGACTCGCAGCTGCCGTTCGACCTGCGGGGTTTGCGGGCGCGGGGGTTGCGTCACACTCAGGCGGGCTTCGTTCTGCGCGGCGACTTCCACAAAGGCGAGCGCATCCAGCGCCCACGCCAGCTGCATCTCAGGATCGGTTGTCGATAGGACCGCCATCCGCGCGCGTTCCAAACTGGCCTCCCGCTGTTCGTCGGTGGGCGGGACGTTCGGCGGCGGGTTTCGGAGCACGGGGAACGGGGAGAAGTTGGGGTGATCCATGCTGTCGTAGGTCGCGGATTGCGCGTAAGAGCTTGGGTCCTGGACCTGGTTGTGTTGGGGGGGACCTTGGGCAGCGGACGAGGTGCGCTCGGGGTAGGCGCGTTGATACTGCGCGGGGGGTTGACGGCGGGGATCATGAGCGCGATGTTCCATCTGAGCGATATTATCCTGCATGTTCTCAGGAACATCCGGCATCACTCTACCAGGATGAATCAGTACTCGTAATTTCGGCATGATGGAGGTGTACAAAGTTACCTTTGAGGGGAGGGAGATATGACCTCCGGCATGTAGAAGTCATCCTGACCCCCTGGATACCATGTCGCGCCCACCCGTGGCTGCCCTCGGCCCTGTGGCGGTCTGTTCATTGTGGGAAAATGGGGGAGAGGAGAAGAGGGGGGGAGTTGAGAGAATCTACCCAGGAGGGGTGTGTTTAAATGAAAAAAGAGTTGCCAAGAGAGTCCACCTCCATTGGTTTATGACGAGCGTAATATTAATAGTGTCTGCTCAGCAAATGTGAGACAAGGTCATTGTCCAATACTCTTCAAGGCAGATACATATTCCCTTTTCTCTCTCTCCACACAACTGGAGTACAGGACCCGCCTTTCTCCCCTTTCTCACCATGGAGCATAATTTCCACCACCCGTTTACCCCGTACGACATCCAATTGCAGTTTATGCAGGCCTTGTACACTTGCCTGGAAGAGAGCAAGATCGCCGTCTTTGAATCCCCGACGGGTAAGCTTTGCACTTGGCGGATGAGGATGCAATCTAATCGGATCCAGGGACCGTAAGTGGTGACCACCCGAGTGAATCCAGCTGGTGACGAGCCTCGTGTAGGGAAAATCATTGAGCTTGATCTGTGGCTCGTTGACCTGGTTGCGAGACCACAAGCGAAAAGCATTTCAGGAATCCGTCGATGCACCAGGTATGGTCAACAAGCTGAACACCAGGACCTGGACCTGACATCACAGGCGACGAGGATGAGCCCGAGTGGATGGTGGAGTTCGCCAGAAAGGAGTCGCGGCGCGCCTTGACCGAGAAGAGACAGGCGTTTGAAGCGCGACTGGCCAAGATCCGTCTAGAAGAAGAGCGTTTAAAACAGGCCCAGGACAGTGTCAATCGACCGCGGAAGAAGCAGGTACGCATTCTGTTCGCAACCTATTGAGCTTGCCAAGAGCCTGGAGTTGACTCGACGATAGCGCCTAGAGGAGCCATCAGAAGCTGCAGTCGACGAGGACCAGTTTGTCCTTGATGACTATGACAGTGATCTTGAGACCCCAAAGCCCAAAGATGTCAAGGGTTCGGATGAGTTCTCTGCCAGCACTCGAGCCCTGCTAGAGCGCTTCCAAGGGCAATTTTCCTCACAGACCAAAGAGGAAGAAGAAGAACCAGAGGAGGTCAAGATCTTCTTTTGCTCCAGAACTCATTCTCAACTGAGTCAATTCGCCGGCGAATTGCGACGGGTGGCCTTTCCGTCGAGTATCCCCGAGCTTGAACCGGGGAGTACCAGCCTCTCTGCACTTGAAGAGCGGGTCAAACACCTCTCGCTGGGTTCCCGAAAGAACCTGTGCATCAACCCCCAAGTTCGAGCTTTAGAAAACACTACAGCGATCAATGAAAAGTGCTTGGACCTACAGCAAGCCAGTGTGGCGGCCGACAAAAAATGCAAATTCATTCCATCCAAAGACGATGAGGCCTTGGCGCTCGAATTCAGAGACCACACGCTGGCTACAGTCAAGGATATCGAAGACATTGGCGAGGTGGGCAAAAAGCTCGGCATTTGTCCCTACTATGCGTCGCGCCCTGTCATTAAATCCAGCGAGGTGAGTCCACAGGGCAACCTCCGAGCACATCTAACCGGGCCTAGATCGTGACACTTCCCTATCCTCTCCTATTGCAACGGTCGGCCCGAGAGGCTCTGAACTTATCTGTCAAAGGCCATGTCGTGATAATTGACGAGGCCCACAACCTCATGGATGCCATCGCCGGGATTCATTCAGTGGCAGTGTCGTTGAGTCAACTACAAACCGCCATTGGGCAACTGACCACGTATGCTCGCAAATTCAAGAACCGCCTGAAAGGAAAAAATCGAAATTATGTTGCACAGGTCATTCGCTTGGTAAGCTCTATCGCGGAACATTTAAAGACAATATCCCAGCGAAAAGGGGCACTTGAAGGCTCGTTGCAGACGTCCGACCTAATGTCTGGCAAAGGTGTGGATCAGATTAATCCTTATAAGCTCTCTCGGTATCTGCAAGAGAGCAAACTCGCCCGGAAGGTCGACGGTTATCTCGAATCCTCTGAACAACCACAGGCTAGTCGGTCCAAGGAAAGAGCAACTATGCCCGTTTTGTTTCACATACAGAGCTTTCTTCTCCCTTTGATGAATCCTTCGGAGGAGGGACGACTTTTTTTCCAAAAGAGCCAGGACGATATCATGTTGAAATACGTGCTATTGGATCCCACGAATCACTTCCGGGAGATTGCGGAGGACGCCCGCGCCGTTATCCTGGCCGGTGGTACTATGTCGCCTGTAAGTATCAAATCCTCTGGTCAGCACTACAAAGCTCAACCCCTCTCTAGATGTCGGACTATGTGGACCATCTTTTCTCCTACTTGCCTGCGGAGCGACTGGGCACATTCAGTTATGGACATGTGATACCCAAGACGAACTTGGTCGCACAGTCCTTGATCCAGGGGCTCATGGGTAATGAATTTGACTTTACTTACGAGGCACGAAATTCGGAGAAGATGGTAAGCACCCCCTTGGCATTCCCAAGACAAGTTATTTGACCATGGCAGATCACCGACCTTGGACGAACGATGGCAACCCTTTGTCAAGTCATACCGGATGGTGTCGTTGCATTTTTCCCTAGCTATGACTATCTGAGCCATGTGCTGAGTGTTTGGAAGAAGCCTATCCCCAATGGTAACGGACAAAGTACTTTCGACTTGCTAGCACGCAAGAAAAAGATCCTATACGATTCCCGTGAGGCAGTAACAACGACAGATGCCTTACTTCAGGAATACACCGAAGCCGTCGACTCGGGCTCTGGTGCCTTACTTCTCTCCATCGTGGGCGGAAAATTGTCGGAGGGAATCAATTTTTCCGATCAGCTTGGTCGTGGCGTGTTTATCATCGGCCTGCCATTCCCCAATATTCGCAGTCCCATCTGGCAGGCCAAGATCCAATATCTTGAGGAGAGGACGTATAGGCAAGTGGTTGGTTCTGAGACAGAAAGAAAAGCAGCCGGCAAGGCGGCCGGTAGGGACTTCTACGAAAATTCGTGCATGAGAGCTGTCAACCAATGTATTGGACGTGCCATCAGACATGCCAATGACTATGCTGCAATCATCATGATCGATCGCCGGTATGAATCACCCCGGATCCAAGGGAAATTGCCAGGGTGGATTCGAGGAAGTTTAGTCCCAGCACCGCCCGCGCGAGCGGCTCAAATGACTGTGCAAAGACTCTCCAAGTTCTTTACTGACAAGAACTCAGAGTCTGTCCTATAGAACGTTGTAGCTATGGATAGTCCAGCCAACAGAGATCCTACAACATTCAACCATGCCTCATGATAGCACAATCTGATGCTGTGACACCCACAGCCCTAAGTAGATTTAGAGCGCAGCCCCGGGCAGTAACCATGAGATATGACGTAGGTATTAAGTCACATGATCTGGTTACTCATCAGAGCGGTGAGGTAGCCCTAAGCCTAAGTAGGGCAGAACGATCTGAGGCGGTGTATAAGCGAATAAGTGCGGCCGCACACAGGTATTGCCGCCAAAGTGGATTGATTCCAGAACGACTATCCCCTTCAACGCCAAATCTCTACGGTCTTGTCGATAAACCGCCGACAAGATGCCTACCCGTTTCTCCAAGACCCGGAAGCAGTGAGTCGACCTCCTTTCCTGTGTTCGCCTGCATCGAAAATCTTTTGTCGCCGATCGCGATCGAGAAAAAAACGACCTCAACAGCCGTCGCAACCCTGCAACACATCACTAACCTTTTTTCTTCTCTGTATAGCCGCGGCAATGTGTCCGCCGGTTACGGTCGTGTCGGCAAGCACCGCAAGTCCCCCGGTGGTCGCGGTATGGCCGGTGGTCAACACCACCACCGTACCAACATTGACAAGTACCACCCCGGTTACTTCGGTAAGGTCGGTATGCGTTACTTCCACAAGACCAACCAGCAATTTTGGAAGCCCACTGTCAACGTCGACAAGGTACGTGATATCCTACGATTCGATTCGATCTGAGAAGGACGGAGATGGATTTTTTTTTTCTTGTTGTGGGGATTGGCCCGGATTACGAACAACGCAAATGGCGGAAACACACGCACAAGAGGAGGGAGGCCACTGAGACGACAATATCTGAATTGGGGAATTTTTTGCGCGCAAGCAACATTCGCTGATCCGGTCTCTTTTTCACAGCTCTGGTCCCTTGTCCCCGCCGAGCAGCGTGATGCCTACCTGAGCGGCCAGAAGACCGATGTCGCCCCCGTCATCGACCTCCTGCCCCTCGGCTACTCCAAGGTCCTCGGAAAGGGCCGTCTCCCCCAGATCCCCGTCGTCGTCCGTGCCCGCTACGTCAGCCGTGACGCCGAGGAGAAGATCAAGGCTGCCGGTGGTGTTGTTGAGCTCGTCGCATAAGCGTTTCGCGTCGATGTTTCTGAAGAAGGCGGGTGAATAGGGGCAATCTGCAGCCCAGCTGTGTTCTGGCTTGTTCTGTCGGCTGAAGCTAGGAGGACGATCGGAACTCAAATGAGATATGCCCGCACCGAAATCAAAGGTCGAGCGATCGAAAATAAAAAGGGTTTTTTTTGTATGCAATCAGCATAGCATATGGCCTCCGAATGCCCTTACGATTTCATCATTGTTTTACAAATACCATAAGGAGGAATTTTTTCAAAATGTGATGGTGCATTTTCCCTAGGCCGTTGAAGGTCTTCAGATGACGCTGCTGGGATCATGCGGTCAACTCTACAGCGGACCCTTGTATTGAAGTTTACACGAACTGAGTGGTTTACGGGCGAAATGTGTAGTAGAATTGGGGTCGTAATGTGAGGTGGAGAATTCGATGTCGTATGCCATCATGCGGCACACCCTATAGATGATCACATCTTAGACTCACGCACCGAGCCTCGTCCGGTGGCATCGGATCCAGGTGCTAGTGTCTCACTGATAAAACGCACCGCCTGGTCGATCATCTTGTCAGTGACCTCATGGCCTGCCGCCTCGTCGATGATATCTTCAAACGATACCGCTCCATCACCATACCAGCCATCGGGGGCGATGGTCTTCTTGAACCAATCGAGGAAGAGCTGACCCCGATGATAAGGAACAAGCTTATCAATCCCACCTGACAGGTTCAGAATTCGCTTTCCGGCTAAGGTGCGATTCAAGATCGGTCGGAGCACCTGCTGCTCGCTCTCCGACGCTTGGGGCAGTGGGCCTTCGCGCAAGGGCCCCGTCGACGGCCCACAGTCCACATGCTGCAGCATCATACTGGCAGGGTCTAATCGCTTCACGGTGTCTAAGAAAGATGCAGGCAGAGCCTCCGAGCCGAGAATTTCGGCACCGGGCGGGTCGCTCTTTGTCCACGATGGCAGCTTCGACAGGCGAGCGCGGTCCGCCATCAAGTTGATGTAGTCCGGACAGCCAATGATCACCACACCGGCAGTGATGCGAGGCTCATGCAACAAGCAGCTCCATGCTGCATGTCCACCTAGCGACACACCCAGAACGAGGTTCTCTGTAATTTTATGCTCCCCACGCGGGAAGGTATAGGCGGCAATGTAGTCCATCAATACCGAGGTATCTCTTGCAGTTCCCTCTATTTTGCTTGTCAGGGCCAGAGAATGTCATGTCCGTGTCGAAACTCACGAAAGATGGAAAACATATCCTGGGCATGTCTGGGATTGCCCTTCTTCCAAGACTCATTGGCAAGCGGCTCAATCTCCCGCGAGCCATGGTTTCTCTGATCAAAAGCTACTGCAATCAAACCCTTGGCCGACGGCGTGTCTTTATTTCTAGTATTCCAATCGGTGATGGTGGCATTTGCCACACGGATCATCCGCTTCTGGGTCCCCAGTCGAGGGTGCAGAAGCCATAGACATGCGACTTCCGAGGCCTCGGCGCGGAGCTCTTGTAGGCCGAATACCGTCACTGAGATGCCAGCAATGGCAAAGACATTCCGAGACACCGCTGGTGGTTTGGCCTGGGTGGAGTCGTCGAAGGATTTGAACGGGTCCGTCATCGTGATATGTGCAGGTTGGAGGTTGGAGAGGGTGGGGGGATGTCTGATTTCGGGTATATGAGGTCCTGCCGAGGGCCATTGTCCAGCCCTCGTACTAGCCATTGACCTACTGTTTGGCTGATCTCTTCCGTGGGATCTCTGTCTTGGAACATCACGATAGTCGAGATACCGTATTTGAGGGTTTTGAACTGTGTGCCTGGTACCTGACTACTAAGATGTAGATTCCAAGGTTGTACTGCACACTCCGTACCCGCAGACGATATCCTATGCTATACGGCAGTAGAACAGACATAAACCAAAAGACAACATATTTATCCGTACGGACTAGTACTAGTACACACATCCAGCGTGTCGACCGGTTTCACGGAGTCGATCACCCCCTTTTTACTTCGTTGACCGCCCACTTTTCTCCGGGGGCGCAGTACACGGAGCTCCACTGTGAATTAGCTCCTTTAAACGGGTTTCGTCTAAGGCTCGACCGGAGGGATCTTATGTGTGGTGCCTGACTAGGGACCTGCAACTGATGATCACCTTGCATTAGCATCCCATCATGTCGGCCTCTTCCGTCCACGACGTCGAAACCGGCTCGTTGAAGCTGGACACTAAAAAAGCAGATGTGTCCAAGTCGAAATTAGCCTCGCCATTCCCTTCTCCCACCGAAAAGAACCTTCCCAGGGGCACAGACGAGAACGAAGGGCCTGGTGCCCGAGACAAGGAGAACACGCGTCCAGAGTCCCTGAAGCATGGCTCGCCGAGAGGCAGGTCCTCCTTGAGCACACGACCCCCCAACCAATCTACCGACGATCAACAACCTTTCACCCGCCACCAACGCCAACCATCCGTGCCGGGGGTATCCCCTCCATCCCGCGCCCAGAGTGTACAATTCCGGGATACCGACACCGAGCTTCCCGACGTGTCCCAGTCCCGGCCGCAGTCACGACCCGTATCTCGACCCGTGTCGCAACACGGCGAAGACGAAGAGCAGGGCCCAAAAGGAAAACAGTCCCTATTTGGGAAGCTGAAGTCCTTTGCCGCCGTCTCTCACTCGAGGTCGCCAAGTAGCGCAAGCGCAGATTTCCGCGCACCACAGGCCGATCTCGCAACTCCCGGGTCGGAAAGGGGGGAGTTCCGTTTCCCAGCACCCCTAGAAGAAGAGGGGAGCGAGGGAGACGCCGATGCAGAGGAAAGCGGAGGTGAGCAGCGCGAGTCCCGTCCCACGAAGCGAAAGCAGAAGAGAAGAAAGCAACAAGACAATGAAGACGGTGCTCAGACCGCACCGGGGACCCCCAAGACCGGGCGCAGGCCCTCCTTCCACTTCTCGTCCTCATTTGCGCCGTTCGAGAACTATCGAACTAATTTGTTCCCTCGACGAGCAAGCACAACCGACTTCACGCCCCAACAGCGAGAGGGAGTTTCAGAAGATGAAGGTCGTGAGAGGCTGAGCCGTCGCATGAGGAGCCGCCCGTGGACAAACACACGGGGGGATAGCTATACTGGGCGAAACACCGATGCCAACCAGGATGACCCGCGCCCATCTAATCTACGGCGTTTGACCGGTTTCGCTGGACAGGGCAACGAAGAGAGCCTGACGGCGAGCTGGAGACGCCATCGCAACGAGCGAGGCACGAGTGCAAGCGCTCAACGATGGAAGCAAATCAAGGCCGGCCTGAAGCTCATCGGCCAGCGACGAAAGCCAGAAAACACAGTGGACAACAAAAAGTCGGCGGAGCTGCTGGCCGAACTTGCTTCAGCCGTGCCTGCAGCACTGATCCTAGCCAGTGCCTTCCAGCGCGATGAGCACGGCAGCAAGAGAATCCCAATTCTACTCGAGCAACTGAAGGTTCGGGTCACCGATAGCCGCATCGATTCTCACTCGGGTGATCGTCACCTAGTCTTTCGAATTGAGATGGAATACGGAAGCGGCATGACACGAATGAAGTGGATCATCTTCCGTACTCTGCGAGACTTTGCCAATCTACACCTCAAGTACAAACTTCATCTTGGAACTCAGAAGTACATTCAACTTCGGACTAGCGAAAATAGCCCCAGTCTCCCTCGATTCCCCAGGAGTGCATTTCCTTACATGCGCGGTGTGCGTGGCCTGGAGAGCGAATTCGAGGACGAAGACGAAGAGGGTGGCTATGAAACCGGAGCAGAAGGAATGAGTGGGACAGAAAGACCACCGACTAAGAAGAAACAAAGCCAGCAGCCACATTCGCGTCGCGCCTCCGGTGCACTTGTTCGCAGAAAATCCAGCATCACGAACCAGGAAAGCGAGTCTGCTGGAGCATTAGGGCCTTCGTCGACACATGAAGGTGCAGGGGCCAGGAAGGAGACATATCCTGGGAAGCAGCGTAAGAAGCTTGAGCTATACCTGCAGAAGATGATCAGGTTTTTGATCTTTAGAGCCGACAGCAATCGCTTGTGCAAATTCTTGGAATTATCCGCCCTGGGTGTCCGCTTGGCTGCAGAGGGCAGTTATCATGGCAAAGAAGGGTTCCTGATCATCCAATCTTCCAAGGGCCTTGATTTCCGAAAGGCTCTCACCCCATCTCTGGTCAAGAAACGCCATTGGCCAAAATGGTTCTTGGTCAGACACAGCTACGTAGTCTGCGTGGATTCCCCAGAGGAGATGAACATATATGATGTCTTCTTGGTGGATTCCAATTTCAAGATTCAAACCCCCAAGCTCAGTCTTCGCAATCAAAATCCGAAGGATCTGGCGAAGTCCGCCAAGCAGTCGGCGAGGCACCCTCAGCACCACACTCTTCGGCTTGAGAACTCTGAGCGCAAACTGAAACTACTTGCCCGCAACGAGCGTCAACTACAGCAGTTTGAGGACTCCATCCGCTTCATGGTTGCCAACACCCCATGGATGCGCCCCAACCGATTTGACAGCTTTGCCCCTGTGCGACAGAATTGCTTTGCGCAATGGCTGGTTGACGCAAGAGACCATATGTGGGTTGTCTCTCGGGCTATCAACCAGGCCAAGGATGTTATTTACATCCATGACTGGTGGTTGAGTCCAGAATTGTACATGCGTCGCCCGGCTGCCATCAGTCAAAAATGGCGACTGGACCGCCTCCTCCAGCAGAAAGCGCGGGAGGGTGTCAAGGTGTTTGTGATCATGTATCGCAACATCAATTCGGCCATTCCCATCGACTCCGAGTATTCCAAGTTCTCTCTCCTCGACCTTCACCCCAACATCTTCGTCCAACGGTCACCGAATCAGTTCCGCCAGAACACTTTCTTCTGGGCCCACCACGAAAAACTATGCCTCATTGACCACACCATTGCCTTTGTTGGTGGTATTGACCTCTGCTTCGGACGCTGGGATACTCCTCAACACCAGCTAACCGATGACAAGCCCACTGGCTTCGAGACTACCGATGGACCTAAGGATGCTGATCATTGTCAGCTTTGGCCTGGAAAAGATTACTCGAACCCAAGAATCCAAGACTTCTATGACCTAGACAAGCCGTACGAGGAGATGTATGACCGCAATGTCGTGCCACGAATGCCCTGGCATGATATTTCCATGCATGTCGTGGGCCAACCTGCTCGTGACCTAACTCGTCATTTTGTGCAGCGCTGGAACTACATTCTGCGCCAGCGAAAGCCCACACGTCCCACACCCTTCCTCCTACCACCTCCGGATTTCAATCCGGCCGATCTCGAGGCTTTGGGTCTCGATGGCACCTGTGAAGTACAGATTCTTCGTTCTAGCAGTATGTGGTCAACGGGTACCCCTGATGTCACGGAACACAGCATCATGAACGCCTACGTAAAGTTGATTGAGGAGTCTGAACATTTCGTGTACATCGAAAACCAGTTCTTCATCAGCACGTGTGAGATTGATGGCAGGAAGATCGAGAACCTCATTGGAGATGCTCTGGTTGAACGCATCGTCCGGGCGGCTAAGAACGAGGAAGCATGGCGTGCCGTGATTGTTATCCCCTTGATGCCGGGCTTCCAGAATACCGTTGACAGCGAGGGTGGCACAAGTGTTCGTCTCATCATGCAGTGCCAATACCGCAGTATCTGCCGCGGAGAAACTTCAATATTCGGCCGCCTCCGTGCCCTCGGTATTGAGCCAGAGGACTACATTCAATTCTTCAGTCTTCGCACCTGGGGCAAGATTGGACCCCAGAAACAGCTGGTGACCGAGCAACTCTACATCCATGCAAAGTGCATGGTCGTGGATGACCGCGCTGCCATCATCGGCTCGGCCAACATCAATGAACGATCCATGCTGGGTTCGCGTGACTCCGAAGTCGCATCCATTGTTCGAGATACCGATATGGTCATGTCAAGCATGAATGGAAAACCTTATCTCGTGGGACGATTCCCTCACACTCTGCGCATGCGCCTGATGAGAGAGCATCTTGGAATCGATGTCGACGAGCTCATGGAGCATGACTTTGCCACCGAGGAAGAGCTGCGCAAGATTGAGGCCGCCGAGGGGGCAGGTCGTCCTGCCAATGATCGAGAGCACAGGAACTCGGGCTCCTCGGTTGTCGAACGGCAGGATGAACGAGAGATGATTGAACGGCGGCATCGCGTTCAAGATGAGTTTCTTTCTCGCTCCGAAGCTATGTATAGCTTCAATCACGATGTTGACTGGGAGCAGGGTGCGAACCCAAATCTCAAATCTAATCGGAAGCTGACTGCCGATCCACGCGTCACCGAGAATCCAGAACACCGGAAAGACGTCGAAGGCAATGGGCATGATCGGCTGACGGTCGCTTCGGAGGCCGGGCTCGGTGTGGGGCGTGACTCTGATATGCGGGAAGGAAGAGAGACGTTGCTCTCTCCCATTGCCTCAGAGGGCAAGGGTACAATTGAGAGCCCGAGCTCACAGTCCCAACCTAAATCATCCCAAACATCTTCAACGGTTAATGACCGGCAGCCCATTTCAGGCGAAACCAACCGTGCCTCGGAGCCCAGCGGTGATACGATCCCACAAGGTCAGGGGGCCCCTGGATTATCGACACGCGAACCAGAGTCCAATGGCACCGGACTCACCGTGTCTAGAGAAGAGACAGATACTTCTAAAAATCACCATCCGTTGGCTCCGGATCTCAAGCGCATTTTCATCGATAATGACTGCATGAGAGACCCGGTCATTGATGGCTTTTACCTTGACACGTGGCAAGCTGTCGCCGAAAAGAACACAAAGATCTACCGCTCTGTGTTCCGATGCATGCCGGATAACGAGGTCAAGAGTTGGAAGGAATACAAGGAGTACGCTGCATATGGCGAGCGCTTTGCGGAAATGCAGAGCCAGCAGGGCAACAAACCAAGCCAGGCCCAACAGAAACCAAACAGCCCCCCTCCCCCTGGTGGCACTGTCAGTTCTCCTATGTCCATTGCCTCTCAGCTGTCATTCATCACGCCCAAGGTGGCTGATGGATCGCCCGCAGACCCCAAGAGCCCTCAAACGATTGACGAGAAGATCGGATCTGGAAATGAATCCGCCCGCCCTCAGTCAGAGTCCCTGGCAAAGCAAGAGACATTGTCATCGATTGATGAAAAGGCTGCTCTGAAAACCGCATCAGACTCGAATTTGTTGAACAGTGTTGCGAACGGAACCGGCGACGAGAACGCCGCTGCCGGCGAGGACGCTGAAAAGTCACGATCGGTTTCCGCCCATCAAGTTGACTATTCCGAGGCTGTGAACCTAAACCTGAATTCAACCAGCCAGTCTCGGAGGCGCAGGCGCAGAGCTACAACTATCGGCTCCAAGCGGGATCCCCATGGAGCAGACGAGTTCATGGATAAGGGTCGTGCGGAAGATCTCCTCAACAAGACCCAAGGCCATCTCATCATGTGGCCATATGACTGGTGCGTAATGAACCTCGTGCATCCGAAGCAGTGTACTGACGAATTCCCACAGGCTGGAGAAGGAGGAACAAGGTGGAAATTGGCTCTATGCTTTGGATCAAATCTCCCCACTGGAGATTTAGTAAGTTGACATCGGTCTTCTGAGGAATCGCGTACTGACTATCATATAGCAACTAATTTGGGCTTGTTTTGCACTTATCAGCGTCTTGATATAAAAGGTAGTATGCTCGCCCTCTGCTTTTTCCACTTTTCGGACGGTACTATAGCGATTGATGCATTTTCATTCTCTTAGACTTTCATTGGCTTTTTTATTTTGGCTTAAGGATATTTCGTCTTACGAGCTGCGGCGATCAATAAAGTAATGTTCTTCTTTGGGGAACTAATTCCAGGGTGAAAGGGGAATTGAATTACTACAGCACGTATGATACAGCATCGCCTCAATGGCGAGGGAGAGTCTATTAGATACACAGAATCCGAGCCCGCAGATTCTCCAAAGCGTCAAATCTGGCCTGCAGAACAGACGTGAGAATACTCGAGCTCTTTTTCGGCTCGCCCGCCCAGTCGTCGCATGCACGACGCAGGTGCTCATACGCAGCCGCAAAAGCACCCCGTAACTCAGACGTACGAGTGCAGGAACGGCCCAGGTCATTCATATAGTGCGTGGGATCCTGGATGCATAACCGATTCGCCACAGGGGTGTTTCCTTTTGCGGCAGCGGTGCGCTTAGCATTGACGAGAGACCGCTGGCCGCGTTGGTAGGCGGCGTTCTGGTCGCCCGAAGGCACTAGCGTATCAGCACCAAAGAAAGAAGGGGGGTCAACAGCAACCCCAACGGTCTGAAGGTTCACGTCATTGCCATATAGGCGCAGGAGGGCAAGAAATTGATCACCCAGGCTATTGGGAGCAGTGAAACGACCGTGGTTCACTTTCAGGAACGCCACGATGAGCATGGCCAGCGCGTCGGGACTGATGCTTGCCTGTGGCGCACCAAAAAGCCCACGGGCCTCGAGCAGAATGCGCGTTACTGCATAAAGGGGTTTGAGAGAGGGGTACTCGGCTTGATAATCCTGTAGGTACTCCGTGATGGCGGGGATCCCCTCACCGCAGTAAAAATGCAGCCAAAGTCCCGTGGGTCGGTGTCGAGCGGAAAGCGCTGGGTTTCGCTTATCTGATGGGTAGATCTGATCTCGGAATGCGGCGGTCTGCTGCAAAGTTCTCTCGACCTGCCGGAGAAGACGAATGTGGCTGTCTTGGATTTGAGGCCGTGTTGCACTGGGTCTGCGATCGCGCTCTGGTGATCGTTGGAGGTCCTTAAAGGGGAGGATGAAGTCAAGATCGGAATGTGCCAGCACCAGTCCCGTACGGTGGGACCCGGTTACTTGGGGTGCTTGGGGTACCACACCTTTGAGAAGAGAGGCTACCTCGGTCCTCACTTTCTCAAATTGACACCGTTCCTCGGCGCTTGGGGTGAGATATTGGACTAACGCTCGGATTTCCGTGTCCAAGGTGATCTCGGCGCTAGCGCGCGGTAGGTCGACATTCTTCAGCCAGGGTGTTTGAACCGGGCCTTTTCCAACCGGTTGAATGGCCTCTTCGTGCCGTCGCGCCTCAAGCCCGGGGGGTTTTTGTTTGGCCTTTTTGCGACGTTTCTTGGCCCCCAGTTCCGGCTCGGGTGTATCTGGAGACTCTGCTGCTGGTAGAGCTGGATCGACGGGGGTTTGATAGCCAACCCGACTTTGAGGAGGAATCTCCGGACGCCAGAGTCCTGGGGGATCTTCCTTGGGGTATATTTTGCGAATCAAGCGCGCGCGATTCGTTGATCGATGAGCGTCCAGGGTTTTTCGGAGGCTGTTGGCAAAGACATCGTTGCGGACCACGGTGGAGCTATGGAAGAGCCGTGAAGCCGGGAGGCCTAGTCTGGCATGATGTCGTACTGTGGATGGCCGCATGCCGAGGATGAAGCCTAGGGGAGTTGATCTGCGTCGAGTTTGATATTAGCAGCCTCAGGCAGAAACATGTGACTCTGCCCAAGTCGCCATGTTCTCGCAGCGCGCTGTCACCATGTGAGCTTCGGCCCTAAAAACCTATGTGAGCAGGGCGTGTACTTCTGATTGAGTACGGATTGTAGTTGAAACACAAGTATCTCCCCAAATTGCCCTCTCCAAAGGGGGCCCATCCATGACGTAGGATTGAGAACACTTCCCCCCCCCCCACCTGAGATCCTTGATATTCTCGATCTCCGTGAGTTATCCTTGGGATTCTTGATATGCTCAGTTTCGACTGTCCTTGTTCTGGGATAATCTCCTGACCGGTTTCCCTGATAGGACTTCCTCTTGTACACCGCTTGCCCCTCCTTAGATATTGTGGGAAATCTGGGAAGCTACTTTTTGTTCTCTTTTTGACTACATGGCTCTCGCGCGTCAATAGTCTTCCTCTTGCTTACTTTCCGAGGTACCTGCTCTTTGCATATGTGACAATTCCAGCCTAACACACTGCTAGTCTCCGGACAAGTCTGGGTGATTTCGCCATGTCTGAACCAGAGAGCCCCGCTCAGGTCCCCGAGGGCCAGCCGAACCCTGTGATCGTGGGTCCTGGGCTGAAGGCCCTCGAAAAGGATGCGTATGCCCATGCGACGAGTGCGACGCCTGCGATAGATTCCTCATCGAGCGAGGTGCCGTCATACTTCGCCAGCCTCCCGGGGGCCCAGGATGAACCCACCGAGTTATCAGGCATCGCCTCGCCCGTGCAGGCCGCAAGGAAAGCGTCATCGGGCAGGGATTTGCTACGCCGGTTAAGCTTGACCGCGGAGTCGGCGACCTTGCCCCCAATCGATCCGCGCATGGAGCACCCGGGGCTGAATCTCAGCGGTCGTCTTATCAGTGCCACATTCTGTATCCCCTACAAACTCAACTTCCAACCAGGGTCGGACTGGGTATGCAAGGCGTCCTTCGGATCACGGACATGTTACTAATGAGGTAACAGACGCTCAAGTCACGATCGGGCACCTCGGCCTTATTCGATTCATTCGCACACCTAGCCTCGGATGAGACGCCATGGTCACACACCTTAGTCGGCTGGACGGGGGAGGTCGAACCGAAATTGGAAGTAAAGTCTGCATTGCAGCCGGTTGACCCAAATGCCACGAGCCAGATCTCGCCCCCCAACAACTCAATCACTCAGCCACTGAACAAAGCTGCTGCACCGGTTCCCGTCGACGCAACCAAGCAGGCTCCGGCTCACCCGTTGGTGGAGGGCATTCACGTCACTCAGCAGGACCGGGAGCGACTGGATGAGCAGCTGAGCTCCGGGCGTCATGGGCGGGTCCTGCCCGTGTGGCTATCGGATGTCGTCGAGGAGCCCCAAGAGACCATCGTTCTCAAAGATCAGGGTCGGTGGCGCCGCTATGCTGAACGCGAGCTATACCCGTTGCTCCACTACAAGCAGCATGGCCCGACAGACGGCCGATCCGAGCGCCGGTGGTGGGGCGACTACCTTCGCCTGAATCAGCTTTTCGCCGATCGCATCGCGGAGGAATACCAGGAGGGAGACGTTGTGTGGGTCCACGACTATCACCTCTTCCTCCTGCCCAGCCTGCTGCGGCAGCGCATCCCCAACATATATGTGGGCTTCTATCTACACGCGCCTTTCCCCAGCAGTGAGTTCGTCCGATGCCTTGCGAAGCGCAAGGAGATTCTAGAGGGAGTACTGGGGGCCAACATGATTGGGTTCCAAACCTTCTCCTACTCCCGACACTTTACCTCCTGCTGTACTCGCGTTTTGGGCTTCGAGTCGAACTCGGCCGGGGTCGACGCCTATGGGGCTCACGTCGCAGTCGATGTTTTCCCCATCGGAATCGACGCTCGTGCGATTCAAAAAGCTGCCTTTGGAGCGCCAGACATTGAAAAGGCTGTACAGGGGATTCGGAAGCTTTACGCCGGAAAGAAAATCATCGTCGGCCGTGATCGACTGGATAGTGTTCGAGGAGTTGCGCAAAAACTGCAGGCTTTCGAGATCTTCCTCGAGCGTTATCCCGAGTGGCGCGAGAAGGTCGTTCTCATCCAGGTCACAAGTCCGACCAGCGTGGAAGAGGAGAAAGAGGATCCGAACAACAAAATTGCAGGCCAGATCTCGAATTTGGTCTCGACCATTAACGGGAGATTTGGCTCTTTGAGCTTTGCCCCTGTCCAGTATTATCCGCAGTACTTGTCCCCGCGAGAGTATTTCGCTTTGCTGCGAGTGGCAGATGTCGGACTGATTACCACGGTGCGAGATGGCATGAACACGACGAGTCTAGAGTATATCGTTTGCCAACAGACCAACCATAGCCCTCTGATTCTCTCCGAATTCTCTGGTACTGCAGGAACGCTGCCCAGTGCCATTCACATCAACCCGTGGGATCTTGTCGGCGTGGCTGGGGCTATCAATCAGGCCCTAAACATGCCCTCCGATCAGCGAAAAGACCAACACTTGAAGCTTTACAAGCATGTGGTCACCAACACCGTTGCCATGTGGGCCAAGCAGTATCTTCATCGCTTGCTGACCAACCTGTCGTCCTTTGATCAGTCCGTCGCCACACCCGCTCTCGATCGTGGGAAACTAATAAAACAATACCGCAAAGCTCGCCGACGTCTCTTCATGTTTGATTATGACGGCACCCTGACGCCCATCGTCAAGGATCCTCAAGCCGCGATCCCCTCTGATCGGGTCCTGCGCACGCTCAAGAGCCTGTCGGCCGATCCCCGCAATGCAGTCTGGATTATCAGTGGACGAGACCAGGCTTTCTTGGACGAGTGGATGGGCCACATTCCGGAACTCGGACTGAGTGCCGAGCATGGCTGTTTCATCCGACAACCTGGCTCGGACGACTGGGAGAATCTGGCGGAACGAACTAACATGGGCTGGCAGAAGGAAGTCGTTGACGTCTTCCAACACTATACTGAACGAACACAGGGCTCCTTCATTGAACGGAAACGAGTCGCCTTGACTTGGCACTACCGCCGAGCAGACCCGGAGTACGGTGCTTTCCAGGCTCGCGAATGTCGGAAGGAGCTGAAGGACACTGTTGCCCAGCGGTGGGATGTCGAGGTCATGGCCGGCAAGGCCAACCTGGAGGTGCGACCGACTTTCGTCAACAAGGGATTCATCGCCACCCGGCTGGTCAACGAATATGGCCCTGCACCTGGGAAGGCTCCGGAGTTTGTTTTGTGTCTGGGGGATGATTTCACCGATGAAGGTACGATCCATGCCCCGCCGCTGTCCCGCCGTTTACTCACCTCGACGCAGACATGTTCCGTGCCCTTAAGAAGACTGATCTGCCCCAGGACCATGTGTTCTCCGTGACTGTCGGAGCCAGTTCCAAGCAGACTGACGCCAGTTGGCATTTACTAGAGCCCGCCGATGTCATTGGGTCCATCCAGATGCTTCTCAGCAATGCCCCGGATCGACGAGAGTGAGACTACAAACAGACAGTACAGATGCACGATAGCGCTAGGTGAATACGAATTGCTCTTGTCCGAATCCAGGTTCTTCTGGTTCTTAGTGTACTCGGGGCTAGGTATATATAGAGATGTGTAGCCGACTTCTCCGGTTTTGCGGGGACCCCGGGATTGCGCCATATCAACTTCGATTTCTGCGGGGGAGGGAGGCAGTCAACGGTCACTTTACAATGTTCCTACAATTCCAAAAGTTGGAATGGACTCTGATCAATGCCCGACTCGCCCCCGGTGCCAATCCCGACCACGTCGGCCATCTCTGCGAATCCCCGCTACGCCCGCTATACCCGCTATGCCGGTCAACTTTTTTTTCTCCGATTTATATCTCCTCCCGGTGCAGTTCGACAATGCCCACACCTGAAATATGGCACACTCTACTTTCGAAACGTCTCAAGATGAACATGAAAAACACAACCCCCGACCCTCTTCAGATGAAGAGTCTAACCTAGAGTCGAATGAGCCCGACCTCTCCCACATCCCCACCCAGTCCAGTGCCCTTGCACGTACATTGTCTGCTGTACGCACCCGTGAGTCCGGCAGGTCGATTGGCCCGCCCCCAGATGGAGGGATTCAGGCCTGGTCACAGGTGGCGCTGGCGCATTTTGTGATCTTCAATACCTGGGGCTACATCAACAGTTTCGGGGTCTTCCAGACCTACTACACCCAAACCCTCGGTCACCCGCCGTCGGATATCTCCTGGGTCGGCAGCATCCAGATCTTTTTGCTGTTCTTCGTGGGCACCTTCTCGGGTCGCGCGACCGATGCGGGCTATTTCAAGGTCACACTGGCCTGTGGCGCCTTGCTTCTATGCTTCAGTATCTTCATGACCTCGCTGTGTACCAAATACTGGCAGTTGTTCCTGGCGCAGGGGCTGGGCCAGGGGATTGGGTGCGGAATGATGTTCTGCCCAACCCTAGCTTTGGTCTCGACGTATTTCGCCAAAAACCGGGGCATTGCCATTGGCATGGTGGCGTCGGGATCGGCCACGGGGGGTCTGGTTTTCCCTGCGGTGGTCATGAAGATGCTGCCTCAGGCGGGATATGGCTGGACGATGCGCACGTTGGGCTTCATCTCGCTGGCCACTCTGACGCCCTGTGTGATCTTTCTCAAGCAGCGTCTTCCCCCGCGCCAGAGTGGCCCGTTGGTGGAATGGTCCGCATTCCGTGAGATGCCCTACCTGCTCTTTGCTTTGGGTATGTTCCTGAACTTCTGGGGGTTGTATGTTGGGTTCTTCTACATCGGTAGTTTCAGCCGAGACGTCATCGGGGTTTCGACCGACCGATCGATCGACCTGCTACTGGTCATGAACGGAGTTGGGCTAATTGGGCGACTCGTTCCCAATCTGCTGGCCGATCAATACACCGGTCCTCTCAATCTATTGATCCCCTTTGCCTTGGCCACAGCGATTGTGGCATACTGCTGGGCTGCGGTCACCAACACCACGGGCCTGTGGGCCTTTGCGGTGTTCTATGGCCTATTCGCGGCGGGGATTCAATCCTTATTCCCGGCGACGCTCAGCACGCTCACGACCGATCTGAAGAAGATCGGAGTGCGCATGGGCATGGTGCTGAGCGTGGTGGGGGTGGCTGCCCTCATTGGGTCTCCGATTGCCGGTGCCTTAGTGGTCTACGACGATGGAGACTACCTTTATGCCCAGATGTTTATGGGCAGCGCGATTATCGCTGGCAGCCTCACGTTAATTGGGGCCCGAGTGACTAAAATAGGAACTGGCATAGCTCGAGTGTAAAGAGCATCAAAGAAGAACCAGTTCATATGAGGTCTACCTCTAGAGAGTAGTGGACAGTAAAGAAGAGTAGAGCCCTGGAGTGTGTACAAGGCAAGTAATCAGTGGCCTGTGGTTTGACGACGGGAGCCCCCACACATGATTAATGCAAATGCGGTGACTCGTTCCTCTCTCTCTTTCTCACTCTTTTTTTTTTTTTTTTTTTGCCTGTGAACGACACTCGACATCGGGATTGTTTTGGTTACTGATCTTTCTCGATCTTGGCGATATTCCGATCTCTCTATTTGGTCTAAGTAGGTGCTGTCCCACCCCACTTTGCCCCTCTACGCGCAGAATCCGCTAACCCACATAGATATCATATTGCTAAAGCGCTGATTTATCGTCTATCACACTTCAAGATGGCGCCCCGCGGTCGTGGAGGAAAGTTCTCTAAGCCCTCTCGTGGAGGTAGGTCGTATGCGCCAGCCAAACGGAGTACACGCTGATCAGGACACAGGAGGCAAGCACTTTAGCAGGGATCTTGCTGGAACCGACAAGGAAGGAAACCAGATGGGCATGTGGCGGGTAAGTACTAGCACCTCCCCCAGTGACATGGCTGGGCCTAACGCCAATTGCCACACAGGAACCTCAAGACCAAATCGAATCGTCCGGGGATGAAGATTCATCCGATGAGGACAGCTCCGAGGAATCCAGCGAGGATGAGTCCAAGCCCACAGAGTCATCGACAGCAGCAGGCACGCGTGAGGAGCGTCGCGCCGCCGCGAAGGCCAAGAAGGCCGCCGCCATGAAGAAGCGCAACCAGGGCCCCGCCCAACCGGGCGATCTGCCCCCCTCCGACTCGGAGGAATCTGACGATGGCTTGCCCGCCAATCCCAACCACACGGCCAAGTCCCGCTCCCAGACTCAGAAACCCGCGGCGGGGTCTGATTCTGAGCCCCAGTCCGCCCCGGCAGCCAAGAAGCCGGCGGCCAAAAAGGATCTGTCTCAGCTATCCCGTCGGGAGCGGGAAGCTGTGCAGGCACAGCAGGCCCGTGAGCGCTACCAAAAATTACATGCCGAGGGCAAGACCGACGAGGCCAAGTCCGATCTCGCTCGTCTGGCCGTGATTCGGGAGCAGCGTGAGGCAGAACGCCAGCGCAAGCTGGCCGAGAAGGAGGAGAAGGATGAACAAGCCAAGGAGCGTGCCGAAATTGCCTTGGAGCGCGAGAGGAAGATGCGTCTTGCCGCGGCTGGAAAGCTCTCTAAGAAGGCTGGCGGTAAGAAGAAATAAGCAGCATACATTCGCTTTTTTTCCGTTTTCCCCCCCAAGATTATGTGATTATGAGGTTGTGCCGAGGCGACATACATCTAGACGAAGCAAACAGTTGCAACTCGCCCTGTTGGGTTCCTAAAAACTGGTAATAATATGGTGAATCACGAACAGTATCCACTGACGCCTTTAGTATCAAACACCGTTTTGAGATTGGCGCTGAAAATGCATGAGCCGGCTGAAAGCCAGAATTGAAAGGGCAAAAAAAAAAAAAAAAAAAAAAAAAAAAAAAAAAAAAAAAAAAAAAAAAAAAAAAAAAAAAAAAAAAAAAAAAAAAAAAAAAAAAAAAAAACGCTAAGA